TCTTGCTTTCCCGACCAGAATGATGTGATCCAAGCCAGGAAAGCCTACGACCTGCAGAGTGACGTAAGTGTGTCCCCCAAGAAATCAGTCCCCCATTGCTTTCCTGATAGCTCCTTCTAAAGCTCTGAAAACACAAGGTACTCCACTTTAGTATTTCATCAGAATTATTGATGGCCTACCTACAGCCAAGTTTCTTCAGAAAGTTTTCATTTTCATTTTCACTGTTAAAGGTGCTACCAGAATTTTGCTATAGTTCGTTAATGTATACTGTGTTTGCCCGCCCACCCTCCCTCCCTTCCTTCCTTCTTTCCTTCTTTTTTGGAGTCTTGCTCTGTCACCCACGCTGGAGTGCAGTGGCACAATCTCAGCTCACTCCAACCTCCACCTCCCGGATTCAAGTGATTTTCCTGCATCAGGTAGCTGGGATTACAGGCATGCGCCACCATGCCTGGTTAATTTTTGTATTTTTAGTGGACAGGTTTTTGCCATGTTGGCCAGGCCTAGTCTCAAACTCCTAAACTCAGGTGATCCACCTGTCTCTGCCTCCCAAAGTGCTTTTTCTATTTTTTTTTTTTTAAATGAAGTCTCGCTCTGTCACCCAGGCTGGAGTTCAGTGGTACGATCTTGGCTCACTGCAACCTCCACCTTCCAGGCAATTCTCCTGCCTCTGTCTCCCAAGTAGCTGGGATTGCAGGTGTGCACCAACACGCCTGGCTAATTTTTAGTAGAGATGGGTTTCACCATGTTAGCCAGGTTGGTCTCAAACTCCCGACCTCGAGTGATTCACCTGCCTCAACCTCCCAAAGTCCTGGGGCCTTTTCTTTAACATCAGAACATCCATGGTCCTTCAGCTATGTATCGAAGAAGGGCAGGACCATCTTCCTCAAACTTAATTTGAAAAGTTAGTGGCCGGGCACGGTGGCTCACGCCTTTGGGAGGCCGAGGCGGGCAGATCATGAGGTCAGGAGTTCAGGACAAGCCTGGCCAACATGGTGAAACCCCATCTCTACTAAAAATACAAAAATTAGCTGAGCATGGTGGTGCATGCCTGTAATCCCAGCTACTCAGGAGGCTGAGGCAGGAGAATTTCTTGAACCAGGCCCCAGGAGGTGGAGGTTGCAGTGAGCTAAGATCACACCACTGCACATCCAGCCTGGGCTACAGAGTGAGACTCTGTCTCCAAAAGAAAAAAAGAAAAGAAAAGAAAAGAAAAGCTAGCAGCACGCTCCAGACCACTTGTAGTCTTTCATTAACTCATCTAAGGCATTTTTAAATTTACTTATATTTTCGGCCCTTTCAAACTTTTAAAAATGATGGATTCCAGAAGGTTATTTATTTCCTATATAGAATAGATAACTTAAAAATTATCTGACCCTTGTTCCCTTAAGCAGTCTAGAGATAATTTTTTTTAAATAATGAGTTCATTACAGGAAAGCATGCTCATGTCTTAAAATGCATTGACAGGTGGTGGATTTAAGACAGTTTCTGGAGAAATATAGTCTCTTCATTAACCTGAACCACATTAGTGTATGGAGATACATACATCAATTAAGTTATTAAAGAACAAGAAAGGGAAATTTCAGGAATGTGTATGTAATTTTCATTGAAAATATCTTCTTTTGAATTTTAAGTATTCATCATACTTTAAACATTAATACATATAATGTCATTTTATTAAGGTAGAAATGTTTCAACATTTTTTACTCATACTAGACTTTTCACCTGATATTTTTATCCTATTAACTAGCTATCAAAATGCCATTTCTGAGCTGAGCAGCACTATTGCCTTTTTTTTTTTTAAAAAAAAAAAAAAAAAAGGAATCTCTTGTCACCCAGCCTGGAGTGCAATGGAGCAATCTCAGCTCACTGCAACTTCTACCTCCTGGTTCAAATTATTCCCCTGCCTCAGGCTCCTGAATAGCTGGGATTACAGGCCCTTGTCACTGTGCCCAGCTAATTTTTTGTATTTTAGTAAAGAAGGGGTTTCACCATGTTGGCCAGGCTGGTCTCAAACTCCAGACTTCAAGGGATCCATCCACCTCAGCCTCCCAACGTTCTGGAATTACAGGTGTCAGCTACCATGCCTGGCCCACAATGGCTTTTATAAAATGCATAACTGGTTTATTAGGTTTCTGCAGAGAAACAGAACCAATACAACATAACAGGATTTATTTGTATTACTGGCTCATGTGATTATGGAGGCTGAGAAGTCCCATGATAGTCCATCTGTAAGCTGGAGAACCAGGGAAGTCCACACTGTAGCTCAGTTCGAGTCCAAAGGCCTGAGAACCAGACAAGCCAAGGGTAGAATTCTCAGTCTGTGGCCAAAAGCTTGAGAACCTGGGAGTCTACTGGTGTTAAGTCCCAGATTCCAAAGGTTGGAGAGCCTGGAGTCCTGATGTCCAACAGCAGAAGAGGAAGGGTATCTCAGCTCTGGAAGAGAGCGAGAATTTGCCTTTTCTTTGCCTTCTTGTTCTATCCAGGCCCTCAGCCAGTTGAATGGTGCCCACCTACATTGGGTGAGAGTGGATCCCTCTCAGTCAGTCCACTGATTTAAATGCCAGTCTCTTCCAGAAACATTGTCACAGACACATCCAGAAATATTGCTTTACCAGCCATATGGTAAGCTCAGCCAAGCTGATACCTGCATCACAAGCTGGGAGTGGTGGTGCACACCTGTAGTCCCAACTACTCAGGAGGCTGAGGTGGGAGAATCACTTGAGTCCAGCTTAAGCAACAGAGCAAGACCCTGTTTCTAAATATTAAAAATAAAAAATTAAATTAACCATCACACTACTGCTTAAAATGTAACAATTTTATCTCCTTAACCACTTTGCCTATATTTGAGGAAGCATGTTTAGATAACTAAGAATGTGGAAATCACAATTCAAAGAGGAGTGCTATCTTAGAAAAAGAAAACTCAGTTAAGACCAAAACTGTGAAACTAGTGATCAAATTCTTAATCGTCCTTTCAAAAAATGCTTATTGAACACACTTTGTGCTAGGCATGTGCTAAGCACTTAAAGATACAATGGTGAATAAAGTAGAAGAAAAAACATGACTTAGGGCCGGGCATGGTGGCCCACACCTGTAATCCTAGCACTTTGGGAGGCTGAGGTGGATGGATCACAAGGTCTGGCCAACATGGTGAAACCCTGTCTCTACTGAAAATACAAAAATTATCTGGGCATGGCGGCACATGCCTGTAATTCCAGCTATTCAGGAGGCTGAGGCAGGAGAATCGCTTGAACCCAGGAGGTGAAGGTCACAGTGAGCTGAGATTGCACCACTGCACTCCAGCCTGGAAGTCAGAGTGAGACACTGTAGCAAAAACAAAACAAAACAAAAACATGACACAGCTCCTGACTTTAGGGGGTTCACATTGATAACCGAGACCTAGATGTTCATTAAAGAATAAAAATGGAATGACTGTGAGTGATCCATGGTGCTATGAAGAGAGATCAAGAAAGTTCTTCTGAGAAGGCACCAATTTCACAGAGATATGAAAAAAGAATTAGGAGTCGGGTCAGTTAGGAGGACATGGGGCATTCCTTCAGGGAGACCAACATATGCGAAGAGGGCTGATGAGATTATAAATTGAAAGACGGGCTGTGTGGTCAGCACACACAGGGCCATTGGAATTGCAGATGACACGAGGCCGGAAGAATAGGTGGGGACTGCTGCCAGACCATTCATCCCCTTCTAGTCTGTGTCAGGAATTTTGATTTTGATTTTTTTTTTTTTTTTTTTTTTTGAGACGGAGTTTCGCTCTTGTTACCCAGGCTGGAGTGCAATGGTGCCATCTCGGCTCACCGCAACCTCCGCCTCCTGGGTTCAGGCAATTCTCCTGCCTCAGCCTCCTGAGTAGCTGGGATTACAGGCACGCACCACCACGCCCAGCTAATTTTTTTTGTATTTTTAGTCGAGACGGGGTTTCACCATGTTGACCAGGATGGTCTCGATCTCTTGACCTCGTGATCCACCCGCCTCGGCCTCCCAAAGTGCTGGGATTACAGGCTTGAGCCACCGCGCCCCGCCAAGGAATTTTGATCTTTATCCTATGACCAATAGGAAGCCATAGAATCGGGGGAATGGTGTGACAGCTGATTTGAATTCTGAATTTTGAAAAGATCATTCTTGCTGCTGTGTGGAAAACTTACTAGAAACCCCATTATTATTGCTTTAAAGTCCAATGGTGTGATGACTGCCTAAATATTATTCAAAAGTCTTCCATGCATTCTCTCAAATGGAGAGCTGCTTCTGCATCACCTTGCCTTTTACAATGCACGTGGGCACTTCCACACAGACCCTTGCCACAGAAAACCAAGCAAAATAAAATGTCTTTGTGTATTTAAAGTATTATGTTTGTAAGGCTAGTGACTGTTTTAATTATTGTTTGTGAAAGATAAAATATAAGAGTCTGGGCATGATGGCTCATGCCTGTAATCCCAGCACTTTGGGAGGCCGAGGCGGGTGGATCACGAGGTCAAGAGATCAAAACCATCCTGGTCAACATGGTGAAACCCCGTCTCTAATAAAAATACAAAAAAAAAATTAGCTGGGCATCGTGGTGCGTGCCTGTAATCCCAGCTACTCAGGAGGCTGAGGCAGGAGAATTGCCTGAACCCAGGAGGCAGAGGTTGCGGTGAGCCAAGATCGCGCCATTGCACTCCAGCCTGGGTAACAAGAGCGAAACTCCGTCTCAAAAAAAAAAGAAAAATATACATATATAAAAATTAGCTGAGCATGGTGGCACATGCCTGTAGTCCCAGCCACTGAGGAGGCTAAGGCAGGAGAATCTCTTGAACTCAGGAGGCGGAGGTTGTAGTGAGCTGACATCATGCCACTGCACTCCAGCCTGGGTGACAGAATGAGACTCTGTCTCAAAAAAGAAAAAAAAAAATTACGTATCTATGTATATCATAAAAGCCTTACTCATTTTACCACACACATACACAACAAAACACAAACCCTGCTTCTACCTGTGTTTTCTTTCTCAGGCCCTCTACAAGGCTGACTTGGAGTGGCTGCGTGGCATTGGCTGGATGCCTCAAGGTTCTCCTGAAGTGCTGAGAGTCAAAAATGCCCAGGAGATCCTTTGCGACAGTGTCTATCGGACGCCTGTGGTGAACCTTAAGTACACAAGCATTGTTGACACTCCTGAAGTGGTCCTCGCTAAAGCTAATGCTGAAAATATTAGTATAGTAAGTCAGTTTTTTTTCTCCATTAAAATTGAATTCATGCTATAAATAAATGAGGAATAATAAACCTAGTAATCTATTATAGAATAACTAGTAACATTAATAACATAAATTTTACTAATACTGATAGTATTGTCTTGGTTTGCTTATTAATTTTAAGTAAAAACTCAAAGTGTTAATAAAAGGGAATAATAGCTCTTACATTAAATCTGAGTAACTTATGTGAAAAGATTCCAGACATCTTTGCCCTAATATGAAAAGATTTTGGATCAGATCCAAAAGAAAATTTAAAAGTTGCATACCAGGACTAGTGACATGAAAATTGTGAAGTAATTTTATTATTATTTCTTTCCATAGCCAAAGTACAGAGAGCTTTGGGACAAGGATAAAACTTCAATCCACATAATGCCAGACACTCCTGAAATTAATCTCGCTAGAGCAAATGCTCTTAATGTGAGCAGTGTAAGTATCACAACAGACTTTCGTTTGGAAAGTTACCCATTCAGTGCTATACTATGACCATGGAACTTTGGATCACCAAGGGAGGGAAGATGAACTTGGTGGGATGGGGAAGACTCCTTGCAGTCAGCCCTTGACTAAGAGTGAGGTAAGGAGGAGATCCGTGGTGATTAACTGGGCAAGGCCAATTACCGCTGAGTCAATATCTCCATGACAAAGGTCTCCTGAGTTGTCTTTTTTTTGAATAAGGGGATGAAGAAGGTGAAAGAGGAATGAAGAGATGCACAAACAAGAAAGGAGAATTAATGATAGACTCAGATAAACTCAAAATAATTATGAGAATTCTTTGCAAAAATATATGAATTAATTTTAAAATGTGGATCTACTGGAGGTTTTCTAGGAAAATTATAAGTGACAAAAATTGACCCAAGGACAAAAACCAAAAAACATATTTCAAGAAATTAAGAGGTTTCTTAATTGAGAAATTAAGGGGAACATTTAAACACTTTGCTTTGTACTTTCAAACGTCAGAGTCTCCCTTGATGTTTTCAAAACTTCAATAAATAAATAAATTACCAGGAGCCTAGTGAAAGAAGGAAATCCACTGAAATTACCAAAACTTTACAAAGATAGAGTCACACATTGAAAACTATAGACCGGCTGGGTATGGTGGCTCATGCCTATAATCTCAGCACTTCAAGAGGCCAAGGCCAGAGGATTGCTTGAGCCCAGGAGTTCAATACCAGCCTGGGCAACATGGGCAGACCCCACCTCTGCAAGAAAATAAAAAATAAATAAATTAGTTGGGCACAGTGATATGCACCTGTGGTCCCAGCTACTTGGGGGCCGGAGGTGGGAAGATCACTTGAGCCCAGGAGGTAGGGACTACAGTGGGCCATAATCATGCCACTGAATTCCAGCCTGGGTGACAGAGCAAGACCCTAGTCTCAAATAAATAAATTAATAAAATTTAAACTGTAGACCAGTAATTATGGGGGGAATCTTAAATAAAATATTAACAAATCAAATTCAGCATTACATTCAAATGATATGATAAAATCAACTGGGGTTCAGGCAGGAATGCCAAGAGGGCCCCATATTCAGAGACCTAATAGTGCCATAGGACAAGCAGAAAAAGCTCATTTTAGTAAATTTAAATGGCATCTGACAAAATCCAATACCCACTCTTATTTTTTTAAATAAAATTTCAGTTAAGAAAGAATAAATATTTTCTTGACATGACTGAAACATAAATCTCAAAGGTCAACCTATCCTCAGTGAGCAAACTCTCATTCATATCAGGATTAAAACAAGGATGCCCCTAATGTCATCATCATTTAACATTTCCTGAAAGTTTTGGCCAAGTGAGTAAGCCTCTCATTGATGCTAATATAATTATTTAAGAGTCAGAACAGAAGATAAATATTGGAAAGAAAGAGGCCAAATTATCATTATTTGCAGAAGAAATCATTTTAAGCCTTAAAATAGCAAGAGAAACAACTGAAAAAAAAAACTATTAGTGAGTACAAGACAGTTACATGGCTGGCTACACAATTCAGGAAAGTTCAAGGAAGATGCCGTCTTCATGGATCACAGAGGTTGCTTGCGTGTAGAATAGTGTGACCTCAGAAGGAGGATACCACCTTAGTGCAATTTGCCAAGGCTTGGAACTTTGCATTCTTTCAGAAGAATAATAAGTCTTTCTGAGAGAAGGAGGCTGCCAGCAAAGATTCCTCACCATGTGCCAAACAGCTCTATAAATTCTACTGTAATGAGCCACTTGGGGACCAATTTTTTCCAATGTTTAAGAAGAAAATACAATTTTAGGGCACTGATATATTTTCTCTTTTGGACCAGATATTAATATGATGGTGCAGTGCATTCTTGTCAAGAGGCTGAATCAAGGATTAGTCAGTTCTTCATTGCAGCACAGACTCCTCTCCCCACTCAATCCCTAGGCATCTGTGGCAGGAGAAATCTGGAAAGTCTCTTATGCTCTCTTGCATGATAAATTTCTCAGCTGAAAACACCGGAACCCTACCAATTATATTATATGAGCAAGACCAATATTCAAAACTATGCTAAAAGCAAAATTATTAACTTTATTTAGATATTAATAAGAATGACTTCCATGTTGGAAGAAATCAAACAACCCATGTGAATGCTAACCAAACTGTAAAGACATTTTGTTTACACGTGTATCACCATTACTGCAGTCTTGATTAAATCCACAATTTAAAACTGCTGCCATGATTTAGAAAGCACAATTTTAGCAGAATATTTGTTTTTGATTTTATGGGTAACAAAGCAAATTCACGTTAAAATGACTCATTTAATCTTCACACTCACTATATGAGTAAGATATTGTTATTTTGTTTTTATCAGATCGTAAATAGAGATTTTTAAAAGTTAAGAAATTTTCTCGTGTTCTCTAAGTTATTAGTAGCTGAAAAAAAATGGGTCTCAGGCCCAGCATTATTTGTCGTTGTTAGTTAAATATAAATGTGTGTGTGTATGTGTATATATATATATATATATATATATATATATATATATATATTTAAAATGGCTGGGCATGGCGGCTCATGCCTGTAATCCCAGCACTTTGGGAGTCCAGGGAGGGTGAATCACTTGAGACCAGAAGTTCGAGACTCAAGTCCTTTGGCTTCAAAACTGTGCCCCTGTGATATTAATTTCACTTGAGCCACTGAAGGTATTGGTAAATTTGAATCTAGGATGATACCTTATTTTTCTCCTTTTCAGAAACTTTACCGTGAGGGCTGGGATGAAATGAAGGCAGGCTGTGATGTCCGGCTGGATGCCATCCCCATCCAGGCTGCCAAGGCCTCCAGGGAGATTGCCAGTGACGTGAGTGGCCTTTTTTAACTTCTCAATTTTTTTTTTTTTTTTTTTTTTTTTTAGCCAATGCCCTAGGTATATCAAAAGGACATGCTGTGACCCATCTGCTTTATTTTTTATTTTTGCATCTCCAGTATAAATATAAGCTTGACCATGAGAAGCAGAAGGGACACTACGTGGGCACCCTCACAGCCAGGGATGACAACAAGATCCGCTGGGCCCTCATAGCTGACAAGCTCCAGAATGAACGAGAGTACCGGCTGGATTGGGCCAAATGGAAGGCGAAGATCCAAAGCCCCGCGGACATGCTTTCCATCCTGCACTCGAAAAATTCCCAGGCTCTGGTCAGTGACGTGGATTACCGCAATTACCTGCACCAGTGGACCTGCATGCCCGACCAGAATGATGTGATTCAGGCCAAGAAGGCCTACGAACTGCAGAGTGACGTGAGTGGGCTGCATCTGGGGATAAATGAACTCTTTTCTCATTTGGCTATGACTCCCAGAGAATTTATGACACTCAACCCTCTGTCATCATTTTACAACTTCATATCACCAAGAATTTAGTATTAGTGAGACCTTATAATATGGTGCCAAAATCATCAAATCCAAGAAGGACCTAGACTTTGTATCAGGAAATGAATGGTAGTGTGAATACAGGTCTTAATTGTATCAGTTAAAGAAAACTGTGAAAATATTCTTTCTGTAGAATTTAGATAGTAATAGAGGCTTATAGCCAGTAAAATATTAGCAGCCCACAGACAGTCCATGGACAGGATGTAGGCACAGACATGCTTTTTTAATTGATACATTTGAAATACATGCCTCTCAGGTTCAAGTGATTTAAGTTGCCAAGTTTTTAAAATCCAAAAACTTTAGTGTACAAATGTAGGGTTTCCCATTTCTCTTGAAAATTCAGACGACGCAGCTCTGAATTATCCTTTAGTCACAATAACCAGAACGGAATTGAGGATAACCCCCTTTAAATAAAAATATATGCACCAGTTTGTCACACTGCCTGGCCACCTAGTTAATTTTCTTACATTACCTGTGTGGCTACTTGAGTATGTCCTCCTTGGCTTAAACAGCATTTACATTGTATTTTGCTTCATCAGACCAATGGGTAGGCTAACTAGGACCCCATGACCAGGGTTGCTGAACTCATTCTGGCCTTGTTTTCACAGAATGTTTACAAGGCTGACTTGGAGTGGTTGCGTGGAATTGGGTGGATGCCAAATGACTCTGTGTCCGTCAATCACGCCAAACATGCTGCAGACATCTTCAGTGAGGTAGTCCAAGATTTTACGCTGACATTCAGTACACTTCCCAAGAAAGTAACAAAATACACAAACTAAAACGTAGTCATCTAATATCAGCAATTGTAAGCATTTCAGTTGCTGTAATTTAAATCAGACATATATGTTTTTGAAAATGTCCTGTCCCTATCACATTGTGGGACCACATCCATAATATAACATCCATCACACTCACCAACACTTGGGATTGTGTAAATGGAAAAATCCCTTTGTGAGCAATAGCTATATACTTGGGGAAACACTGTTCCACTGGAAAAATGCATATTATGATACACATAATTATACATTATATAACTTTGAGAACTAAGCAAACTTCCTACTTTAAAATCTGTGGGAGGCGTAGGAAGCCAATGCGTTTGTTTAAAAAATAAAATGCTAAAAAGAAAGCCAGATTCCCGAGAAGATGCCATTCAAATGTGGCACTGTATGTTTCTAGTAGAGAAGGACCCTAAATTTAGTGTGTGTTTCTCAGCTCACACATGTCCGGGAACTACAACTGTCTAAAAGATGCTTTCTTTCCCATAGAAAAAATATCGTACCAAAATAGAAACTCTCAACTTCACTCCTGTGGATGACAGAGTTGATTATGTGACAGCAAAACAAAGTGGCGAGATCCTCGATGATGTAAGAATATGGCTGTTTGAAAATCTCACAATGATGCAAATAACACTTCAAAGCTTTTCCATCTACTGACACTCAGCATGCGATCTTCTGAAACATGGATTTTAATCAGTGAAATGATGTATGCTAACAATTGCTTGGACGACACAATGTTTTCTTACCAGAAAGTAACTTGCCCCCTTGCCTCTCTTTTTTTTTTTTTTTTCTTTTCAGATTAAATACCGAAAAGACTGGAACGCCACCAAATCAAAGTACACTCTCACAGAAACCCCCCTGCTGCATACGGCCCAGGAGGCTGCTAGGATACTGGATCAGGTATGGGTTTCACCCAGATGCCTAGCATTTGTGTAGGAGTGGAAGGCCTTAATAGAACTGTGGGATAAATATGCACACCATGTACCCCTCCCTTCTGGCTTCTCATTTTAACCCTTTGTTGTGGCTCTGTCTTTCAGCATCTCTACAAGGAAGGCTGGGAGAGACAAAAAGCCACAGGTTACATTTTGCCTCCAGATGCTGTGCCGTTCGTTCATGCCCATCACTCTGGTGACGTTCAGAGTGAGGTAATTTATCCTGATGGGAGTGCATTTTGCAAAAGTGGAACCTTGCTCACAGGGATTCTAGTTATGCTGAAGGCAGAGATAGTACCTTACAGGTGTCCAGTTTCAGTGTGGCAGAGCTGGCCAAGCTTGGTGATGGTTGGAGGACCTGCTCCTTACTGGTCCTTCTTCCATGGGCTTTAGGCTTTCTTCTTTCTTTACCCCCGCTTGGCTTCTTTAAAAGCAATTGTTAGGCCGGGCGCGGTGGCTCAAGCCTGTAATCCCAGCACTTTGGGAGGCCGAGGCGGGTGGATCACGAGGTCAAGAGATCGAGACCATCCTGGTCAACATGGTGAAACCCCGTCTCTACTAAAAATACAAAACATTAGCTGGGCATGGTGGCACGTGCCTGTAATCCCAGCTACTCAGGAGGCTGAGGCAGGAGAATTGCTTGAACCCAGGAGGCAGAGGTTGCGGTGAGCTGAGATCGCACCATTGCACTCCAGCCTGGGTAACAAGAGCGAAACTCTGTCTCAAAAAAAAAAAAAAAAAAAAAAGCAATTGTTCAGATTCTTCACTTTTTCTTACATTCTCTGCCTTCCCTAAAGTCTTTAGGCCTTTGAATAAAATCAAGAATCAGAGAACAAGTGTATTTTTTTTCTATTTTTATTTATTTTTACAATTTTATTTTTATTACTTTTAGGGCTATCTCAATCTCAGCAAAATATTTTTCTATTTTTAAATAGCTGTGTCTTCACATGGATTTATTTGCTTTCTATTATTTGTTCTCAGGGTGGGGGGTGGGTGTTAAACAAAAAGCTTGGCGGGGCAGGGGCGGAATTTGCTGATATCCCTGAGTAGATGGTCAAGCCCCCTCTGCCTTGTGTGCTTGTCAAAACTGATGGAATTTATATTGCTCTTCTCACCAGCTGAAATACAAAGCTGAGCATGTGAAGCAAAAAGGTCATTATGTTGGCGTCCCAACAATGAGAGATGATCCTAAGCTGGTTTGGTTTGAGCATGCAGGCCAGATTCAGAATGAGAGACTATACAAAGAGGACTATCACAAAACAAAGGCCAAAATCAATATACCCGCTGACATGGTGTCAGTCTTGGCTGCCAAGGAGGGGCAGAACCTTGTCAGTGATATTGATTACCGTAATTACTTGCACCAATGGACGTGTCATCCTGACCAGAATGATGTTATTCAGGCAAGAAAGGCCTATGACCTACAGAGCGATGTAAGTGATTTTTGTTTCTTCATTATCTAGAAGTGCATGGTACATTCTAAGAATGATGAGCAACATCCCAGATCCACCAGTGCTTGAAATTTGAAGCCACAGATATTTAATTTATTTCTGAAGGGAACTGAGGCTGGATATGAAATAGAGAAAGATCAGGAGCAGTGACAGATTGATAGATTTGCTCACTGACTGCATTTCTGAATAACTGTCAATCAACTTTTTTTTTAATCTGCTTTTGTACCATTTTGGTCAGCAACTCCTCACTTACATTCACATGGAAAAGTGTCAGCTGATTGAAAATAATAATTTGCTTGAGTGGGAACTGAGAGAGTTGAGGTTTTAACAATATCAGATGATAGCACAGTTAAAGACCTAAACATGCCGTATTCCTGCTTTGCTAAGCATCTCATTCCTCAAGGCATTTATGAAGTTGTCCCCAAAGCAAAAGAGAAGAAAATACTGATTAAGCTGCATGAGGACCCAGTATGCCTCATGCAGAGCTTTGGTAAAGCTAGGGTAGAGAATATACCTCCCACTGAAGCCTGAATGGAGATCTTGCTTGATTCAGGCCACCAGCCTTCTGTTTGTGCAGCACAGTAACTTGCAGCATCAACTTAGCTGCTCAGGTGACCAGTGAAGCTAATGCTACCTGGGCCCTCTCATCATTAACAAAAGAGAAGCCGGAAGTCAAAGACTGCTGCAGCATAGATGTTGAACTTGAACATCCCACCTCACTGGTTGCTGCAGCAAAATAGCTGTTGTGGAACTTTCATCAGAATAGCAACTCCTCTTATTTTTGTGTGGGATAGGCTGGGAGAATCTAGGTGCTGGAAGCGGTAAGGGCAAGAATAGGTTTGGCCAGGACCCAGGAGATGCCTCCCCCTTCCCAATAAGTTAACATTTACTTGCGTAATTTACCTCATTTACCCGCATACTCCTACATGACTAAATGTACCAAAACCATCTAAAAGTACAACCTCCTTGGTAAGCCTTTTCTTATGACAATAGCAGAAAATAACAGCCCCTTCCCCTCAACTCCAATAGCATTTGGGCACTTGATCTAACAGTACTTCCTGCTTTATATATGACTTATCTTGACTCCTAAAACTCCTTCTTCATACTTATTCATCAAAACACCAAGCATAGTGCCTCTTGCACAGTCATAGCCTCAAGAAATACTGCTCAGGTGAAACCACTGTTGAATGAATGAGACAACAACTACTAGAGAGAAATCCTTAAAAAGCTTCTGAAAAAAAATTTAATCTGCCATCTGTAAGCCTGTGTCCCAGTCATTTATTTCTCCATTATGTTTCTCTTCCTGCTCTCAGAATGTCTACAAAGCTGACCTGGAGTGGCTCCGAGGCATTGGCTGGATTCCCCTGGATTCTGTGGACCATGTGAGGGTTACTAAGAACCAGGAAATGGTCAATCAGGTATGCAAAGCCTGTTCTCCTTCTAACCTAATGCTTGCCCTGCTACCTGCCATGTGGGGGTAGATAACCTGTAGTGGTAAACCTGTCTTCATTGTTTCCATTTCTTTACAGATAAAATATAAGAAAAATGCCCTTGACAACTATCCTAACTTTACAAGTGTGGTGGATCCTCCAGAGATTGTTTTAGCCAAGATTAATTCTGTCAATCAAAGTGATGTAAGTTTGCTTTGTGCATGCTGAAGTGCATAGACTGGGGAGTTCATTGTATCATTGAGGGGATAAGTTTAACTTTAGATAATTGCTTGTTAAAAAAAAAAAAAAAAAGAGGAGGTGATAAATTATCATCTTTGCGGATGTCTTAAAAGTCACTAGTAGGCTGGGCACAGTGGCTCATGCCTGTAATCCCAGCATTCTGAGAGGCCAAGGTAGGTGGATTACCTGAGGTCGGGAGTTCAAGACCAGCCTGACCAATGTGGAGAAACCCTGTCTCTAGTAAAAATAGAAAAAATAAGCTGGGCATGGTAGCACATGCCTGTAATCCCAGCTACTCGGGAGGCTGAGGCAGGAGAATCATTTAAACCTGAGAAGCGGAGGTTGCGGTGAGCCAAGATCGCGCCATTGCACTCCAGCCTGGGCAACAAGAGCAAAACTCTGCCTCAAAAAATAAATAAATAAATAAATAAATAAAAATCTAGTAGGTGGTAAATTTTATCCACTTTTGGCTATCTATACTCCTATCCAAATTCTGTTGTTTTAGTTAAAATGGACTAAAATTCAACCAGTTGGTCAATTTTAATCTCTAAACGTGGACTGATTATATTTCTAGGTAAACTTCTGAAAATGTAATATACATTTCTAGTAATAAAAGGTTTGCTTTTGTTTTCTCTCCTTAGGTGAAATACAAAGAAACATTTAATAAAGCGAAGGGCAAGTATACGTTTTCACCAGACACACCACACATCTCCCACTCCAAAGACATGGGAAAACTCTACAGTACTGTAAGTTCTCTTTTATGTAATAACCACTCAACTTCTAATTTTAAGCTTTTGTTGCATTCATATTCTTGGCTGATTTTATGAACTGCTGAACTTATAAGGCAACCTGTGATTTATTTTCCCATTGCTCTTAGTCTTGTTTATTAGAAGTAGCATGTTATTCAGGGCAAATTGCGTTTATTTGGCTGGAGCTCCTGTGATGTGCCAGGCACTTAGGGAGGCACTGAGAGCCTAAAGCTCAATGAGACAAGCCCTTCAGGAGCCCATGCAAGTGAGCCCAGGCAAGGAACAGACTTAAATCGATAGAATAATAATCTAACAAGTGCTCTGTGTGCACGGATGATTGAGCACCTGTCACCAGAAAAAAGGGAGAAAAGGCTGGTCCCTCTTTAACAATCATGCACCAGAATCTCCAGCCAACAAGAGGAAAACTTGCCCTTCAAAATTTCATTCAGCTAATTTAAAGGAGGACGATGGTGTGCACGTGTGCACCCAATGGGAAAGAATCTTTGCCAGTTCTCTCCCTGTGTGCAAATTTCTTGTCACTTTTACTAGGATCACAAATATAATCAACTGTTTTAAAATGCCTAGAGTTGGCCGGGCATAGTGAGTCACACCTGTAATCCCAATACTCTGGGAGGACGAGGTGGGTGGATTACCTGAGAGCAGGAGTTAGAGTCCAGTCTGGCTAACAGGGTGAAATCCCGTCTCTATGAAAAATACAAAAATTAGCTGGGCATGGTGGCATGCATCTGTAGTCCCAGCTACTCCAGAGGCTGAGCCAGAAGAATCTCTTGAACTCAGGCAGCAGAGGTTGCAGTGAGCTGAGTTCATACCACTGCACTCCAGTCTGGGTGAGAGAACAAGATTTCATCTCAAAAAAAAGTAAATAAATAAATATTAAAATACCTAGAGTCTGTAAACTTAATTTTCAATAAACCAAATAATTTCCCTATTCTAGGTAGCCGCACTAACGGCTATAGATAAAGATTTCAGCCTTGCCTTGAACATACATGTTTCACCTTAATTTGACCTATTGTTTTAGCGGCATCTGAAATAAATTGGATGCAAACTTTTGTTGCCACATATTTCTTTGTTCTAGATCCTGTATAAAGGGGCGTGGGAGGGCACCAAGGCCTATGGCTACACCCTGGATGAGCGCTACATTCCCATCGTTGGAGCCAAGCATGCTGATCTGGTGAACAGTGAGGTCAGTATGACCTTTTCCTCTCTTAAGTTTGGGAGTCTTTATTGGGGATCAAGGGACTGGTTAGAAAACTCCAGCGATTCTCACTGTTAAACCCATTTTACAGCTTAAATACAAAGAGATATATGAGAAGCAGAAAGGTCACTACCTGGCTGGAAAAGTGATCGGTGAATTCCCTGGTGTGGTTCACTGTCTGGATTTCCAAAAGATGAGGAGTGTGGTAAGCAAATGTCCACTTTCACACGGGATTTGTGCCCCGTAAGGGGGCTGTCGGGTCTGCCTATTTATAACTTGCCCTTGGTTCAGGTTAATTGGGAAATGGAGTGGCAGAGTCCTTCCTGAGCTTTTCCTCTGCCCTGCCAGTCAGCCTGTGGACTCTTGATGGCTGTGTGTTTTCTCCCTGCCACCTTCTCCCCACTATTAAATACTGAGACTGCTTTGTGTTGGGAAAAGGGAAAATCAACAAGATGACTATTTACCCTGTGTTATAAAAGGATGGGAAATTTCAGACCAGGTACAGTGGCTCACACCCGTAATCCCAGCACTTTGGGAGGCCGAGGCAGGCAGATCACCAGAAGTCAGGAGTTTGAGACTGGCCTGGCCAACACGGTGAAACCTCATCACTACCAAAAATACAAAAATTAGCTGAGTGTGGGGGCACACGCCTGTAATTCCAGCTACTCAGGATGCTGAGGCATGAGAATTGTTTGAATCTGAGAGGCAGAGATTGCAGTGAGTGGAGATCACGCCACTACACTCCAGACTGGGTAACAGAGCAGGACTTCATCAAAAAAAAGGTGTTGAGTGGGGCGGGGGAGTGGGGATGAGAAATTTCAAAAGAACAAGAATATATTAAAGTATGATTTTTTTAACCTTAGTTTATTCTAGAGATACTGATCTAAATGGGAAATAAGGATCTAAAAGAGATTGATCTGAATAATTTACATGTAAATCCCTTTCTTATTTTTGTCTTTAAAATGTATTAGTTGAACTACAGAAAACATTATGAGGATACCAAAGCAAATGTTCATATCCCCAACGATATGATGAATCATGTGCTGGCTAAAAAGTGCCAGTACATCCTCAGTGACCTGGAGTATCGACACTATTTCCACCAGTGGACATCTCTTCCAGAAGAACCTAATGTTATACGCGTCCGAAATGCCCAGGAGATCTTGAGTGATGTATGATGTCCCTTCTGCAGCTTGACTTAGCTATAGCTTCCATGACTCTGTCTTGGCCACCCCCCCAACCCCAGCTGCCATGTTCCCCTTGTCCCTGTATTCATAAATTGTGTTGCTTCTCAACACAAGGTGGCATGAATAAGCATCTTTTGGTGTAAGAATCCATTCTAAGCCATAGGACATATATGTTAAATATTTTATTGTTTTAACACTAGACACAGACTTTGATATTGAGCTCCAGCTTCTTTAGGCTTTGGACTTAAAGACCTTCCAGCTGGTGAAAGGCATACCCTATGTCCTCTAAGCAATAAGCACAGCCAGCGACTGATAGGAAATTATCAAATGCTCAATTGTAAATTCAGAATACCTTCCACATTTCACTGTTCTTTCTTGCAGAATGTATATAAAGATGACCTGAATTGGCTGAAAGGCATTGGTTGCTACGTTTGGGATACACCCCAAATCCTCCATGCCAAGAAATCATATGACCTTCAGAGTCAGGTGAGCCAACTTTCTAGAAGGACTGGCCCTCCATGGGTCATCAGAATCCATGGTGGTGTCAGTGGACTGATGACCAGGCTAAGAAAGCTGCTGTAACAGTGTAGGCTCTGACTGACCGAAGCCCCTCCTCTCCTGGTCAAACCTCTTCTAGTGGCCTGCTCTGGGGCTGGATCTTCCCATATGAGTCTCTCCTGCAGTTTAAGGCAGTGAACACTGATAACCAGAAGTTTACCTGGGAGGTGTTTCACAGTGAACTACTCTGAAGCATCTGTACTTTAGTTGATCAGGTTAACTTACAGAGAGTAGAATGCAAAAGCGTCCTTTGACTACAGGAAAAAAATCACTATCTGGAAAATTTTTTAGCACATGGTTCAGCTCTGATGGAGCAGATATAATAGAATGTTAGAAGTGAGGGGCTGCTGTCAGGGGTGGGGGATAGGCATGGAAAAGAAAAAATGGCCACAATCTTGACCCCAGTCTTGGTCAAGTGAAACTGTTCATTCTGGCAGCTATACAAAGTCTGCAGGACTCTAGAATTACAACCTGTTTGTTAGGATTAAAGCAGAAATCCAGAAATAAAGAAAGGTACATCTAAGTTGGCACAAGCAGCTAAAGCTGATGACAGACCTGTATGTTACCATTTTTGGTGACTTTTGTTTTTCTTCACAGCTACAATATACAGCAGCAGGTAAAGAAAATCTACAAAACTATAATCTGGTCACAGACACGCCCCTCTATGTGACTGCTGTTCAGAGTGGCATTAATGCCAGTGAGGTGCGTCTTCCTATACTTCTCTTCCTGGGACAAACTATTTCTTGTCTTTACATATTTTCAAACAACAGAGGTGAATAACCTGTTGTTCCTTGTCTATAGGTGAAATATAAAGAAAATTATCATCAGATTAAGGACAAATACACAACAGTTCTGGAGACAGTGGATTATGACAGAACCAGAAACCTGAAGAATCTGTACAGCAGTGTGAGCTGAGTTTTTTTTTTTTTCTCTCTCTTATATATGAGCCACCTTTCCCCCTTCCAAGACAGTAAGAGAATAAATGGGATGGACACTCTATCCCCAGAGGGTTTTCTATGGTTTTTTCCTGGACCTTTGATCCTACTTTACCTCATGAAATTCTAGTATGCACAATTAAATAAGCCCCAAATTAAAGAGGCGTCCTGGGAGTCGGTCGGCAGTGTGTGAGGACGACAGAAACAGAAGGAAAACCTGCTACTCAGAAGCGAACCAGAAGGCATTCTCGCATATTCACAAGAAGGTCTTTAATTCCTGCAGAACCTGTACAAGGAGGCCTGGGATAGAGTGAAAGCCACCAGCTACATCCTGCCCACCAGCACCTTGTCCCTGACACACGCCAAGAACCAGAAGCATCTGGCCAGCCGTGTAAGTCAAGCAAAAACATGACAGCTGTCCCACCCTCCCTTCCCCTCCCCTCCCCTCCCCTCCCCCCCCCCTCCCCTCCCCTCCCCTCCCCTCCCCTCCCCTCCCCTCCCCTCCCCTCCCCCCCTCCCCTCCCCTCCCCTGCCCTGCCCTGCCCTGCCCTGCCCTGCCCTGCCCTGCCCTGCCCTGCTCTCCACTCCAAGAATCTTTCAGCCTGATTCATATGTTGCCCAGAAGTACCCCCAGTGCTTCCATGGGCATGTCCAGGAAATAATTCCAAATCATTAGAGTCTATTCAGGCGTCCCCAAACTATGGCCCGCAGGCCACATGCAGCCCCCTGAGGCCATTTATCCGGCCTCCCGCCGCACTTCAGGAAGGGGCACCTCTTTCATTGGTGGTCAGTGAGAGGAGCACAGTATGTGGCTGCCCTCCAATGGTCTGAGGGACAGTGAACTGGCCCTCTGTGTAAAAAGTTTGGGGACGCCTGCTCTATGTTCTCACTGCCTCTCTCTCTGCTGCCTGGAGAGAATCACGAGCACTTGCAAGAAGGACAGGATGTGACCTCTCAGGCTGTCTGTCTGCACAGGTCTTGCATGGATAGTCTCTGCTAGAGCCAGAAGTAAGGATGGGCTGAAGACATAACACATCCTCCAAAAATAGACAATTTCAGTAGAATTACCTGGACATAGGGCAAAAATAAACCAGTGAATATAACTGGTTATTACTCCATGCCCAGTTAATATAAATTATTTTTTAGCAATGAAATAGAAAACATTAAAAAAGGCTAATTCTACTTTTTTAAGGTAGAACTTTTCTTAGATATAAACATAACTGTATAACAAACCAACCCTAAATCTCATGAGCTGTTTAAATATAGTAGAAGGTCGTTATGTCCTCTGACTCTTTATGCTTCTGTTTCATGACCTCTATCCATTAATGCACTAAAGTAAAACCTTTTATTGTAAAATTCCCTGTAACCTTTATTGTAATTTGTAGCCCAGTTATCTTTCAAAAAATTAGACTTGATCTCCTAATTGTGAACATTTTATATAACACTTTAAATTAGCATTTCTCAAACATGTTTTGACCATGACTCACAGTGGGAAATTTTTTTATTTCAAGTACACACACACACACACACACACACACACACCTGAAGTTTATGTGAGTTTCTTCTGGCATAATTGTCTCACAGAAGAGTAGTGACTGCTATACTAGAGACAATGTACTCTGATCATTTCTATTCTGTTCTACTCATTTAAATGCTAGTGACTCAGTAAATTGATTTCACTACGCTACTGGGCTTAGAGATGCACAGCTTAGAAAAAAACTTCATTAGACAATCTATGGACTTACTTAGTTTTTATCTGGAGGAAAAAGTAAGTTATATGATTTTACCCAGACCCAACTCTATTTGGAAGACTGCAAAAAGGAACAAACTTTTCATTTGGGAAGAAAAGTGTTATAGATAAGATTTACGAAGCTCAACAGAGGCTTTTTCCTTGAGTCATGAACAAAATTATAGAGGCAAGTTTCTTGGCAAATTGGTTTTGAAGCAAGGTAAAACATAGAGAAATTAATGCTGTAAAAGAAGTATTCTGACCTTATTTTAGGGGGAAAAAAGTTTTTGTTGTTGTTTTTTTTAAAGGGTACCTTTAAGTGCCATCATCTTTGAAGCTGAGAAATAGATTCGATGTAAAAAGCTGATTTTCTGTTCTGGAAAAATCTGGTGGAAATTTTGGTTGGTCTCCAGTCAATGAAGGGCATTGCTGAAATTCTGATACAAATATGTACTTCAATCTCTCATTTGTTAGAGATGCAGGTCTCTGAGTTGTGGGAGAATTGTTATTTTATTATCGTGTGTTATGAGACTGGATCTCAGTCTCTGTCTTAACCTGGTTTATGTAATCATGGAACACTAATTAATAGGCAACATAGCTTAAGAACTAATTGTTATCCCATAGAAGTTGATTGCACTGTACTTTTGAAAGCCTTGTAGAAACTGAAATCCAAGGATAGTGTCTTCTTAGCAGCAGACTTTTCAGTTATTAAAAACAAAGAAATTCCTGGGCACAGTTTTAATCTTGTATTCATTGTAGTGAGAAAAACAAAGTCATTACCACAGTATATTTTTAAGTTACATACTCTTTAAAATGAATTGCTTGTAGTAACAATAAAAGTGCTAGTATTGGCATAGGAATTTTGAAAACAGCAACCAAAATTTCAGAGTGCTCTACAGTTTAAAAGTACCTTTGATACAGGCTGATTTCAGCCCCACGATAACCCCATGACAGGCACTGGTGCCGTATCTCTCTGTACAGGTGGGGAAATGAGCTCAGAGTAGTGTCCCCAGTGCTGGGTGGATCTCAGAGTTGTTTTTCCCATTAAATCTTACCCTCTTTTAACAATATAAATCTATTACTCTCTAAAACTATGTTTCTTTCTTTCTTTCTACTTTTTCTCTATAGATCAAATATCGGGAAGAATATGAAAAGTTCAAAGCTCTTTATACGTTACCAAGAAGCGTTGAAGATGATCCGAACACAGCACGGTGCCTCCGAGTTGGCAAGCTTAACATCGACGTAAGTACCATCATGCATCCCTTAATGACTAGGATACCTTCTGAGAGCTGCGCCGTTCATGATGGGATTCCATCGTGCTAACATCATAGCGTGCACTTACACATACCTAGATGGTGCAGCCTATTGCTCCTAGACTACAAGCCTGTACATGTTGTGGTACTGAACACGGTAGGCAAATGTAACACAGGGGGACGTATTTACGTATCTAAACATAGAAAAGATACGGTAAAAATACAGTATTGTAATATTTTCACTGAAACATTGTTATAAAACACATGACTATAACTCCAAAGACCTTACTTCAAATTGAAGTCAAGTAAAATAACCATGTATTATTAATAGGAACATTTCTTTTCTTTCTTCTTTTGTTTCTTGCTTTCTTGCTTTTTTTTTTTTTTTTTTTTTTAAGATAGGGTCTCACTCTGTTAGTCAGGCTGGAGGGCAGTAGGGCAATCACAGCTCACTGCAGTCTTTACCTTCAAGGCTCCGGGAATCATCGCACTTCAGCCTCCTGAGTAACTGGGTCTAAAGGCATGCACCACCATAGCCAGCTAAGGTTTTAAGTTTTGATAGAGATGGGATCTCGCTATGTTGCCCACTCTGGTCTCAAACTCCTGGGCTCAAGTGATCCTCCTGCCTCAGTCTCTCACAATGCTGGGATTACAGGTGTGAGCTATTGTGCCCAGACTGAACGTTTTCTGTTTACCAAGGCATATGACACTGATTGTGCACATGTAAAGATACTACACATTATTTCAACTATAATGTTTTATTTTTTAAAAATTTTCCCTGGTATTAATCTGTAGGAAATGTCAGAAAATACCAGTCCCTGCCCTGCCCCCAGCTGTTTGCTGTGAGTTGGTTAACCTGACCTCTCATGTATGGCCATGCTGCCTTGGCACAATTTCCTGTATAACTGGCATGTGATTTTAACTTCACAGCGCCTGTACAGATCAGTTTATGAAAAGAACAAGATGAAAATCCACATCGTCCCCGACATGGTAGAGATGGTTACCGCCAAGGATTCTCAGAAGAAAGTCAGTGAGATTGATTACCGCCTGCATCTCCACGAATGGATCTGCCACCCCGACTTGCAAGTCAATGATCACGTCAGGAAAGTCACAGATCAGATCAGCGATGTAAGCCTGTGACTTAAGAAGCCCCCTCCACTGCCCTGCCCCATGCCCCCACCCAAAAGAGCAACAGACTCACCCATTTCTTTACCTTAGCCTTTTCCCACTATTTCTTTCCTATATGTTCATGGCCTGCCTTGACTGAGGAGCAGTCTCTGGAAGCAGGGCTCCATGTATGGATGTTTCTGTGGCTCCCCTGAGCCTCTTTGCATAATGTCCTTGCTCATCATTTTACAAAGGCTTCTGGGTCCAGAATGTGCCTATGTTTTTAGTGTTAAAGTTATTATGGTCAATTTTTTTCTCTGATCCTCTCTATCGAAACCCTCTAGATTGTGTACAAGGATGACCTCAACTGGCTGAAAGGCATTGGTTGCTATGTCTGGGACACTCCTGAAATCCTCCATGCCAAGCATGCTTATGATCTACGTGATGATGTGAGTTTGCCTCGTTTTGTTCTTTAGTATATTTCCATTTCTGCATAGAGTCAAGAGGGAATTATTTAAAACAGGGGCGTTGTCACAGATCAGCTGTGGGGGTGGCTGAGCTGAAGAAGGATGCTAGGAGCAGAGTAACTATCACTTGGGGAAGCATATGGCACTCTATTGAACAATGCAGTCCAGGTATGCCATCATGCTCTGGCAGAGAAGGGATTGCTGGCTCTCCTTTCTACTTTTTAGACTATTTTGGATATATGAACAAGCACTTAATTATCGTTTTAGGAAAGTGCTTTTTGCTAGTGTTTGCAATGCTATAGACAAGATCTATTTGTAAAGAGAGGATTTTTCAGGCAAATTAAACACTGTAATGAAGATTTCAGTAAGAAAGCTTAAACTTTCCTAGAAGAGTAGTTGTCAAGTGTCCTAGAAGATGCAAGAAGCCCCATATCGCTGTTATAAAATTCAAATGCATCTTGGTCTGTCAAACAAGTGCGGATGAACGTAAAGCTCATGAGTTAAAAGCAACCAAACCCTCTACGAAAACCAGCAGTTTCAAGTACAAGGAATGGTCCAACATGGGCTCATTTTCTTCTTCTCGGCAGATCAAGTATAAAGCTCACATGTTGAAAACAAGGAATGACTACAAGCTTGTCACAGATACCCCAGTCTACGTGCAGGCTGTCAAAAGTGGGAAACAGCTGAGTGACGTAAGTGCTCCCTGGGGAAGTTAAGTGGACAGTAATAGAGACAGGGCCACCACTCAAGCAGAGGGGTAAAAACCATAGGCGGGGCAGTGCCAAGTCTTTTCTGAGAAACCAGTGATGCTGCTGCTGCTGTTTCCTAAAATCTGATGTGTTCAAGCAGTTTGCTGGGGTGGAGTTGTAAGTGATCTGAGTCTATGAAGTAACTTTGGGCCTTAGTGCTTCCAACATTGTTTTTTGTGCCCTGGGTCATTGCAAGTTTATTTCTGTCTAAGCCAGGTGTCCCCAGACTTTTTACACAGGGGGTCAGTTCACTGTCCCCCAGACCGTTGGAGGGCCCCCACATACTGTGCTCCTCTCACTGACCACCAGTGAAAGAGGTGCCCCTTCCTGAAGTGCAGCGGGGGGCCGGATAAATGGCCTCAGGGGGCCGCATGCGGCCTGTGGGCTGTAGTTTGGGGATGCCTGGTCTAAGCCATTTAATAAATTAGAGCCAACTATGGTAGAATAAGAAGCAAGCAGGCTCTGAGGTTAGAGATGTGGAGCGCGGTCTCGGCTCTACCACACATTATCTATGAGGCTTGTGAAAAGCACTGAATCCAGCTGAGCCTCCCATCCTGATGCATAAGATGGGGACGTAAGGAAGCACCCACTGTGATGCCTGACGTGGAGCAGGCAGGGCAGGCACAAAGCTGCTCTTTCTTTATTAACTCTACAGGATGATAAGTCAGTATCAGATCCCACCAGTGAAAGCAAACATTGAGACCTAGTATTTTGGAACTTCTCGTGGTAAAATGCCCACCCTTCCTCTTCTTGTGCCTGGGCCATCTCTTCTATTCCTCAGTGTGAGTGTCCACACCCTGGCTCTGATCCTATTGGACAAGCCACAGTAATGTGTCAGATGAGTTCTCCAGGCAAGGGGAAGCAGGCTACCATTATTTTTTTAAAGAGAGATCTGGGTTTCCCTTTTCTTTGCTTCTAATAATGCTTCTCCCTGCACCAGGCTGTCTACCACTATGACTATGTGCACAGTGTCAGAGGCAAAGTGGCTCCAACTACCAAAACCGTGGATCTGGACCGGGCCCTTCACGCGTACAAGCTCCAGAGTGCGGTGAGCAGTGAGAACTTGAGAGTGCCCAGCAGAAGTCCATTCCATCAGCCTCCGTGGAAGCAAGCTCAGTCTGCTTTCTCTTGACGTGTCCTTGTAAAATATAAATGCTGTTCGATTCACATGAGGTGAAAAAAACCAAAACACCAAACAAAGCATACTCTATCTTCCCTCCTGGCTGCCAGGATCCTCCTGTGGAGCAATCAAACCAACATAAATGGGCATTTTTCAGCAATATTTACAATTTACAAAGAAGAAAGCCAGTATACCTTCTCAGCTTTCAAAAAGCTGAAAATCAGGATGACAGAGATAAGGCCTTTAACCTCAATAAGAGATAAACTAGAAATTGTTGTTGGTATCCAGAAGAGAAAGAACCTAGATCCCACCTACCTATTCTGCGTTACCCAATGGTGCTGATTTGGTCTCAACTTTTCATGCTATTTCCCGTCTTGAGCATTAAAAATAATTTTGGGCCAGGTGCAGTGGCTCAAGTCTGTAATCCCAGCAGTTTGGGAGACCAAGGCAGGCGGATCACCTGAGGTCAAGAGTTGTGACCAGCCTGGCCAACATGCTGAAACCTCATCTCTACTAAAAATACAAAAAATTAGCTAAGCATGGTGGCACATGCCTCTCAGCTACTTGAGGAAGGAGAACCACTTGAACCCAAGAGGTGGAGGTTGCAGTAAGCCGAGATCGCGCCATTGCACTCCAGCCTGGGTAACGAGCAAAACTCTGTTCCAACTAATAATAGTAACAACAATTATTATTATTTTGGCCAGGCACAGTGGCTCATGCCTGTAATCCCAGCACTTTAAGAGGTTGAGGCAGGCAGATGGCTTGAGCCTGGAATTCAAGACCAGCCTGAGCAACATGGTGAAACCCCATCTCTACAAAAATAAATAAATTAGCCAGGCATGGTGGCATGCATCTGTGGTCCCAGCTACTTGGGAGGCTGAGGCGAAAGGATTACCTGAGCCCAGGGAGGTCAAGGATGCAGTGAGCTGTGATCGTGCCACTGTGCTACAGCCTGGTGACAGAGTGAGACCCTGTCTCAAAAACGAAAGAAAAATAATTTGGTATTTCATATTTTAAATGTAATTCTCAATCTTAAACTCCAAGAGACAGAGTATTTAAGGTCACAGGCAGACATTCCACCTGGTCCTCCCTTTCGCCATGAACATGTGCATCCTGACCTCTTCACAGCTTGATGTCAAGACATCGTGTTTGGAGCGGGCAGGAGAGGGTAACACAGACATACACCTGGCTATATCTTGGTGATAGCTTGAATATCATCACCTGAGATGGAGCAATGACAAAGGTGACACTTGGTTACCTGTCTTCTCTTCATTTCCCAAATTCTTGCTAGATGCCATACAGTGAACTGGGCATATGTTCAGAATCATACAGAAATTACTTTTTTTTTTTTTTTTTTTTTGAGACAGGGTCTCCTCTGGAGACTCCCAAGCTGGAGTGCAATGGTGCAGTCACAGCTCACTGAAACCTCAAACTCCTGGGCTTAAGTGATCCTCCCACCTTAGCTTCTCAAGTAACTGGGACTACAGGCACATACCACCATGTCTAATTTTTAAACTTTTTGTAGAGATGAGATCTTGCTATGTTGTCCAGGCTGGTCTCAAATACTGACCTCAAGCAATCCTCCTGCCTTGGCCTCCCAAAGCATTAGGATTGCAGATGTCAGCTACCACACCTGGCCAGGAACTATTTTCAATAAACCATTGTTCTATTTTTCCGAAACAATAGGTGAAGAGTAAACTGACTTATTTCATGACTCTTAGAATGTATTTAATTTTTTCTTGAAATCAATTCAGTGAGCATAAGAATGTAAAGTATCTGGTCCAAAACCTAACATGAGCTATATGCGCTTTGTTGAGCTCAGATCAGTTACTTCATGCCAGATGTCATTTAACCTGCTGTTCCTCGTTCCTGCAGAATCTATACAAAACCAGCCTGCGCACCCTGCCCACTGGATATAGACTTCCAGGTGATACTCCTCACTTCAAACACATCAAGGATACCCGTTACATGAGCAGTTATGTGAGTAGTCTCCTCCTCGTTGAGATGGGTCTGAAGGTGGGGTAGGAGGAGACTCATATTAATAGCCTGTTATAATTCTCCAGTCATACCCTAAAGGTTCAACCTGATATAATAATGGGAGCTGGGGAGGAGAGAGAGCACATTTTTAGGGGTGCTGTGGAATTGACTACTTCTGCAATTCAGCAGTGCCTGGGTAGCCCCGTGGGTTAGAATAGGATGTTCGTGGACGCCTTGGCTGAGGGCACACAGCTGTCATGATGCTTCTACTTCTGCTGGCCTTACTTAGCACAGAAGCACTCTGAATTATGCCAAGCCATTTACTGGAAATGCAACTTCACACACGTACTACTACTGAGGTGTGGTGATAGTATTGTCTTCCTTCTGCTATGTTTAACTGCAGAAGCTATAACATCCCCATGTGTTCCTTTGAAAAGAAGACTTCTTGCCTAGCTGTTGGCTCTGATACTTATCTCACTACTTATCCTCTGTGCCCAGTTCATAGAAGACTAGAGGGGTAGACAGGCTCTTACTACCTTCAGCTTGCTCAGATAATGACACTCATGCTGCTCTTCTCCACTTTTTACAAGTACCCAATTGGGACTTGATACATTTACCACATGGAGAAGGCTTAGGGAAGTTGTGGCCGTCCCAGTAAGTCTGGCCTGTGTACCACAACCAGCCACTGGTAGAATAATCAGCTCTCCCTCCACACTACCCTTCGTAGTCCTGGAAATCAAACGTACTGGCCATAAAGGACCTAATAGCTTATGGTTCAATAATGTACTTCCAAAGTAGACAGTCAAAGCTTTAATAATTTAACACCTAAAGGATGTGTTAAAATCAATCCACCAAGCCACTCATCAGTCCTAAATACATTCTCTTGTTTCTTTGTATTTTCTAATTTTCTAGCCACATTAGGGCTAAAAATACAGATTTTTCTCTGTCATTTTGCATACCTCTCTACAAACAGATTTCACCTAGGAAGGGTTGAAATTTATTCCTTTCTGGGACTGGTTTTATTTTGCAGCACATAATTTTCAAGGTCTGGATTAATACTGAAATTTTGTCCATGCTTTTCTTCATACTTAATTCTTAAAAAGAGCAATCTTTCAAATAAAGGTGACGTCTCTTTTCTGTTTGAAGAAATGTAATGTCGCTCCTTGTTTACCCATCATTAATCTCGTTCTGACTTTGCTTTCGCAGTTCAAGTACAAAGAAGCCTATGAACACACCAAGGCATATGGGTATACACTCGGTCCCAAAGATGTTCCATTTGTCCACGTCCGGAGAGTCAACAATGTTACCAGCGAGGTACCTGAATGCTGATTCTCTGAGAGGCATATTGAGTTTCAATGGCCATGGCTTTGTTTGAAATGCATTAAGAATTAATTGTATTTCCATTGTAAACTTACATACCATCAAAAAGGAAGAAAGTCCTTATTGTCACATTTTGATGCTGGCATTTCTTGGCAGTGTTTTGTTGTTGTTGTTGTTGTTGTTGTTGTTTTGTATTTGGTAATGCCTTGCAGATATGCAGTTTAATAGATTATGATGCAAAACTTTTCTAAAGAAACAATTTCTTCTTTTGACATTTATATTCAAAAATCTTTAATAAGGTTGCATTTTAGTCTGACTCACGACCTTGGTTTTCTACACCAACTATTGGTTTGCATATCTGATCCTACTATGCAACTATCTGATAGAAAGTGGAAGGCTTTGTGCTCAGAATTCTTTACCTAAATGAAATAACTCTCGTTTTCTCCTTTTTTCCTTATCTCAAATCATTTCCTATATCCTTGATATTTCTTCCCCTGGTTCTTTATGTAAAATATTTTGTTGTTGATTAGTCAGTAGATGCCCTCAACAATCCCCTACTAAATACCTATAATGATATTTCCTTCAATGTAGAGACTGTATCGGGAATTGTACCACAAACTGAAAGACAAGATCCATACAACTCCCGATACCCCTGAGATCCGCCAAGTCAAGAAGACACAAGAGGCTGTCAGTGAGGTGGGTATTTTCCTAGAAAGACAGGGAGTGGAGACCTGGGATAATATCAGTTGTTCAGTCTCTAATGCATGTGTTTTGGGGTATTTTTTTCTTTAGTTGATCTACAAATCAGACTTCTTCAAGATGCAGGGCCACATGATCTCTCTGCCATACACACCCCAAGTGATCCACTGCCGCTATGTGGGAGACATCACCAGTGATGTAAGCATCTCGTAGGGGTCTTTCTGGAGTAGTCTTACCAAGAGGCAGGCTTGCTTTCAGCAAGTAAAGCAACCAGTGGTCTTTGAACAGCCTTTTCTGATAAGCACTTCCAACCAAGAGTACAAATTGGAGGTAAGGCAGTGTGGAAGGAGGATGCCACAATTCTCCACCTATGGAAACAGAGGACCAATTGGGGAACACAGAATTGCCATTATTCTTGATCACCCAGTGACCACCGTTCTACATTCAACACAGAATCATTCCAACTCCTCACTCACTATGTGGCCTCCAACCCAGGTCATGTTCAGTATTTTCCTCTGACTCATCCCTGCTCCAAACCCCATTAACGACTTCTTGCTGCATTTTTTCATTCTCCTTGTATGTTCTCTCCTTCTAAAAAACCAATCCATTCAATCTGTTCTTTTCTCCAATCAGTATTATAGTAATAAAATAGCAGTGTTCTTTCCTCAGCTTGGGGCTAGAGACTTAAATGAAAAAATATGTGACTTACTTGGATGTAAGTAAACTAAGAGTACAAGATAGATGAACCTGCAGCCAGGCACTTTGGGAGGGTGAGGTGGGTGGATCACCTGATATCAGGAGTTCGAGACCAGCCTGGCCAACATGGTGAAACCACAACTCTACTAAAAATACAAAAATTAGCTGGGCATGGTGGTACATGCCTATAATTCCAGCTACTTGGGAGGCTAAGGCAAGAGAATTGCTGGAACCTGGGAGGTGGAGGTTGCAGTGAGCTGAGATTGTGGCACTGCACTCCAGCCTGGGTGACAAGAGCAAAACTCTGTCTCAAAAAAAAAAAAGTAGATGAACCAAAATGAAAGATACAGTAATAAAGAAGTGTTGCTACTCCATCTTTTGTGTTTCCTGATTTACATTTGCTTATGACCAGCTATATTTCTGTGTTTGCCTGTCAGATTAAATACAAAGAGGACTTGCAGGTCCTGAAGGGACTTGGTTGCTTCCTGTATGACACTCCTGACATGGTCCGCTCCCGGCACCTGCGGAAGCTCTGGGTGAGTGCACAGCGTCACAGTGCCTAATTAACCCTGCACAGCTGGATACACCCATCATCTAGCCTCCAGGGCTAGGCAGAAGGGATCTTAGCCTGCAGCTACTTTTAAGGGGAAAATTTACCATTAACCCATGTGAGCAAGTTATCACCTGCTTATTATGATCTGTGCCTCCTGTGGAACGTGCTGAGCTTAGTTAAATTACAATTGTTTCTGCCTGGGAAGTCACCCTGGACATATGAAGGCCCTGCTCAGCTGATACATGTCAGACATTTGAAAGACAGTATGACATGAATTCCTTAAGTGATTAATCAACTTGTATTTTTTTTTTAAGTCTAATTACCTGTACACTGATAAGGCAAGGAAGATGCGAGACAAATACAAAGTGGTACTTGACACTCCAGAATACAGAAAAGTGCAAGAACTGAAGACACATCTGAGTGAGGTAAGGACGCTTTACCTGTCACTAAAGTCAGCCAAATTGACCAGTACAAACTGAATTTTTCCACAAGTGATCGCTGTTCAGGCAGCTGCAGCAGGTAAGATATTTTCCCTCTTAACTGTGGAATGGCTACTATGTGTAAGCAAGTCAACTGACTCCACTTTTCCTCAGTTTACTTATTTTGCCTTTTGTTAAGTTATGCATATTAATACTTGCTCTTCATGTATCTAGGGCTGATGAGGTGTTTTCTTTGAGTTTATAGATTAGAAAGACCTTACTTATTCGTGTCGTCTCCAAACTGATCTTATTTCAAAATTTTCTTTCACTTTGATTCCCACCATCAGGAGCCCTGAGCACGGCAGTGCCATTGGAGAAGTCTTCAATAGCTCCTTGCTCTGCTGCCCACTCAATAAACTGCAGGCTACTTAGTTTCATTTTCATCTGGCTCCTGATATATTGTGACTAGATCTGATCCTCTCTTTAGACTGCTGGTACCTTGATAACTGGACCCATGTTATTTACATGTGTCCCATAGTACCTTGGCTATAATAGATGTGCATGTTTGCCAAAGGGCATTTGACAAGTGTAAATGATTGCTCTCATCTGGGTCAGTTGGCCATTCCCATTCTCCTGTCACTCTGGTATTGTAGCTCTGTTCATCAGTTTGTACATTCACCATTCTGTATTGTGGCTTCACCCAGCTGAGCACTGGTTTCCAGGCCATTTCACCCTTCTCAGTAGCTCTGATGGCTGCTGATTAGGAATCTTATGCTCTTAGCGATGCCCTGGAATACCACATGTCTCCCTTAGTGGAGGGGATATGCAGCTTCCTATACTCAGTGAGCCAGAGACAAAGGATGACTAACTCTTCAGCTTTTGCAAATGCAACATTGAGCCCATTTGCATTCCTGAAAGTTTCTCTGTGTCATTTCAGCCAGTGCTTACACTCAGACTGGAACACTTTTGTTATTTTTATCCCAGTAAAGTTGTGCTTTTCCACTCTGGTTCAGTATGAGAATCACCTGTGGAATATTTAAAAACCACCCAGAGAGGGCTCTGACCCCTAGTTCCACATCAGACTCAGGTTTTCTGTGTCTGGGTATCTGTATACTTTTAGATGCTCCGCAGAGACTCTAACAATACGCAGCCTGTGTTAAAAACCACTGCACCACATCTCTTCTCTAGCTACCAAATAATAGTAATAAACTGGTAACTTACAGTGCTTCAGAGTAAAGATTACTCAGAAATACCTTTACTCTTTTTGGCTTTCAGGGTTCAGAATTATCTAAAACTTTAGTTTCTCCTCTTCTCAATTCCTAGGGGGATTTTGTGCCAATTGTGCATCAGCACTGAGGAAGAAGAATGGATACTTTTCAGTAGTGCAGTTTTTTTGTCTCTTCATAACGATGACTCAGGCTTGATAAAATGCTTATCCAAGGCACTCCCCTGAATTCAGAAGGGTTGGAATAGAGCCTACAAATCTGTTTTTAATTAAGAAACTTGCTGGGTTTTAATATCAGGAAAGTTTGGAAAACATTGAGTTAGTAAAATGTTTGATGGCCAAAAGAAGTTCAAGTTACTGACGTTTGAGCTGTCTTTCAATTGTATAGATTCTTGACATAAACACATTTGTAGTACTAGGAAGCAGAGATGTTGTTTCAAGAAGCATAAACGATGCTTACGTAAGTACAGGGGAAATAAAATACACAGAGAAATGTATAATTCTAGAAATGGCATAGAGGCCAAGCACAGTGGTACACACCTATAGTCCTAGCTACTTGGGAGGCTGAGACCAGAGGATCACTGGAGTGCAGGAGTTTGAGGCCAGCCTGGGCAACACAGTAAGACCCTGTGTCTAAAACTACATAAATAAAATAAAAATAAGAAAAAAAAATGGCTTGGGAGAATTGGGTTTTAGTCCCAGATTTACTTCCAGTTGGCTCTATGACCTTATGTAATTCACAACTTTAGCACCCTAATTTCCTAAACAAGAATTGAACTAAATGATGATTTGAGCTCTTTTTAACCGTAAAATTCTATGAGTTGTTGATTTACTTTACTAAAAATTGAGTGTGGAAGAAACATTGTTTTCATTTAGTTTTTTTTTTTTTTTTTTTTTTTTTGAGACGGAGTTTCGCTCTTGTTACCCAGGCTGGAGTGCAATGGCGCCATCTCAGCTCACCGCTACCTCCGCCTCCTGGGTTCAGGCAATTCTCTTGCCCCAGCCTCCTGAGTAGCTGGGATTACAGGCACACGCCACCACGCCCAGCTAATGTTTTGTATTTTAAGTAGAGACGGGGTTTCACCATGTTGACCAGGATGGTCTCAATCTCTTGACCTCGTGATCCACCCGCCTCGGCCTCCCAAAGTGCTGGGATTACAGGCTTGAGCCACTGCGCCCGGCCAAGTTTTCATTTAGTTTATCTCTTTCTTTACACACAAAAAAGCCCCAAACACATGAGCTACACTTTCTTTGAACTTGCAGTGGTATATATTTTGGATTTAAAGACATTGACCTCTGTGTGTGTGTTTAAAATATTTCTTACATTTTATCTGTTCAACTGGTATTTATATCCATGATTAGAATCTATTTGGTAGCCATTTGTTCTTTCTCACTTGCTTCATTATGTTAAATTCCTTCAACATTTATTAGGGAACTGCTATTGACCCTTTGAGCTCTGGTTGATGAAAGGATCATAGCACTAAACTGCCATGCCCTAGTCTTGGAGAAGAAACAGGCATCAGTGTGATAAATGGTCTCATGTAGGAATAGTCAAAACAGCATGGGCTCTTGGAGTTTTCCAGGTAAATGAGGGAAGAACACTGAAGGCAGGAAGAACAGTATGTGAAAGCAGCCATAATGAGTTCTAGGAACTAGGACTAGTTTACATAGCACACAAGGGGTGTGGAAGAACAATGGGAAATTATAGAAACATGGGTTGGAGCCAGGTTATAAAGACTTGTAGGTGTTATGTAAATGACCTTGGACTTTATGAAAAATCATTGAAGAATTATTTCTAGGAAGAATAGATTTGAGCGTTAAGAAAATATGTGTCTCAGACTTTTGAAAGATGGGTGAACTGTGGAGTAGTCCAATAGAGGAGTTGAGCAGGTGGTTTTGACGTGTAGAAAATAAGACGGAAGGCTGAACTAGGGCAGTGGTGTTGGCAAAGAATCAGATTTCAGGAATAACACAAAATTAGGAGCCCAGGATTCATGACCATTTTGATGTAGGAGCCTAGGATGACTCCCCCAGTTTCTGGCCTGAGTAACTGGGGTATCAATGAGTCATTTAGCATAGTAGAGAAAATAGGAGAAGCAGCAATTTGAGATAGAGCTAGAGGCAATATAAAGAACTACACATTGAACATGGTAATTCACCCAAATTCAGAAAGTTGTTGAAAACTTGGATCTGGAGCTCAGGAGAGGCACTGGATATGTAGACTCGGAAGTCATCAATCTCAAAGTGATGCTTGAGATCACAGGTACAGATGAGATCACTGCAGGAGAATGTACTGGGTGAAAGCGGCCAATCCTTCACTCCAGCCAACAGCAGCCTTTGCATAAGGGCAGAACCACAGAGGGAGGCTGATGAGGAGACCTAAGAGACAGGAGGCCACCTAGGGAAGAATGCTGCAATGGAAGCCAGAGAAGAGAGTTTTCAGGAATGAACACCAAGCAGTTTCAGTTGCTACAGAGAAGTGTTATCGTATTGGCAATCGTGAAGTTCTTGGTAGTCTCAACGAGAGTGACTTCATTGATGTGGGTAGGTGGGAGCCAAACTATGGTCTTGAGAAATTAATTAAAATAGAGACAGAGAAGAAACACAGGCAACTTGACTGAGAAAAGAATGAAGTTCATTGGCTGGAGGCTGGAAAAGGCTTAATTAATGACAGAGGTCGGGGGCTGCTGGGTGAGGTCTTGAGTCTGTTTGCAAATGAAGAGAGAGGGTTGGGAAAACAGGAAGGGTGGAAGATACAGAGGAGAAGCGGACAGTTGCTGGAATAGGGTGCTAGAATGGGACCAAGAACACAGCAGGAGGCTTCCGTTTTGGATAGGCTAGAGAATGTCTCGTTTTGATACAGAGGAAAAAAAAGAAAGGAAAGGTGCAAGAGATCAATAAAAGGTTGGTTTATTGGGAAGAAACTGCAATTGTTGCAGTAGGAGGGCCCCTGCCTTTTCTATGTAAAAGAGGTGAAGGCATCTGCAGAGAACATGACGTGGCCATGAGGCAGAAATGATGCTGATGACTTTGTTTATGTCTAGCTGGTCTACAGAGCTGCAGGCAAGAAGCAGAAGTCAATCTTTACTTCAGTTCCTGATACTCCTGATCTTTTAAGAGCCAAGCGAGGACAGAAGCTTCAGAGTCAGGTAAGCTGAGAAGTTCACAAACCTGCGAGTCAGGCATCACAGGGGCTATTATGAGTGCCTGGCCTCTCTGGGCCAGTGGCAGACTCACACACTTGGTTGTCCTGGCTGCAACTTCACGCTCATTAACACTGCACTTGAAGAAGCAGTTCTCTTTGGGGCCATGATAATTATGGTTGTGTTTTACTCAGGCAAGGGATGCCACATCTTCTTTCCTACGTGCTATAAAACTTCTGTTTTGGAGTCTGTGGACTCAAAGTAATGAAAATGATTGCTTAATCATTCTGTGGGATCTTCCTGTTAGCCACAAACAAATGAAGCCATATTTCATTCATTAAAACAAAAATGAGAGGAAAATATGTTGAGGGATCTATGGGAATCCTCTCTCTCTTCTGTTAGCATTCTTTATCACATGGCTTTGATTGGATCATACTCAGCAGCAGGCATATTAGATAACTGGGGTATGTATATGTGTTTTCAAACATGAGACACAGGGAGAAGCAAATTAACAGAAACACATGTAAGAAAAAAACAAGCAAACATCAGGACTGTAAACAGATACCACCTACCCACTGAATGGTCAGAAATGAAGTGGGCTAAATGCTAAATACTAAATGCTTTATCTCCATGACACCTCACTTTCTTCTCTTATTATTCAGTATCTGTATGTTGAACTTGCCACCAAAGAGAGACCCCACCATCACGCTGGAAACCAGACCACAGCCTTGAAGCACGCTAAACACGTGAAGGACATGGTCAGCGAGGTAAGATGAAAATCAGCACTGAGGGACCGGGTAAAAGGAAAAATACTTTGTTAAAACCTTCCTCTGCTACCTCCAATCAGAGAGCTCATTACTATACATGGTGCTCAGCATCATCAAAACACAAAAGAGAGAGCTATTCTCTTAAAGAGGGTAATACATTGTGCCCCTCCACTAGACCTGTGGCTTGTTTGGGAATTGGGAAGACACTTAAGCTTGTCTCTCTCTCTTCTATTTTTATTTATCAGAAAAAGTACAAGATTCAATATGAAAAGATGAAGGACAAGTACACTCCGGTTCCAGATACGCCAATCCTCATCAGAGCCAAGAGGGCTTACTGGAATGCCAGTGACGTATGCATCCCTTCCTTTTTCCTTCTGTTGTGATAGGGAGAGCTGAGGTTGAAGTATCTAAGACAGAACGTATTTCAGCCATATCCATAGTTCTAAGTCATGGCTGAAGGAAAAAAAAAAACCACAAATTTTGCCGGGTGTGGTGGTGTGTGCCTATAGTCCCAGCTACTTGGGAGGCTGAGGTGGGAGGATCGCTTGAGCCCAGGAGTTCTGGGCTGTAGTGCGCTATGCCAATCAGCTGTCTGCAGTACGTTTGGCATCAATAAAGTGACCACCCCGGAGCGGGGAACCACCAGGTTGCCTAAGGAGGGGTGAACCGGCCCAGGCTGGAAATGGAGCAGGTCAGAATTCCCATGCTGATCAGTAGTGGGATCGCACCTGTCAATAGCCACTTCATTCCAGCCTGGGCAACATCTCAAGACCCTGTCTCTAAAATAATAATAATAATAATAAAAATAAATGACAAATTTTTTAAAAGAGAAAAATATGGCCCAAATAATGCAAGTCAAGCAAAATAGCTGAGATACCAGAAGCCTATCCTTCCCAATTCTCTCCTGAACAAAAATAGGACCCTTTATTGTAATTCTTCAGTACCATTTTCTAGGGATACTTGACAGTTAATTTATTTATCCAAAAAATTATGGTCTTGGAGTCAGCCAGACATGGATTCCAATCCTGATGCTGTTATTTGCCTGCTGTATAATTCTATATCATTTGTCTGATTTTTCCAAGTCACTCTTCTTATATGTGGAAGGACCATGAGAATTTTGATAATTAAATGAAACCAAACAAGATAATGTGTATGTGTCCAGCATGCTGCTGGGCTCCTAGTTGACCCGTAGATGTTTGTTCCCTATCTTCTCTTAATTGTATATAGATCATCTGAATAATGACACAGTGGTTAAAATTAGGGGGGACAGACGTTCATTTTCCATATCACACAACTCAGGGCAAGACTGCCTTTTAATGGTAATATAATTATCCATTAATGAAGATGTGAAATAGTGAATCCAAGGTAAATGGCCATTCCTTATGGGTTTTGTGTCCCAGCACCCAACCAGGAATTCACTGTACTCATGACTAGAACCACACCCTTACGGGATTACATATGCTGGGACTTAAACTGAGCAAAAAAATCAAGCCAACTTCATGACCCATCAACTTAGCAACATAGCTCTAGAATTTCAAGGCATCTTACGGTAATTGCAGTAAGCCCTAAGCAGAAAAGAGCAAGTACAGCAAATCTGAACAATATATCAGTTCCGTAATTTTGTTAGGAATTTTTTATTTGGAGCAGAGAAGAGCCTACTAATTAGAAAAAGGCAATTTTTTAAGCCAGTTAGTGCTTAAAATATAAGCTGGGAAAAAATCATATACTCCCCTCAAAGTCTACCTTCTAGGATATTTTTAGTCTTCTTGTGACATCCTTCATCATTATCACTTCAGGGTTACTGTTGAATGTTTATTTGAACCAAGCTGAATTAATATCTTAGAGTGGTGGCCACACATTGAAATTGGCCCTGGGATTCATTATGCCCCACTGGACAGCTCCATCCATCCCTAGGGCTTTATCAGTAGCAAATCTGATAACTCTAATCTTTATAATAGTCTAATGTAACAGGGTAGTATCTGGCATTTAATTCAGTGTATTAAGCATGGCTAACCCCACAAGTAGATCTAGGCCAGGCGTCCCTAAACTTTTTACACAGGGGGCCAGTTCACTGTCCCTCAGACCGTTGGAGGGCCGCCACATACTGTGCTCCTCTCACTGACCACCAATGAAAGAGGTGCCCCTTCCTGAAGTGTGGCGGGGGGGCGGATAAATGGCCTTGGAGGGCCGCATGTGGCCCACGGGCCGTAGTTTGGGGACACCTGATCGAGGCAATCTTATGAGATGATTCATCTAAAAAACAAAATTACAAAGTCAAAGACAAGACATCTTTCATTGTGTTTTCACTCATCTATCCCAAAAGAATAGAACTGTATGAGGTTGAAAATAAGCTGTCATCTTGTGTAGAGGCAATGACTCTTCTATGATATTCTCAGGTTAGAATCAGAGCTGTTTTCTCTTGAAATGTCACAAAAATAAAGATTATAATGAAATAAAGTTTTAAGACTGCTTAGTATAGAAGGCATTTAATACTAGGAGTTTTGTTTGGGTTTCTTTCCTCTCAAATAAGCTTTTGGTTTATGTTTTACATTTAAATAAACTTTGTAAATAGTTTCAACTTACAGAAAAGTGGCAAAGATAGTAGAGTTCTCACATGTCCCACACCCAGGGAACACCCATGTTCTCCTGTTGCCAACACCTATATCATCATCATAGATTTGTCATGACCAATGAACCAAGACTGATACATTATTATCAGTTAAACTCCATAGTTGCTTTGGATTTCATTAGTTTGCCCTAGTGCTTTTTTTTTTTCTCTCTCTCTGCTAGGATCTGAAATAAGCTTTTAAATTTTTCCTAAATGTATTCATGAGAAAACCAAAAAGAGAAGACGAGAGTTCAAGCTTAAAAAGAACTCAATTATTTAACTTGATAGTTTTTTGTAATTCATGTGCTTTTTCTCTTTCTAGCTACGCTACAAAGAAACATTTCAAAAGACCAAAGGGAAATACCACACAGTGAAAGATGCCCTGGACATTGTCTATCATCGCAAAGTCACTGATGACATCAGTAAAGTAAATGTTTCTGCTTGTGTTGCGCTCTACAACTCACCATATACATATGTATTTTTTAGCAACCTCCTTCTTTTAAAATTCTCCAGAGAGAAGTAGGCATATTTACATTAACTTTGGGTAAGACTTATAGCTGTCTTTGTGTTTTTTTATAACAGATAAAATATAAGGAGAACTACATGAGCCAGTTGGGTATCTGGAGGTCCATTCCTGATCGTCCAGAGCATTTCCACCACCGAGCAGTCACCGATGCAGTCAGTGATGTGAGTGTTGACATTTCCTATTTTCACATATAAATTCATCTTCCGGCCAGGCGTGGTGACTCACGCCTGTAATCCCAACGCTTTGGGAGGCCGAGGTGGGCAGATCACAAGGTCAAGAGATCGAGACCATCCTGGCTAACATGGTGAAACCCCATCTCTATTAAAAAATACAAAAATTAGCTAGGCATGGTGGTGCACACCTGTAGTCCCAGCTACTCGGGAGGCTGAGGCAGGAGAATTGCTTGAACCTGGGAGGCGGAGGTTGCAATGATCCAGGATCACACCACTGCACTCCAGCCTGGCGCCTGGTGACAGAGCAAGACCCTGTCTCCAAAAAAAAGTTAAAAATAAATAAGCAAATTCATCTTCGTATATAAGCTCTGAAATCATACATTGCATAACAACTGAAGAAACGCTTGGCTAGATTTTGTCTGTGAATGTTTAAATCATAACACTCAATTACTAAGTGAGTGAATTTCAACTTGGTAGAAGGAAATATATATTCAAAATTATAAACCCAATTTTTCTCTTAGATGTATGAAATCATATTGCAGGACTGGAAGTGATATACATCATCTAGGAAATAGCCTATTTTTGATCCACTGAAGTGACAACTTCATGAAGCAATTAAGACGCATAACAATGCTGACTTAGAAAGTTCAGCTCTGTGTATGAAAATATAGCTGCCAAGCTAATGATATACTTTCCAGGAAAGTATGCCTGTTAAATTTGAATTGCTTTAATTAGTATCAAAAATGGAAAACTTCCATATGTTATAAAACAATACACCATAAAATGAGCAGAGGTCAGTATTACCGGAAACTTCTTTTAAATAATTGTTTTAATACTTGATTATTTCATATGCCTCAAAGGGCAGGGCTTCTGTTTTTTCCACTTGTAAAGATAACTTGCTGCTGTTTAGAGGTGGCTTGTTAGAATTCTTTGATGATATTCTTCTTCTCCCAGGTAAAATATAAAGAAGACTTGACTTGGCTTAAAGGCATTGGTTGCTATGCCTACGATACCCCTGATTTCACTCTGGCTGAAAAGAACAAGACTCTATACAGCAAGGTATATATACTCAAGGAGAATTGGCTACATCCATTGGACATATACCTGTACCCACAGAGAGAATTAGCACTGAGGAAATAGTCTTTCTTGTTTCCATCCCTATCCTGGTTTCTAGACCTTATAGTTTGAGTACATGCTGAGTTGTTCACTCCTTAGGAAACTCTTGGGTATTAACCAAAGGCATTTATTTGAATTTGATGAAAAGTTATCTCAGGACAACCCCTCACAATCCTGCTAGAACTCTCTCCTTATTAATATGTCTCTGGGTGGTTTCTCCTAGTAAAGCTAATATGATAGCCAATATAAAATGGGTTATTTTAATCCACAAATAATACAACATGAGGCAGACCACATAGTTTTTATGGCCTCATTTTTCTATTTACAAAATAAATCAATTCAGTTCACTTTCCTTTGAGCTCTACAATAGAATCCAGCAATTTTTTTTTAATGCCAAATAGTAAATAAAACATAGAAGACACGGGCTAAATTCATTCTAGGGAATATTCTTGTTTGTCTGTTGCAACACCATGGAATGGTGAAACCCATTCTAATTCATGAAGCTGTTTAAAACAGGTGGCATGCTAGATGGGTCATACTCCATACCTGCTCTAGAAGATTATGATTATCTGATTAAGTACTTGAAAACTATCTTCAAATTAATGTACTAAAAACCTCCTTCAAGTGTACATAAAAATATTTTAAATTTAAATAACAATTATATAGAAACAAACTAAACATTGATTTAGATTTTTGCCCAATGTGGAAAATAAACCTATTTGGCATCCATTCAGTGGAAGTGTTTTCTAGTGTATACTTTTGGGCTAGTTTTCAAGACATCTAGGAAGTTCTGCCCTTCATTGCCTTGGAAGCAGAGTAAGCAATCGTGTTAGCTTGGCTGGGTTCTGTGGCTCATGCCTGTAATCCCAGCGCTTTTGGAGCCCAAAGCAGGTGGATAGCTTGAGCCTAGGAGTTTGAGAACAGCCTGGGCAACATGGCAAAACTTCGTCTTTCCAAAATATACATAAATTAGCCAGGCATGGTGGTGTACCACCTGCAGTCCCACCTACTTGGGAGGCTGAGGTAAGAAGACTGATTGAGCCCAGGAGGCGGAGGTTGCAATGAGCTATGATTGTGCCCTGCACTCCAGCCTGGACAACAGAGGGAAATCCTGTCTCAAGACAAACATGTGTTAGCTCTATGAATTACCACAATTATATGATATGATAAACAGCATGTCTTACTCTTAAGATAATCACAGCCTGCTATCAAGTAACCGTGTTCCATTTTTTCTAGTATAAGTATAAAGAAGTATTTGAAAGGACAAAGTCAGATTTCAAGTATGTTGCGGACTGTCCGATCAACAGGCATTTCAAGTATGCAACTCAACTGATGAATGAGGTATGAATGAACTGCTCCAATTAAGTCTGTTCATTGCCTTAAGAAGTCTTTGAGGTTTTTTTAATTAAAGCTCAATACATAGAATGACAGGAAAGCCATCCTAAGTTTTCAGTTTAACTAAAGATTTGGAAAAGATTCTATGATGTTACCGTCCAACAAGCTCTGCCAAACTACAAATAAGAACACGTGAAGGGACCATTCAGTGGTGGGAGAGCCCTGCAAACATCAGCACCTCTGCACAAATGCAGGGCAGTGCAGCCCTGCAGCTGACAATGTCAGGAAGGTAAAGGATTTTCTTGACTGTCAGCATAACTCCCTTATATAGAATATTGTATAAACTTGGAAGACACAGAAGTTTAAGGTTAATTTAGTGTCCTCTACTGAGGCACCAAGATGTCAGTGGTTAGAACAGCCTCACTAAAGGGATAGTTGTGATTCATGCTTCAAATTTATTGCCATGGTTACTCCCACATATAGTGGTGCACAGAATTATCCATTTGCATCTAAATATTTTCTATTTTTTCTAGCCTTTCCTGTAAATTATCTTTGCAATAATTTTAAATTATCTTCACAATAATTTAAATTTAGCTCAAGATGGCTGAAATAAGCAAGCTATGAATGTACTTAGTTTGGATGGTTTTACAACATTGGGATGGTTTTATAGTTAAAGTTGTATTTAATTTCCTATTTTCAGAGTTTTCACAGGTTTATTTAAGTTCAAAAATTATGTTAGAAAATTAGTAAAATGTATCTAAAAATGAAAATGTAGGCAATGGCATATTTGCTTAAATGTATGACGTTTTTGTTTGTTGTCTTTACATTTGATTTAGTTCACTTTCAGTAGATTTCCAGACTGGACCACCCTGAAGAATTACTGTCAGTAGCTTCATATGAGTATAATCTTGATATATTTTCTTTTTTTCTATTTCATGAAGAATCTCCAGGTCTCTTTTACAATCCAACAAGTTAACTAGCATTAGAAGACTATTACAAATCTCCCATGGATATTTTGGCATCAGTTATGCTTTCAGAGTCTCACAGCCTTAGACAGTAAACCTGTAGCTTATCAGTACCCTATTTTAAATACACCATTAGATGCGGTAAACCTAACATAGCTAATGGCATCATATATAAAGATGGAAAATGTTTAGGCACGAGAAACTCCAATTTCAGTGTCATAAATCTGACCTATCCCATACGCAGCCTTCTCCAGGTGATCTTCCTTTACTTGACTCTCTTTGCTTACCTGTTTTTTATTGTCTTGGGTATTTTGGAAGCCCGCCTCTAGAGATGACATGTTTTGGCTCTCTGGAGTGTTTACCTTGAGACATTTCTGTGTAGCCGTGAAGTTGTAACCTTGCTATAATATGCTATGATGTTTGAGCAGAAAAAATACAGAGCTGATTATGAGCAGCGGAAAGATAAATACCACCTGGTAGTCGATGAGCCTAGACATCTGCTGGCTAAGACCGCAGGCGACCAGATCAGTCAGGTACTGTGATGGGGCTGGCCGGTGGCCCAGGCAGGACTGTGCTCCCGGTTTCTCATGAGATGTCGTCCCGTCTGCTGCAAGGATGTCATAGGTTCTGCCTATGATATTGGGCCGTTCTGTTTCAAAATATCTGTCTAGCCACCCAAAGAGCCTGTCAGCTATTTGAGTGTGCCAGTCCATGCTCTGTGTCCTCACTTTTGCTGTGGTGAAGATGAAAAGAAAAGCTGGGTCCTCCCATCCTTTACTCTTCCAGAGAACCTGTTTGAAAACTGCAATTGTAAACTGTAGATTGAGTTGTAAAAGCAAAAAATAAGCAAATGAACAAAAAACAAACAAAAATTAATGGTAGGAAAGAACACAGAACTCCTTACTATACATCTTTCTATTCCAAAGATGTCTTCTTTCCTATACAACTATTTTGGTGGTAACATAAGTGAAACTAGCTATATCATTCCCCATTCACAACGGCTATGAATGGCCAACCACAAGCATTGCAATCATTCTGCCTCACATTATAATGTATTTGATGTCTTCACCCACACATATGTGAGTACATAAAGTGTGTATGCCTACATCTCTTCACTCAGAGGTGATTGGGATATAGAGCCATGTTCTTTTCTGTCTTCATGAGTCTCTTTTGTGCTTCACTGCTCTTTGCATGGACAGAGAAAATATAAATCTAGTGCCAAGATGTTTCTGCAACATGGATGTAATGAAATTCTACGTCCAGATATGTTGACTGCTCTCTACAATTCACACATGTGGAGCCAGGTAATGTCTGATGGGATATGAAGAAGGAGGTTTAGACATCTTGGGCGCATTCCCTTTTATGCTTTCATTGATTTCCTCTCCCACTCCCTGCCCATGCTGGCGTTATATATGGCAAAGCTACATAAATATTCATTCCTTGTAAATGACCTCTGAATGTGGCCAAAGGTGATAGGACAGCGGTCATCTGTACATCATCTGATGCTTTCAGAACTCTTAATAAAATCAACCGACTCTTTCAAGTGTTATTTCCAAATTGGTTTGACTTTAATTTATACTTTTTGGTATTTGCCTCAAAGAAATAGATTCCTTAGAGATTGAAGATAGTAAGTAGATTCAACAGAATGAAAAAGGTCTGAATATTTAATGTTTTCATCAAATGTGTCCCTTGTTCAATTATCACTACAAATGTTGTGGGGAGATGAGGATTGCCATGCAGCTCTATGAATATTGTATATATTCGTGGTGCCTCTTGACTTTGATGCTGAATTGCTAGGTTATTTCCAGCACATCTGATCCCACACACGCTTGTTAACAGTGTCTCTGATAATCATGCCTTTTTAGAAGGCCAGCTGAAACATGCACTTTCCAGCACATGCTCAAAGGTAAATTTGACTCAGCAATAAGCAGTGATAATTGGTTAACTACCAGACACAATGTTAGTAAAATGCCATTTTCCCGACAAAAAAAAAAGTTACTAATCAAGCTTTTCTATTAGCAACTTGTTTTGTCATTTTAGTTTACCGTCAAATCAATATGTGAAATGAGGAGGTTAAGCTCTCCCTGTAAACATCCTGTTTGCCTGAACTTCCTCCTTTGTCTTTATATGACCATCAAATAGTTGTGCATGAAATTCTATGGTGCTGTCTGTATCTGTCCTGCTTAAAACAGCTTATGTGCATGAAAATAATTGTGACTTGAAAATTGCAAACACAAATGAATTTTATAAATGATAACTACTTCATATATATTCATTCTTTAATTTACCTCCCTGTTTGATCTTTGATATGGCAAAACACTTTTGGAGATTGCACATGTTCAATACAATATGTTGGGAGTGAAACAACACTTGTCAGACTCCAGAGAACAGGTTCTAGTCCTGCTCTGAGATTCAGTCTAAATGTGCTCTTGGGTCAGTCTCGTAACCTCTGGGGGCCTCCGAATCCATGTGTATAAAACATATTGGAAATTATTAGTAGTAGTATTATCTGCTCCATTACATTTTTGCTATAAGACACAAATTTATATTAAACATTTCCAGTTAGGATTTAAAGACAAAGCTACCATGACCCCACCTCCCATTCTAGTGTTTTTCAGGAGGACAGTTAGATACCTTAAAGCCCTCTCTACAACTTCTTAGAGCTAACGCTTTCTTCTCTTCCACAATTTAGATCAAATATAGGAAAAACTATGAAAAATCAAAGGACAAATTTACTTCAGTTGTGGACACTCCAGAACACCTGCGTACTACGAAAGTCAACAAACAAATCAGTGATGTAAGTGCAAAAAACACCGTATACCTTTTCAAACTCAGGGGACATCTGCAAACATGGAGGGGCATTTTAAGTTGTCACAAAGTCTGGGAGACTACTGTCACTGGAGACTCCTGTCTTTTAGTGGGAGGGAGGCAGGGGTGCGAGATGTCCTGCTAGGCACAGGAGTCTTCTTCCCAATAAAGAATTGTTGTGGCCAGGTGCGGTGGCTCACACCTGTAATCCCAGCACTTTGGGAAGCCGAGGCAGGCAGATCACTTGAGACCAGGAGTTTGAGACCAGCCTGGCCAATATGGCAAAACCCTATCTCTACTAAAAATGCAAAAATTAGCCAGATGTGGTGGTACACACCTGTGGTTCCAGCTACTCAGGAGGTTGAGGCATGAGAATTGCTTGAGCCTGGGCAATGGAGGTTGCAGTGAGCCAAGATCACACCACTGCACTCCAGCCTGGATGGCAGAGTGTCTCGAAAAAAAGAATTGTTGTGACCACATGCAAGCTGGAAACACTGAGGTCTTAGCAGAGGGCATCAAAGCACCTGTCAAATTCACAGAATTCTCTTTCCTTTTTATCCACTCAGAAAAACACTTTGCATTTATATTTTGATATTATTCATTGAGAAGCATGACATTATGTCTTTCTGCTTTTTAATCTCTTTCAGATCCTTTATAAATTGGAATACAACAAGGCCAAACCCAGAGGCTACACCACAATCCATGACACGCCCATGTTGCTGCATGTCCGCAAGGTTAAAGATGAAGTCAGTGATGTAAGTACCAGAATGGCTTAGCAGTCCCGCTCATCTTCACCTCTTCTAATGTAATGTAACAAACCCTGGTCCACTTATCTATTCTTGTGTAACAACCACCCTAAAACTTAGTGGCTTAAAGCAACAGTCATCTCTTTTGCTCATAATTCTGTGAGTTGACTGGACACAGCTGAGTAGCCCTACTCCCCATGTTGCTGGCAGACACCTGGGGCTCAGTCAAGCCAGGACATCCAGATGGCTCACCCCCATGGCTGGCTATTGGTGATGGCTGTGGGCTGGGAGCTGGGCTATTGTATGGATGAGACAGGAACCCCTTCATGTGGCCTCTCCGCATGCCTTGGACTTCTCCCAGATGGCTCTCCACATGGCTTAAACGTATCCTGAGGTACTAATTTTTTGAAAATGAATGTCCATGACTTTCTCCTAAATATAGTGGTCAGTAAATTAGTAAACTAAGTCTATGGTGAAGCCCAGAAAACTGTGATTCCTATGATCAGTTTAATAAACCCCACGATGGCCTCCTTGGAACAGTCTACTTTGGCCTCAGTCACATTAAAACCTAGGATCCTTCCCCAGTGATTAATGAGAAAGCCCAGATTGACACCCTCGACCCTGAAATGTAAGAGCAAAAGGGAGTGAAGCTGGAATTCCCAGGCTCAGGATGGAAAAACTGCCTGTTGGGCCTGCAGAGGCTAAGCCTTCCCTGTGCTTCCCCCTCCTGTCCAAACCCACACATACCAAACCTTGCTAGGTATGTCTCTAGCAATGACAATGACAATATACGGCTCCATATATTTTTAAAAGGCAGAATGATGGCTGTATCCATCAGTTCATTCATTCATTAAATATTTATTGAGTGTCTGTGTGCCTGACACTAGGAATGAGATGATGGATGACAGTCTCTGCCCTTAAGGGGTTCTTTTTAATGGAAAGAATAGGCAGATAAACAAATAATCACAACATGACATGATAACGGCTAGAACTGTGGGAGCATAGCAGGAGAGCAAGACTCATTCTGTCTGGGTGAGTTGGTGGAGGAAGGCTTCTCTTCTATCGGCAGTTATCAAGATGTTCTGAACTCAGGACTTGCTGATTTGGGGAAGGGAAAACCTGAATGAACAGCTGTCCAACTCAGCACAAACACAGAAGCATAAATTATATGGCAGGCCAGGCACAGTGGCTCATGCCTATAATCCCAGCACTTTGGGAGGTTGAGGTGGGCAGTTCACCTGAGGTCAGGAGTTTAAGACCAGCCTGCCCTGCATGGCGAAACCCCACCTCTACTAAAATACAAAAAAAAAAAAAAAAAAAAAAAAGCCATGCATGGTGGCGCATGCCTATAGTCCCAAGATATTCAGGAGGCTGAGGCAGGAGAATTGCTTGAATCTGGGAGAGGCAGGGGTTGCAGTGAGCCAAGATTACACCATTGCACTCCAGCATGGGTGACAGAGAAAGACTCTGCTTAAAAAAAAAAAAAAAAAAAAAAAATGGCTGGGCGCAGTGGCTCATGCCTGTAATCCCAACACTTTGGGAGGCTCAGGTGGGTGGATCATGATGTCAGGAGTTTGAGACCAGCTTGGCCAATATGGTGAAACCCTGTCTCTACTAAACATACAAAAATTAGCCGGGTGTGGTGGTGCACGCCTGTAGTCCCACCTACTCGGGAGGCTGAGGCAGAAGAATCATTTGAACCCAGGAGGCAGAGCTTGCAGTGAGCCAAGATTGTGCCACTGCACTCCAGCCTGGACAGCAGACAGCCTCATCTCAAAAAAAAAAAAAAAAAAAAAAAACATTATATGGCAACACTAGTGACCATAGCCAGTGTGCCCTGATCTGAGATAGGAAGGTGCATTTCTGCATGGCTATATCCTTGCTCCACAGATTTCTAAAATTCTGTCTTAAAAAGCATTGTGTACTGTAGTCATGCTTGGATTTAACTTCTTGTTTTTTTAAGATGCTCGGTATGCTGCTATAAAAAAAAAAATTAATCTTGTCACTGTGTTTCCTCCCACAGCTGAAATACAAAGAAGTATACCAAAGAAATAAATCCAACTGCACCATTGAGCCAGATGCTGTTCATATCAAAGCAGCCAAGGACGCCTACAAAGTCAACACCAACGTAAGTTCCAGAAACTTCCCCAGGCATGGTGGGGGATTAACCGGCTTCTGCAGGACACATGGCCTCTTTTTACGTCTCTTCAGGCAACTGAGCTCTAGTAATTGATTCCAAAGCAAGAGTCAGGCCCCAGGAGCATGAACAATGATGCTAAAATATAAATCCTGCCTTGGGCCTCACAAAGGAGCATGGGGAGGAGCAAGGGTGGCCTCATCCCATGCCATGGATGCTACACTCACTCAGCCCTTGTGGTGGGTGGCTGAGAAATGGGACATTGAATTCTGAAATGTAGGTTGCATTTTTGGAAAGTGCCTGAGCATTTTTCGTTCTCTTCCCCTGTGCTCTCCTGCCTCAAGCTACAATCTGCTTCATCTCATGAAGAAAACATTGAGCCATTTGTTGCCATCAGGCATTGGCCTAGACCTTCTTCCTGCTCAGATATTCCCTGCATTGACCCTTTTCCTGGTGTCGCATCTTAAGGCCTCAACTTTTGTGCATTTAGATGAACACCAGCTTCTTAAAAATACATTAAATGGTTAGACAATAAAACCATTATAACCCAATTAGTACCCACTAGTGCCAGAGGGGACATATATTTATGAGGGCTGGCAAACTGGAATGCCTGTAGGAGCTGGCAAGGAGCTTGCAGGTATCCTGAGGATGGATGGAGGGTAGAGTGGTAGCATAGACATGAGATAAAGCAAATGCAGTAAAATGTACCTTGCAAAATCCAGATTATATGGGTATTTTCTGTAATATTCTTGCAACTTTTTTGTATATTTGAAGTTTTTCACAATAAAATAAGGGAAAAACTTTATCAAATAGTATACATAAAAGCATGTGCATTATATTGTGTATAAATTGTACCTCAATTTAAAAAAGAGAAAGGATGAGGAAAGAAATGTGCTTGATAGTGTAGGGCCCTCCAATGGACACTCAGATTAAATTACATATGTGTCTGTGGCTCAGATTTGGCCCAAGGCAGCCAGTTCTCCAGCCCTGAAGAGTCTAGGAAGCAGGCAAGCACCTCTGAGGCCAGACTGCCTGGGTTTAAATTCCAGCTCCACCAATTGCTAATAGTCTCACCTTGGGAAGTTTACTTAACCATTCTATCCAGCTCTTCAGCTGTCTATTTCATGGAATTGTTAGGAAGATTAGGTGAATTAATTTTATAAAATTTTGTAATTTATTTAATTAATTTTGTAATTTGTAAAGAACTTAGAAAAGTGCCTGGCACAAAATAAATATCTAGTGTTTGATCATTTTTGTTAAAAAATAAATCTGAATTTAGTTAGAAATTAAAAGTAATCGATTCAGAAGAGGATTAGGCTGGACTGGCAGAGCTAGAGAGACTGTAGAATCATTTCACCTGGAGGCCTTTAAAATTTTTAGCCTCTATTTTTGGACCACAAGGTCCCAACAGATGACCTCTGAGTGGATGACTACCTGCATAAAGTGTACAGAAATTTTAATTAGGGCTCCCTCTTGCATTAGGAATCATGATTTGAGATATTTTAAAATGCAGGAGCTCCTCTGTGCCGTGTGTATGTTTATGAATTTATCCTAATGAATCAAGTGATTTCTTTCTCTCCTGTTAAAAACAGCTGGACTATAAGAAACAGTATGAAGCCAACAAAGCCCACTGGAAGTGGACCCCTGACCGACCGGACTTCCTCCAGGCTGCCAAGTCATCCCTGCAGCAAAGTGATGTAAGACAGGAGAGACATAGATGATCGTAACTACATGCTGCGCCTGAGAAATACAATGAATAATAATTTATAATAACCACTGTCATGGGTGTTAACCCTTGCTCCTTTGAGATCCAAGAAGGAGAGGAGGATGGTTGGGGAGCAGTAGGCAAGCTCAGTACCCAAACGTGGCCATAGACCCTATTTTCCTATGGCTGGGCCTGGACACAAACGGCTCAGAGTTCTGGCTGGGGGGGATCTAGGGGAAGACTGGGGATGGAGGGGCTTGGTCCTGGCAGCTGGGCCGGAAAGGAGGAACCTAAAATGCAGTGAGGGACCAAGAAGCCCTTCCCCTCATTCTGGTAGCAAGTCTTTGTCCTCTCCTTAAAAGGACTCCCTGTGGGTTTAATCAAATGCCCAGCTTCCTCCTGTGCTGTGACCTTTCCCTTTCCTTCTTTCTTCTCTAACAGTTTGAATATAAGCTGGACCGGGAGTTCCTCAAGGGTTGCAAGCTTTCTGTCACTGATGACAAAAACACGGTGCTGGCCCTCAGGAATACTTTAATAGAAAGTGATGTAAGTATCTAGTTCCTTCCATGATGCCGAATCTCACTCAGGGCCGTGTTCTATCGTACAGTCCCCAGGGACACCCAGGCAAGGATGAAGAAGAGCTGCTTCCATCAGGGATCATGTATGGGTCCTAAAATATGGCCTATCCTGCGATGGACACCAGCAGCCAAGCAGGGCAGCAGCAGTGCAAGGGCCATTAAATCCAGGTGACAATCCTCGATTTATACTGCACCACCGGAGTTCACACAGCAGGAATTAGGGCCCTGAAGGCCTGGCTGGATTCTTTATGGAAACTCCATGATTTGTTTTCTATGGGATCATACTTTCCCTTCACTACAGTTTCCTTATCTGTAAAAAGGAATAATAATGCTTCCCAGGGCATACAGGAGGGTTAAACGGTGTATCTGAGAAGCTGTGAACAAAATCTGACTGTATAAAGATTCATCATGAGATCCACTGTTATTAAAACCGCAAATTGCTAGAGATAAGGAAAAAACCCTCTTGAATATTTCCCAGGATTTGCCAGCATCAAATCTTAATTATTGAGTTTAGTATTGTTTGTCAATGATGCTGTTCTAGTGGTTTGGGGGTATAATAAAAATATGTAGAATACCCAGAGAAGCTAAATAAATGCCCTTTTTCCTGCCCCTGCAGCTGAAATACAAAGAAAAACATGTCAAGGAAAGAGGAACCTGCCAGGCTGTACCTGACACACCTCAGATCCTGCTGGCGAAGACTGTCAGCAACCTGGTGTCCGAGGTAACCCCCTAGCCGCCTATGAGCTCTGCTTCCCTCTTGGGAGAACTCCCTAGGTAGATGCCTTAACAAGCTCTCTGTGGATTCCCCCAGAACAAGTACAAGGACCATGTCAAGAAGCACTTGGCCCAGGGCTCATACACAACACTACCAGAGACCCGGGACACTGTTCACGTCAAGGAAGTGACCAAGCATGTCAGTGATGTAAGTGATCAACTGCAGGTGTCTTGGCAGCAACAATGCCACTTGACCATAGAATCAGGTGAAATATTGTCAGCTGCCTTTTGCTTCCTTTTGCTTCCTTTATGTAGCTTCACTCTTACCATCAATATCTACATGTGAATCTTAAACTCTGATTTTTAAAATGACCCCGTATTTCTTGGCTTTCCATTTCTGGCAATTACAGCGAATGCAGGTTTTGCTACAGGACTTGTAATCTAGCCATATCAGATGTTACTAACCTATTAATAATAGGAGGAAACATTGCTGATTAGGAGTGGCCTCTCCTATTATTAAACTGCTACACAATTCTAGGAAGGTAAAACCACCTCTTTGGGCCTCAGTAATCTCTGCCCACTCTATCCTTATCAATAATGCTGTAGTAATCTTGGTATTACATGAGTCCCATATGGTCCTGTATATTTTTAAAAGATAGAAATGCTAAATAAAGGAGCTTAATTTGCCTGTACCCAGTTCTCCAAAGATCGCAGGTGGTTCTAGTGTTGGGCTGCAGGACACACATAACAGAAAACAAATAGAATATGGGTCAGATATCTAAGTCCCAGACTGATGCCAAAAAAAGCAGCATGGATTTTCCTGGAGATTTCATAGTTCTCCAAGTAAACCAACTCTGTTCCCAGCTTCCTCTGCTCATAGAAGTAATTCTGGCTCTGTTTAGACAAATTACAAAAAGAAGTTTGTCAAGGAGAAAGGAAAATCCAACTACTCCATCATGCTGGAGCCACCAGAGGTGAAGCATGCTATGGAAGTGGCCAAGAAGCAGAGTGATGTAAGTTTCCCTCCCGGCCCTCTCAGGGGCCCACCTGAAGCAGGGGATCCCAGATGGGTGCATTCTCTTGTTCCAGTGTGTGGTCACCCTAATCCCTCCAAGTGGCAGTTTCAAAAAGTTGGTGGTGAGAATTGGGTTGGGTTTAAAGAAAAGCTGATTGCATTTAATGGGGACTTTTAGAAAGACAGTGTATCAGCCGGGCGCGGTGGCTCATGCCTGTAATCCTAGCACTTTGGGAGGCCGAGGCGGGTGGATCACGAGGTCAAGAGATCGAGACCATCCTGGTCAACATGGTGAAACCCCGTCTCTACTAAAACTACAAAAAATTAGCTGGGCATGGTGGTGCATGCCTGTAATCCCAGCTACTCAGGAGGCTGAGGCAGGAGAATTGCCTGAATCCAGGAGGTGGAGGTTGCAGTGAGCCGAGATCGCGCCATTGCACTCCAGCCTGGGTAACAAGAGCGAAACTCTGTCTCCAAAAAAAAAAAAAAGAAAGAAAGAAAGTGTCTTTCTTGAGTGAGTAAACATTTTCTTCCCCAATAAAGGTTGCTTACAGAAAAGATGCCAAAGAGAACCTCCATTATACCACAGTGGCTGATCGACCAGACATCAAGAAGGCCACACAGGCAGCCAAACAAGCCAGTGAGGTAAGGGTGTCATTAAAATGTCCCCAGTCCCCAGTGGCCACTGCCAAGGCATGCCAGGCACCCATCACCTATTGCCCATTTTGGTTTTCTCTGACTCAGGTGGAGTACAGAGCCAAGCACCGCAAGGAAGGCAGCCATGGCTTAAGCATGCTCGGTCGCCCAGACATAGAAATGGCCAAGAAGGCAGCCAAGCTGAGTAGCCAGGTAATGCAGATGGATGCACTGGTGACTCTCACGTGAGATTATACAGACCTTGCAGGAAGAAGTGATTTCCAGATTGAAAATGCAAAGCTTCCAAGAGTTATAAAAAGTGCACCGAGGACTTTTTCTCGTTTCCCTCTCAGCTGTCTGGACCTTTCTTGTTCTCCACTTTTCCATTTATGGGCATTTGTCTGGGTGTTTGTGTGCTTAACTATCTTTATGTGACAAAAACATCAGCTTATGAGGTCCTATTAGAAATTCTCTTCAGGCCTTAAGAGTTTCATCCTTGGGATCTGATTCATACTAAGTCACCAGGGGTAGATTTAACATGAAGAGCCATGAAATTCTAACTTCCAGAATTCAGATAAAAATACTCATGTTTTCATTGAACATACATATATTAACAGCCTGGGCTAGGAAGCAGGGATGAGCACATGTCTTCAGACTACTTGTCCATGGATAAATAATGTACAATTTGGTCTGGCAAGTGTTTGATCAATGTATACACCAGGTGCTAACAGAGAATGCCACATTCTTGCAGATCTCATATTGTTGAGAAGCAAATGGACTCAGATATGTGTTGCTCAAACCCAGTTACCACATGACTTATTTTTCCTTGTTAGACCAATTATCTAAAATTCCCCAAGTTATGACAGGTTTTTAGACTTTAGCTCAGAGAACCTATCATCTACCACCAACTCTGTAGAGTACAAGTTTGATCTTATAGGACTTCAGCTTAAGAATATCTTATTTCTTCTCCAGTTTACAGATCCTATCTTCTTTTTCCTTGTCTGTTCTCTCAGGTATTTGTTTGAAGAAATAGGTTTGGGATATATATTTGGTAGTTGTGAGTGACTGACTTCAGCAATACTGAACACGAAATTCCAATCTTTTGGAAGATATAATGCAGTAATGTCAAGTGACAGAACAAGTTAGAATTATGAAAACACAAAAGGTTTAGATGACTGATGAAAAGCAAATACTATTTTTTAAAAGTTTTTAAACTTAAAATCCATATGTATCATATTTTATTATAAATTAATGGAATTGTGTAAGTATTTGAAACCAAGATAGATCACCACAAACAAACAAACAAACAAAAAAAAACAGAATCTCTAAGAGTAATGAGATGTAACAAGGACTTATTAATGCAAAAAGTTAATGTTTTTAAATGTACGTCATATCATTATAATTTAAAAGCGAAGAAACAACTGTGATATTGAAATTTTGAAAACTTTTGCGTTTTTGAAAATGAAGAGGCTCCTATTTCTAATCCTAAGTGAACCCTATGGTATGGAGAATGGGACCCCAGAAGATCCTTTTATGAGCTCAGCTTCCTGGGCTCACTTCCTGTGAAAGGCTGGTCTCTGGATTGACAGCTTCATAGTATGGCCCCTGGCCCAAGGGAGCTTCAGCTGTGTGTGGGCTTTCACTGTTCTGACTTTGCTGTCTTACTGCGTACTCTAGGCGGAATACCTGAAAGGCCAAAGGAGAGGGCACGGCGCTGCATCTTATGACACCCCTATGATGAGGCATCTTAAGAAAATTAATATACTCATCAGTGATGTAAGACTGAGACCAGCAAGCCATTATCTCTTTCTCTGATTCTTACCTACTTTCTTGGCATTGGTCAGGGGACTGACCAGGTTGTACTCTTTTCTGTTGATTTTGTGTTGGAACGTGCAGATTGCTGTGAACATTTGTCAAAGGATATACTTTTGTACACATCCCTCTTTTCCTGCATGAAACTTTCCATCTGGAACATACCACTTGGAATAGGAAGGTAGATTAGACATGGCGATGGCCTCCCAAAGTACATTAGTTTGCTGATACTGATCAAAAGAAATGATGAAAACAAACTAAGAATCTCATCTTCAACCAAAGAAACCTTTGCTTCTTCTGAAGTTATCTGCCATTATTGATTTTTAATACACTGAAGATTGGTATTTAATATAGTTTCTCAGTTCAGGCCTACTATGAATCAACAGAATAAACTTTTAATAGCTTTTCTAATACTTGGGACTGTTCTTCAGTCTTTAGAAGCACCAGTAAAAACCTCAATTCACTAAAAAGGAGCTGAACAATTAATCTTTAACTTTAAATACAACTGAACTCCTAAAAATAGAATTAATTCAAAATCACCTTCCTATACTACATCCAAAATAGACCCAATATCTGAGCCTGATGGGATTATAAGCCCTGGGGGCTGTCACTTGCTGATACATGGCATTGCAGAGTTGCCTCTTGGCTTCCATGGTTAAAGGGAAAAAGCTTCACCATTCCTTTATGCCAGTATATGTAGTTTTACTACATTACTGCCTAGTCAAACACTGTTCCAAGAATTCCTGGAGTTCTGAATCTGGAACGTGTTCTTACCTTTCAAACTATCCTAGTTTTAAGAAGATCCAGTCAAAAAGGAAGGCCAAAAGTGCTGAACTCAGATTCATATTAATAGTTGTACTAAGCTGCATTTGTTTAGAGGACTTCCTATGGCGAAGGAAGCCATAACTTTTTTTCAGTTAAAAAGTTGAAATTAACTTGAAATTATCAGAAGAAAAACTGAAGTAGAACCAATGGGATTGCTGCTTTAAAAATATTTTTTCAGAAACAAGTATCTTCTGAAAGATAGGAGGAGGAGTTTCAGCATACTTCTAAAAGAAGCAGATTTTATTCTCATTTGAGATGGGCTTTTGCATCTTTTCTTCCCTACTCTGACTCTGCATATCTGGTTTACTTTGTTTTTCTGTGTTTCACGGCTCTTGGAAACATTCTTAGTTTTATGGACTTCTCTCTTAGGAAAAGTTGCCTTTGGTCCAGACACCAGCTCACACCTCACACTTTCCTTTGCAGACCTTCCACTTCTTTATGTTGAGAGTGAATCTTTTTCAGAGACGAGCCACTGTAGCATTTGTTTACATTGCATTTTCCTTTCGTGTGTCTGTCTCAGTGTGCCTGCATCATGCCTAACTGTTCTGCATGCTTATTTTTTCTCTGCATTTCCACTGAGGATTTTATTCAAAGTAAAGGAGTCTCAGCATTGTGAATGCATTTCCTCTGATGTGGCAAATTTCACTGTTTTTAGCATTTGAGTGGTCTAATTTTGTGTCTGTTGTGCTGGATGTGTCAAGTTGGGGGAGGTGAAGAGCAGTGATGAAGCATGAGGGGTACTGGTGTTAGTTCTTCAAAATAACAGAAACTCTAGAATTCCCTGAGGGTAAAGTATTGCCCTTTTAGTTGGATAACATCTAGAAACAGCTCAGTTTTCATTCTTACTAGAGTGAATAACTAGTGGAATTCTACTTCTGGCCTTAATTCTACAATACTGTTGACAAAGAGTTTGTTTTTCAGTTAGGGGGTGTTTCTGTCACTTTCCATTATTCTGTTGAATTCTAGAAATAAATTTTATTTATTTATTTATTGAGACAGGGTCTTGCTCTGTCGCCCAGGCAGAATGCAGTGGTGCAGTCCTGACTCATTTCAGCCTCTACTTCCTGGGCTCAAGTAATTCTCCCGCCTCAGCCTCCTGAGTAGCTGGGACTACAGGGGTGCATCACAATGCCCAACTAATTTTTGTATTTTTAGTGGAGATGGGGTTTTGGCATGTTGCCCAGGCTAGTCTCAAACTCCTGGGCTCAAGCAATCTGCCTGCCTTGTCCTCCTAAAGTGCTGAGCACCCAGCTATCATCTGCTTTACATATTTTACTTTGGCATAATGACTGTCTCTTCCTTTCATTCAATCAAATCATATTTATTGAGCAACTGTTCATGCAAGGCATTGTTTATTTTTTAAATTGGAGTTATTTAGCCCTTTGCATATCTAAACTTATTTTTATGTATACTAAAAGTATATTCGATCTTATTTTTCCTCATTATTCTAAAATATCTCACTCTTTTTCCTACTTCTAGTGTGAAATCACACTTGAAGCCATTAACCCCAAACTCTAATATTTGTTTACTCAGAAATTATACCATTTTGGGCCAAGTTTGGAAATTTTAAATAATATATCCAAAGTACTATTTTAAAATAACAATATATTCTAATTTAACAGATTCCTTCCGTCTCAACCTTCTTGATCATTTCCAGCCCCTCTTTGGATTTCTTACAGTAGACCTAAAATGCTCTTCGTTTTGCTAGTTAGGAGTGACAAAATGCTCCAGATCAAGTACATTAAATCACATCTCTGAATTGAGCCTGAAGCCTTTTCCACTTATTTTTGTTTTGCATTGGAAAGAGGTGATTATTTTTTATACCTCTGAATAGTATAAAAGTGAGCAAGGCCAATGCAATATATATCACATAATTGCATATTTGAATGCCTGTTGTTTTGTCATTCTTAATTAATAGTGTCTTCATTACTCTAAATGTCCCAGTTTGGATAATAAATTATATGATCATTCTATGTACAATGCATATTATTTGGCATTTGTGTTTCTACCAGTCCCCAATTCCCAAATTGACTGATAACCAGGAATAATTTAGGTGTTTTCATTTGCTGTTAGGTTAAATACCGAGAAAATTTCGACAAAGAAAAGGGCAAGACACCAAAATACAATCCAAAGGACAGCCAGCTCTACAAAGTCATGAAAGATGCTAATAATCTTGCAAGTGAGGTATGTTTCTAAAGTTGTGGTAAAACATGTAACATATTTGCCATTTTAACTATTTTTAAGTGTGCAATTCAGTAGCATTTATAATATTCACAATGTTATCCAACTACTGTCACTATTTCCAAAATGTTTTTATACCAACAGAAACTCTGTAACCATTAAGCAAAAACTCCCCATTCCCTCCTCTGTCAGCTCCCAGGAACCTTTAACCTACTTTTTGTCTCTATGTATTTGCCTGTTTTAGAGCGTGCACATAAATGGAATCAAACAGCATTTGTCCTTTTGTGTCTGGTTTACTTAGCATAATATGTTCAAGGTCCATCTATGTTGTAGGATATGTCAAAACTTCATTCCTTTTTATGGCTAAATAATATTCCATTGTGTATATATGCCACATTTTGTTTACCCATTCATTTGCTAACCAACACTGGGGTTCTTTCTGCCTTCTGGTTACTATAAATAAGGTATGGTTTTTCACTACCATCTCCAGCATTTGTTTGACGATGGGCTATCTCACTTTGATTTCCATTAGTGTGGTTCCATTTCCTATGTATGTGATTTCCTTTTTTTCCCCCTTAACACACAGGTTAAATATAAGGCTGACCTGAAGAAACTTCACAAACCTGTGACTGACATGAAGGAGTCTCTGATCATGAATCATGTCCTGAATACAAGCCAACTTGCCAGTTCCGTAAGCTCAGTCATTTACTCCAGAAACAGTTTGTTTCACCAATTTGGAACTAAATTCTTTCTCTGAGCCCACATGCATCTTTTTCTCAGCTACCAAAACACTAGATTTATTACAAAACTGTTCTCTTATTTGCATGCATTCTTCCAAATGACAACATTAATCTACCAATTCTCCACTGACTGTAATATCTTTCGGAATGTAAAAATGCTTTTTCAGAAAATTTAAACTTTCCCCTCCAATTAACCATCTCATTTTCTCTAAGGACATAGAAATACCCTCTGGAATAGCTTCTTTCACTTCTAACTTTTTACTTATAACAGCTACTTTGAACAAACCAAGTAACCTAAATTTTTATATCTTAACTAACAATACTGAACTTGGATTCTCATCTTTTAAAGCTTTTTCTAAACCTCCTGGTGTTTGCCAATTTTTGTTTGATCTTGACAATGCTGCTGTGTAAATGTCTAATCTAAAGACAAAAAATAGGAATGCTGAGCAGCTTTTCCACCAATGTGCCTTTTTTGCCTCCTTCCCCTCAGTACCAGTACAAGAAGAAGTATGAGAAGAGTAAAGGCCACTACCACACAATACCCGATAATCTGGAGCAGCTTCACCTAAAAGAGGCCACAGAATTACAGAGTATAGTAAGTGGATCAAGACCAATTTTTCCCGTCGCATTCATCTACAGTATGAAAAATGTGAAAAAAAAAAATCTCATAGATTCCCTCCAGGATAGGTGTATTTTCGATAGTCATTGTTTGAGAAAATGCACAAAGATATAAGGGGTTTTGAATTTGGTAACTTGTTGAAACGAATTCTTATGTTATACATTAGAGCAGGCGTCCCCAAACTACGGCCCACGGGCCGCATGTGGCCCCCTGAGGCCATTTATCCGGCCCCACCGCCGCACTTCAGGAAGGGGCACCTCTTTCATCGGTGGTCAGTGAGAGGAGCACAGTATGTGGCGGCCCTCCAACGGTCTGAGGGACAGTGAACTGGCCCCCTGTGTAAAAAGTCTGGGGATGCCTGCATTAGAGCAACATCTACCTATAGTTGAGAAATATACATGCAATTGTATATGTACTAACAGGGGCTGGAAGCATAAAGTGTGTGTTATGAGGGGATGAACCCCCATGGTAATCCCCATGTGCCCCATGGGTTCATGTCCCAGCTTAGGGAACGCTACAGAGGATTATCAGGAAGATTTCAAACAGAGAAGTGATATGATCAGATCAACTGAAAGCATTCTTGGGAATTTACAAAATTACTAAATTTGTAAGATACGGTCATATACTGGATGATGTTTTGGTCAACAGCAGATGCTGGTCCCGTAAGATTATAATGGAGCTACCCTAAACAGGTGTACCATTTTAAAATCTTTAATATCATATGTTTACTGTACCTTTTATATATTTAGAGATACCTAAATATACAAATACTCTTGTGTTACAGATGCCTACAGATTTCAGTACAGTAATACACTATACAGGTTTCTAGCCTAGGAGCAACAGGCTATCCCATGTAGTGTAAGTGTGTGGTAGGCTACACCATCTAGGTTTGTTTAAGTGCACTCTGTGATGTTCACACAATGAAGAAATTGTATGCAAAGCCTTTCTCGTAACATATCCCAGTTGTTAAGCAATTCATGACTATAATTAAAGATTCTCAGAGGAAAGAACTTGCTATCACATGACCTCCTATATCACAAATCCAGCATTATTTAGGTCCCCTGTTAGAAATGTCTTCCTATCTTCTGTGAAGCAGTACATGCCCCAGGCCTTTATTCCAACATCTTGTTACAACTCAAGAGTTCGGAGATTGAGTATTGCCATCAAGGTGCTATGTGCATGAGGGTCTTTGCCTGTCTTTCCAGTTCTCTGTCATGTATGAACAGTGGCTCCCTCCTTTCCTAATAACCATGTTATAAGGATGAGGAAATCATATGTATACAACAGGCTTGAGGGTCTTTTGAGAATGTCAGGTTTTTAAACAAGTCAGTCAGTATGTAAACTAGTTTTCATTTTTATACCAATTTATTGGCTCTATAAAATATATGACCAGTCAGGACCCAGAGAGAGTTGTTTACTTATAAATAAAGCTCCATATGTTATCCATTCAATCTAGACCTCAGGTTTCTGATAAAAGTACTCATGAAAGAAAAACTGAGGATTTTTATCAGAAATATTGATTAATGCTAATAGCATTAATAATTTTAAAGTGTTTACAGCTACCCATCAATTATTGACCCACCTCATCTATGGGTAATTTTCTCCATGCATTTTCTTACATCAGCATTTCTCTCAGCCTGTTCTTGTCAATGATTCTTTTGTCTCCTTGAATTGAATCCAAATCCTAATTATGCCTTGCAGACAGTAATGGTACCCATCCCCTCATCACCAGACAACAACAAAAATGTTCTGGATCTGAAACTTAATGCGAAACTGTTTTGAGTGGCAATGAGATGCCATCCAACAGTTAGAATGTATCAGTTCAAAAGTACTATCCTTAAACTACTGTCTAGGAATTGACCAGAGGAGAGATATCTAACATGGCTTTCTATCACCAGGTGAAATACAAAGAAAAGTATGAAAAAGAACGAGGAAAGCCCATGCTGGATTTTGAAACGCCAACGTACATCACTGCCAAAGAGTCTCAGCAGATGCAGAGTGGGGTAAGTCCTAAAAAAAAACAACAAAACAAAACAAAACAAAACAAAAAAAACAGCACACACCACATGATTCTGTTACACAAAGGAGCACAAGCTCTGCCCACGACCTAGCCAGTTTCCTGTCATCCAAAAGTGGTAGCTGATGAAACTTAACATGTGATCACTAAAATCGTCTCCATCTCAAAAATCCCGTGGTTCAGTTATTTTTTTAAAATGCTCTAGGTAGTAGATACTTACTATGTATGTTTTATTTCAATAACCATTTTTGTAAAATTAGAACATGGAAAACTATTCCTAACACAAGCAAGTTATGCTGAATGTAATTTGAATTTTCCTTTATGAATGAAAACTTCCCTCTGCACAGACACCCCTTTGGCTTTGAAATGCTCTACTCTTAGTAGAATGCCCCAAGCCAAACAGAAGGGCATCCATGATCCAGATGTTTATCAAGACCCAGATAATCAAAAGTTAAGATGCCATATTTCTTATTCTAGAATTGTAAACAGAAGCATTAATTTTTTTTCTTTTCATTTTTAACCAAGAGTAGAGAACGGAATTTTATTTTAAATCTTAGAAGTCTGTTTTCAATGGGAAATGGGTTTATCTGGAATTTCCATTTGCCTCTTTCTCCAGCTACAAAGAAATATGGTTTTAAATAAAAGTAGCAGTTTGTAGAGCTTTCTGGTGATAGAATGCCTGATCATCAAAACTTTAAAATGGTTTCAAACAATTGGTGAATCTGAGTAAAGGATCTATGGGAGTTTCTTATACTATTCTTGCTACTTTTCTGTAAATTTAAAATTCTATTAAAATAACAGAATTACAAAAGTAGAGTCCCAACATCTATTCCAAGTCCTTCTGTGAGTCAGCCAAGTCTGGAGACTGGAGAGAAGATGGGGCAGGGAGGCAGAGTGGACAAAATCGCAGAATTCCTCTGTGCCTTACTGCCCACCTATTCAGTGATTTTTTAAAAAATAGGTCAAACCTGAGTGTGGTGGTATACACCTATAGTCCCAGCTTCTCAGAAGCCTGAGGTGGAAGGATTACTTCAGCTCAGGAGTTTGAGACCAGACCAGCCTGGGCAACATAGCAAGACCCCATATCAAAAAAAACCAGGTCATGATTATGAAAAAAAGCAAGTTAGCATTTGGTAGCCTTAGGCTCTCCTTCCTCTGGGATTTTTTTTCCTTTTGCATCACTGACTTGTAATTCTGAAATAAAATATTTTGTCACCTTAAGAAAGGTGTGGGAAAGTTCAGAAAAGATGACAGAGGATTCAGTCTTGTTGGTGCTCCATCCTCCTGCTCTGCAAAGGGCCTGCCCCAGTCACAACGTTAGACTGATGAGTGAGGGGCCCATCAAAGTGTCTCAGCCTCTGAGTTTCCTTGTGGCCATTTGCTCCAAAGTCTTTCAAGAACAATCATACATGTTTCAAATGTGTGACCATTAGCAGAACTATGATCAAGTTAAGAGCCCATACATAAAAAAATGCTGTATTCTTCTTCCTGAGACTGAGAGTTAAATTGTAGTAAAGGTTCTTTTTTTAACTTGTCTTTCCTTCCTACTTACATTAGAAAGAATATAGGAAAGATTATGAAGAGTCCATTAAAGGCAGAAACCTGACTGGCCTGGAGGTCACGCCAGCTTTGTTACATGTCAAATATGCAACTAAAATAGCAAGCGAGGTAGTGCCCACTTGGTCTTTTCTTTCCCTCTTAATCCAAATAATTGCACTAATGACACTCATTAATGTGTTCCTCCCACCATTTGCATCACCATCTAACTGTGGGTTTCAAACTGGGTTCTCAAGTGTTTGGTACTACCACCTAATCTATTACCCATGTTAATTCTACTTTTTTATTTGAATATTACCTTAGCATTCTATTAACTTCAAGTTTTTATTTGATATTTAATGTTAACTGATCATGCTTATACCCTGCCTTTATTCATTTTTTTACTTACTAAACTGTGAACCCTTTAAATATTGAAATTGTTTTTATTTCTTTTGTATCCCCTTTGCCTAAGAGGATCAATCTGAGCTTTCTTCTCAGTGGTGTTGCTTTTCTTTCATGATATAGAAAGAGTACAGGAAAGATCTAGAGGAAAGCATCCGTGGGAAGGGCCTCACTGAAATGGAAGATACACCTGACATGCTAAGAGCAAAGAATGCCACTCAGATCCTCAATGAGGTAGGCCCACGGCTGACTGACTGCACATAATTCATAGAGCATCACTGCTTTGTTAGCCACGTTACACCAAAAAAAGCAAAACAAAAACAGAATAGAAAAAGCTTTTGATTTTCAGATTCCATATCCAACATAATTGTTAACCATTACATAAAATGTATCTCAATTTATGATGGATATTATAACAGTATGTTTCTGTAGTGGTTATCATAACCTATTATCTAATATTATTTAACTTGATATATTGGTGTGCTCATTTATATAAAAACACTACACCAGAGTGGTATGCACCTAAGTGTAATCTTGGTCATGTACCAAACCAGATGTACAATGTACTTTCCATTCTAATTTTCTAAGCAGAGAATGCTGAAAGTATTCAAAAGGAGGCCTCTTGACTCATATTGACTTGCACAGAATAGTTTCCTCCAGGGGTCTTCTGCAGACACCACTTTATCCTACTGCATGGAAGAGTGAAGGTGAACAGTAGTAAGAGACACTATCTGTGACAACTGAGGTGGCGTGTTATGTGGATTTATATTCACTCTGTACGTTCGTTACCTAGTAGTATAATTTCGGTACCCTTTTTTTTCTTTTAATGTTACTACAGAAAGAATATAAGCGAGACCTGGAACTGGAAGTCAAAGGAAGAGGCCTGAATGCCATGGCCAATGAAACTCCAGATTTTATGAGGGCCAGGAATGCTACTGATATTGCCAGTCAGGTCAGTGCTGCTATTCCATGTCAATCTTTCAGGAAAGTGGTTGTAATTTTAAGGACATGCTGTGTCCCTCTGCCATCTGATTTATTGGTCAATGACAGTCACATGCATACAATGACATTCTTGAACACCTGCCTGGAAGAATCCGCCCCAATGAAAGGATGGAGGACCCTCTGCCAGGCTTGTTGCTGTCTGCCTTTCTGAGTTTATAGGCTCTGGGGACATTCAGAGCAAAGGGCAGAAGTTGAGGAACTAAGCAGCTGTTTGGAGCTGGGGCAGACTTGACATCCTGGCTTTGTTTCTGAGCCAATGCACTCATTTGATGCCAAGAATTCCTTGCTTAGAATATCTTGGGAGTTCTTTCTCTCCTTTCAAGCCCTAAGTTTAGAACCACTTTTAGGCATCTTACCTTGTCTAATGCTCCTTGGTATGGGTCTTTTGCTTACCTGTCATCCTCCCAGCTCTTATGTAAACAATCCATGCCTTATTCTCTGTTGCTGATCCCTCCTTACCCATGCCCCATCCTGCATCCAACTAGATAGTCTAGTCTCTCAACAGCTAGGACTTGACCTTTCTTGCTGAATCTCACTCTTTCGTATACAACTATGAACACACTAGGAAGAAATGTCTGTTGAATGTTGAATGAGTCCTTCTTGGAAAAGAAATACGGATCACCTCTTAATCAAATCAAGCCAACAACCGTTGTGTACATGGTAAACATTTACCCAACTACTGGATGTCCTTTTACAGATTAAGTACAAGCAATCAGCAGAAATGGAGAAAGCCAATTTCACTTCTGTGGTTGATACTCCAGAGATCATTCACGCCCAACAAGTCAAGAATCTTTCAAGCCAGGTAAGGACATTCATCATGCCATCACTCACAGACCCCAATCATGAAAGAATGGAAGTCCTTCCATTAATACCTTAAGAGACTTTTCAAATCAGTTTTTCCCAATAAAAAAGAGGAGATTTACCAAGTGCAGTGGCTCATGCCTGTATTCCCAGCACTTTGGGAAGCCAAGGCAAGTGAATCACTTAAGTCCAGGAGTTTGAGACCAGCCTGGGAAACATGGCTAAACCCTGTCTCTACAAAAATTAGCCAAGTGTGGTGATACATGCCTGTAGTCCCAGCTTCTAGGAAGGCTGAGGTGGGAAGATCGATTGAGCCCAGGAGGTCAAGGCTGCAGTCAGATTTGAGTACACTACTGTAGTCCAGCCTGGATGACAGAGCGAGATTCTTTTTAAAAAAGAGTCCAGGCGCAGTGGGTCACGCCTGTAATTGCAGCACTTTGTGAGTCCGAGACGGGTAGATCATGAGGTCAAGAGATCGAGACCATCCTGGCCAACATGGTGAAACCCTGTCGCTATTAAAAATACAAAAATTAGCTGGGTGTGGTGGCATGTACCTGTAGTCCCAGCTACTTAGGAGGCTGAGGCAGGAGAATCGCTTGAACCTGGGAGGCGGAGGTTGCAGTGAGTAGAGATCATGCCATTGCACTCCAACCTGGGCAACAGAGTGAGACTCTGTCTCAAAAGAGAGAGAGAGAGAGAGAGTTTCACCTATGATGCAGGAATTTTAAGGTACTGAAGAACTCTTACATGGTACAACTCATAATTAATCAATATTTTAACATAAAATCTCTTATAATGTGGCTTTAAAATATGTGTGCAAATCTGGAAGAAACAAAGTAGACAGCCCACATTGGAATTACTAATCTCTAACAAGATTGAGATTGAGACCATATAGTCTAACCCTGACTCCTCCTGATGAATAACTCTCCATCCTCCTACAAATAGAGAGATGAAGAAAAGTAGGCTATTCTTCACACCCCAGGATATGCCCTCATTTGTATTAATGATCATCAGTGATGGGCAGGAGTCTGCAGTTTGAGTGGCACCAGATTAGAATTTGTGCTTGTCTTCTGAGCAATGAGTTTCAAAGCAGTAGTTAACCTGCCCCAGCTGTGCTTTATAGACACCTAGGAATGTAGATTCCCTGGTCCAACTCTGGAATTTTGATGCTCGTAAATCTGTGTTAGGCTCTGGAAATCTATTTTTGTTTGTTTTTAATTTTCACGGATCATCTCTTAATGACTAATCAGGTTAAGGAATCAGTGATTTCAACCATTATTAGCAATACATAGTTGTATGTTATAAAATTATACATGAAAAATATAGTTATCACTAGAGAGTGGTTTGATTAGGAAACAGGTATATTCAAATGGGAGAAATGTGTTTCTTTGAAGGGTAGGGATGGGAAAGAATAATTAGATTTTAAAAAATTACCAAAATCATATGAGCTCCAAATTACCATGTTGTGTTCACTGAGGGAGCCAGGGAGACCAACATTCTTTGAGTTATGAGAGGCTCACCAGCCTTTTGCCTTCTGCTTTTGACATGGCTGATCTTTAACGTGGGTCTGTCTATCCCAGTGTGGGATCAAGTCACTTATTCTGCTCTCCTGCAGCTCTCTTTGGCTGGTTCCTCAAGGCCTAAAATATAGCCAGGCAAGTTACTTCCTCCCCAATTCAGATCAGTATTTACAGTAGAATGGTAAATATTGGTGAGATGGTGCTTGTGTTTTCACAAACTTGCTTCTCGATTTCCAATGGAAAATCTGTATTTATAACTCTTAAACCTCATACTTGGGGGTTAATGCAAGAAATGCGAGCTGACTCACAAATTTAGGATTCTATACAGTAGTCTCCCCTTATCTGAGGGGCACATGTTCCAAGACCCCTAGTGGATGCCTGAAACCACAGACAATACCCAACCCTATATATATTCTTTTTTCCTATACATATATACCTATGATAAAGTTTAATTCATAAATTAGCAAAGTAAGAGATTAATAAAATAGAACAATATACTGTAATAAAAGTTACGTAGTTACATGAATGTGGTCTCCCTCAAAACATTTTAATGTACTCATCTATTTTTGACTGAGGTTGACTACAGTGCACTGGAACTGTGGAAAGTGAAACCTCAGATAATTGGGGACTGCTGTACTGAATACTTCTTTTTTTTTTTTTTTGAGACGGAGTTTCGCTCTCGTTACCCAGGCTGGAGTGCAATGGCGCGATCTCGGCTCACCGCAACCTCCGCCTCCTGGGTTCAGGCAATTCTCCTGCCTCAGCCTCCTAAGTAGCTGGGATTACAGGCACGCGCCACCACGCCCAGCTAGTTTTTTGTATTTTTAGTAGAGACGGGGTTTCACCATATTGACCAGGATGGTCTCAACCCTCAATTTGGTCTGGGAACAACAGGGAGTTTGGGTCCCTTTCTCCTAGAACATGTCCAAGTCCATGTCCAAATCTGATCACCCCCCTTCAGGGATTAGCACCAGCTCGGCAAACCAGTTCAGGCAGCTTTTGCTTAATCTCAAAAAAAATAAAAGAAAAACAGAAGAAAAGGAGGATTGTTTCTATTCTTTTCCCAGGACAATGAGAACTGTTTTCCTTACCTCTACATAGCTAAGAAGCGACATCCAGGTGACTTTTTCATGACCATAACATTTGTTTCTTGTGAACTACCATCTCCTTCCAGAAAAATCTTGGCTTTAATTTGCTTCCATTTAGATGAACAAAATCTAGGCCTAAATCTCTCATTGGCTGAAACCGCTTCTTTGTTGTCTTTGGGAAGATTAAAAATTTCAATACTTATAAATGTTAATATAACAATGTACATAGAGACAGATAGAAGAGTTTTATCCCCATTATAATAATGGCTAGTCTCTTTCCTCAGCCCTCAGCCCTATAAACTCAAACTTCCCTGAAAATTAAGCTAGAGAGAAAAGTGAAAGAACATAGTGAAAAGCAATGAAAAAAAAATAAGGCTCTAAAGGCAGAGTAAGTGTTCTGCTGCAGAGAATAAAGACAATCAGTTTGGTGGTGGGATTGACTGCCTACTGGTGTCTGGAAGAGCGGTGCCTATGCACATCTCTCCAGCCAAAGGCTGGGGCAAGACAGGGGAGCCCGAGGGATAGTGATGTCTGGCTCTGAGCAGTTCTTGGCCAGTCAGCTGGCCTCAGTGGTGCTCCACGTGTGTCTGTTTAGTAGAGCTGCCAGTCCTGTCAGCTGCTTTCTGCAGCACCAGAGCCATATTCTGAAAATGCCTCTGGGCCTGCTTGCCTGCTCAGTTCTGCAGGGGAGCCGTGACTGCACCTGCTCACGGCTTAGAGAACATCTCCTTGTCACCAGCTAAGACTTTCTAGAGGTCATGTCTTTGGCTCTTAACCCTCCAGCTTCTCTCTGCCTGCCTGTTGAGTAGTCTGACTACATAGCTTCATCCAGAACAGCGATGACTACTGCCACTGGAGGCATCCCCATCTCCCTTTCCAGGCCTTGCTGGCTGTGACTTCCCTCCTGTGGACCAGCCAGGAAGGTCCCCCCTCTGCCAGCTTTGCCATGACAGTAGGTCCTATTCAATGTCTGGGCTCAGCTTTCCTGGAAAGAAAAAGTGTGGTGCTCTTTGACTGAAAGGGTTCTGCCTTGCAATGCCCTAACATCCTTGGACAGTTAAGAAAATACAAAGGACTTTCCCTCTGCTGAGCTGGAAGGCCTATTTTAGGTCCCATTGGCCTATATCCTCGTGGTGTTTACCCTCCTTATTTCTTGGAATCTATTCCCAGAAAAAGTACAAGGAAGATGCTGAGAAGTCCATGTCATATTATGAGACCGTTTTGGATACCCCAGAGATGCAGAGAGTCCGGGAGAACCAAAAGAACTTCAGCCTTGTAAGTTTGTATTAAATGTAAGGCACAGCCCACAGGCCCCTGGGGTGCTGAGGATGCCTCTGGATGCCCCTGGCCTGCAGTGGGGCTTTGTGCAGCTCTCTACAACTCCCATCCTGCCCCAGAAAATGTGTGCTCGATTCATCTCTGGGCTCACCTGTATTAATCCCAAATCACAGCATGAAAGATTCATCTGTTACTTCCTTGGTGGTGTAGGGGAGAAAATGTAGTATCTTTTCCTCACCCATGGCAAGGTTCATGGCTAAAACCCCTGTAACAAAAGAGAGATTAATAAGATAAACACATACAATTTATTTAATAAAACCTTCAGAAATCACAACCCAAAGAAACAGGGAAATGCTTGTATTTTTATGGACAGAGATGCAGAGTGATTGGACAGAGAGGGTATGATCCAATGGTAATAAACAGGGAGTTTAGCAAGGCCTGTTTGTTCAGATTCTCCTAGTTCTCTGTGGCTTTGGCTCCTTCCTCTGGGTCTATGAAGGACCCTTCGGGAAGGAGAGGCTTATCGCCTGCTTTAGAGGAAGGTCAGAGAATTATTACCTGCTTTAGGAAAAAACGGTGAGAGAAGGCCAGAGACCCTCCTGCTTCTGCTGCTGTTTGAAATGCCGAGGCGCCATATTTTGGAGTGGTGTATCCTAAACCCTGTCAGTGGGTTTCTATTAGTAGTGACATCTATCTTTTTCAAAATTAAACCTAAGCAAGAGATACTTAAACAAAAACAAACAAACCCCTAGCTTTATGTTTTTTAAAATTAGTTTTTCCACAAAATTCTTATCAAATAATTTCCCTTGGGTTACCAGAGCATGATTATTGTGGCATAGAGTTTTTTTTTTAAAAGATACAGGATTTTATTTTCCTTTACACAATATAGAACAAAGAAAGAAAGTAAAACAATGTTGAAATCTTAACAAGATGTTTACTCTTTCTTCATAGCTCCAATACCAGTGTGACCTTAAAAACAGTAAAGGAAAAATTACAGTTGTTCAAGACACGCCAGAAATACTGCGTGTAAAAGAAAACCAAAAGAATTTCAGCTCGGTATATTTACTATTTACTTTCCATTTAATGCTAACCTAGTAATTTCACTCTCCTCTTTAAAAATATACTAGCCTTACACTGACAATTAACATCTAACCTCCTCAGGAATACCAGCAGTGATTTGTTAAAATTCCCTATACTTTGCTCCAAATTCATCTCTCCAGAGACCATTTGAAATAACTTTAAATCTGCTAACAAAGCAACTTTTTAAATTTTTTAACCTCAGAGCAGTAACATGTGTTATCTTGCTCCAAGAAGATGGATTTCTTTTTAACATTGTGATTTATTTTATCCTTCCCCCAAATAACTGACTGACTTTGCAGTTCTTTAATGGATTTTGTGTCTGTTGTTGTTAGTCAGCATTTCCTGGCTTTTCTCATTTGTATTAATATGGAACCATAATCTTAAAAGAAATCTTAAGACCTGGAAGGTGATCCATGTTGCGTATCTGGTATGAGTCACTGATACCGATGTGGAAATGTCAGGTGTGATGCTCTGGCACTTGCCTGGGAACATCATCTAGTGTCTTGTTTTCACAGAAGTCGTGTGTCCTAGTCTTTCTCCAGATATTGCTGGGTTTTCCCTTCTTCTTTGTAACACTGTCATGATTCTGAATGCACAGGTTTTATATAAAGAGGATGTCTCACCAGGAACGGCAATTGGAAAGACACCTGAAATGATGAGAGTGAAACAAACACAGGACCACATTAGCTCGGTAAAGACACAGTGGATGCACTTCCAACATTGTTTGTCTCCCTTTGATAATTTACAGTGACCCCTGAGTTGTACTCAAAGCCTTTGTCACTAGAAACAGCTTATATTGCTAAAATAGGTGCCTGTGTGCCACCACCAACACACAGTGTGCACCAGTGGCTAGAGTCATCTCATATTCAGCGCAGTGCTTTGGTGGTTTTCATGAGGGAGATTAGATATAAAAAAGAGAGGCTTGTGAGAAGGTAGAATCCAGTACAGTCAAAAAACCAACCTTCCTGGATACATGTACGTGAATCTATTTGTTCTAGTCAAATGACCTGTTGGGCATAAACACACTGGGGTATACAGGAAAGGGCTGCAGTCTATATAGGGGCCCCCACCTCTGCCCCAAAAAGACAAGAGAGAGACAAAGTGTCCCTGTCCTCGGAATTGTTCTCTTACCCAATATTAGAATGAGGTCCCATTCACTCTAAGTATAAAGCTTGTGTTATTTAAATTGATTTTTTTTTTAATTTAGGGACTACTAATCAAAGATCTGTAACATGTTGGTAAGAGTAACTGTCCAGAACGTAATAATATCTTTCTTTTCCCATTTTAAATCTGCAGGTGAAGTATAAGGAAGCAATAGGACAAGGAACTCCAATCCCTGACCTGCCTGAAGTGAAACGTGTGAAGGAGACACAGAAGCACATTAGCTCGGTAGTGGCCATACTCTCAGCTTGCATTTGTGTGACTGGCCATGTTCCAATTGCTATCCTGCTCTCTCCCATCCCTTCTGCCTCCTACCAAGAGCTTCCATGCCTTGGAGAATGTTGTGAACCTTCTCTTAGACTTGATGGGGTCACTACCGGTTGCAAAAGTAGATAAGAAACCTCTCTTCTCAAAATAAAGGGGAAGGGACTTGGCTTTTCTCCCCCCACCTGTCACTTACTTGAAGCTCATGGAGTTGGCTTCTTAATTATCATGCCATTCGTTTCCAAAGTAAAATGTTTTGATGGTAGTAATAAGGTTATTGGGACGATCTCAAGTAATTTAACCAAAGCATATACATGTAAGTAGTATAGCATACTTTGGTTTTATGTATATATAAAAACGTACGTGTGTGTGTGTGTGTGTGTGTGTGTGTGTGTGTGTGTGTGTGTATGTATGACATATTGTATGGATAGGATTCCCTAGTGTAGAAAAAAGACCCTAGGCAGACTTGTGAAGTCTCTTCTCCCTTCTCAATTTCAAGGTTTCTTATCCTGTATTCTCTGCTGTCTTCATCTTGTAAATGCAGTGGTACAGGCTGTGATCTACCTACAGTGGTATATATTAAGCCTGTGCTCTCATGGAAATTTCAGGTACCTGTGTACAGTTTATTGAGGGTTGGGTGCCCCCCACACGTGAAGTATCAGCACGTTTCTCCTGAGCTTTTGTCAAGCCCTGGCTCTGCACCCCACCCCATTTTCCCATCCATACACATATTCTAGGCAGGTGTTGGCTACTAGCAAGAGACTGAAGTTTGGGAAATAGTTTGTGGCCAATAAAAGGTGAGGACCTTAGTCTTGGGATTCCCCTGGTCACTGGAGGACTGAACTCTTGATTTTCTTTAAGAGATACTTGACATTTCTCTTGCAGGTTGTTCATATTATTAAGATCTCATTCCCTTCTCACTCCCTGCTTATACTCTGGCTTCCTTGTGGTCCAAATTTCATTTAGAGTTTTGTGTCCTGTAATATGAGAAAGCTAGCCCAGGCTCCTTTGTCACTTTGCATTACAACTTCTTGCTTTTAGTTTTGTGCTGTTGTCCATTATCAATTCTGTTGCTTTGTTGGGTAAAGAGTAAAGAAATGCAACTTTGTTACCAAGAAGGTAGATGTTCAAAGGTTTCTAAAAGTTTCCTTGCAAAGCAAAACTATCCCCCCTAGCTTGTTACTGATTTTTAAGAATTAAAATCTGGTTATGTTGCTCCCCATCCCATGCACTAACACAGCAGGGAATCTATCCATTTAAAAGAACCCCGCGGTGGCTCAAGCCTGTAATCCCAGCACTTTGGGAGGCCGAGGCGGGTGGATCACAAGGTCAAGAGATCGAGACCATCTTGGTCAACATGGTGAAACCCCGTCTCTACTAAAAATACAAAAAAAATAGCTGGGCATGGTGATGCGTGCCTGTAATCCCAGCTACTCAGGAGGCTGAGGCAGGAGAATTGCCTGAACCCAGGAGGAGGAGGTTGCGGTGAGCCGAGATCGTGCCATTGCACTCCAGCCTGGGTAAAAAGAGCAAAACTCCGTCTCAAAAAAAAAAAAAAAAAAAAAAAAAAAAGAACCCATTCAGTCCTTTAGGCTGAAAACTTGAGGAGGAGGCAAGAAGCTAGGAAAGTGGAGGTTCCTTACCATTTTCATTAAAATGCATAGTCCTTCGATACTACTACTAAAAAAATGGACTTCTCCCAATTCTGAAAACACTAGTTTACTTCATCCAGCAATCAGCAATAAAAATTTCAGGTAAAGATGCTCCTCCTGAAAAATAAACTGATTAAACCTCCTCATATCCAGGGACTAGGCTCCTATAGTCTAGGAGCCAGCTAGGAACATTCATTAGAATATACAAAACAAACAGAAAATTCTCAGTAAGCCTGAAGGAACAGCGTATCCTGTGATTTGAAAATTTTAAACCAAGCAATCTATTCATTAAGCACAAGTCTACTGCAGGCCTGCTATATTCAAGGCACCAATGCTAGATGCAACAGAATGGCTGGATTTTTCTCATTGGTAAATTTATTATTATTTAATGCATTTTAGGTATGTACCAAGTGGTTAAAGAAAATGCTAATTTAGTGCCCAGTTTTCAAATAGTAAAAGTTTTTACTACCTTTGAAAAGAGAACATATTTATGGAATTTCCCCCCATTCCTTGTATGTTGTATTTGAGAGCTGGATTGTTTTTATGAGTTTCCCCCAAATAGCCCACATGTAGCTGCTATCTAAAGGATTCATGGTCATTTTACCTTTCCGGGTATTCTAATTATTTTCTACAGGTTATGTACAAAGAAAACTTGGGAACAGGCATTCCAACCACTGTGACTCCAGAGATTGAGAGAGTCAAACGCAATCAAGAGAACTTTAGCTCGGTATTTACAAATATATCACATAAAAAACTATTTCCCATAAAAAATTTACCGCAATAACCCACCTTTTTTAAAGAAAGTAACATCTTAACAACAATTCTGTGTGTGTCTGTGTGTGATGTATATTACCTGAGCAAAGCCATCTTAATATAAAATGACTCACATTTCCAATTATGCTTTAACATTTTCAGTGACTTGACTAGATCTGAAATACTGTAAGTAGAATTAACAAGATTCCTCAACGTTATATGTATAACTTAATGCTTTCCATTGTACTTTTTCATTTACAGAATTAGCACTGTAGAGTTCATCCTAAAAACTGTGAAGTAAAAAAGTAAAAACATTATCCTTACTAAATATTACTTACTAAAAAACTGCCTCCTCACACACAACCCCTTCCCCCAATTTCCTCCCTTCCTTATTCTCTGTGCTTGTTTTAAATGTCCTCTGGATACTTTCTTGTATCTCACAGGTTTTGTACAAAGAAAATTTGGGGAAAGGAATCCCAACACCTATCACTCCAGAGATGGAGAGAGTCAAACGCAATCAAGAGAACTTTAGCTCGGTATTTCTTAGGGGACCAAAAAAAAAAAAAAAAATCCTCAATTTTATTTAAAATAACACCTTACAAATTTAAAATTACTAAATTCATATAATGAAAATAATGGTACCAAATATTACCTCAGTTTTCAACCCAAATCTAATTTAGTATTTAGTTCTGGTGTGAAATTTTAACTGTGTTTTCTCTAAAACATAGATATTTATCACTTTCTTTAAAAACCTGTAATAGTCAATGTTTTCTTCCTCCATCCCTCCTTTAATAACAGTAGGTGTTTCTAACTGGTGTGGCACAAGTCAAAAGTAAAACCTAACACTCCTTCAAAGGACAATATTAATTAGAATTTTATTTGTATTTATTGTGGCTTTTTGATGTATTCTCTGTTTGCAGCTTTTCTTGAAGATTTTTCTGTTTAGATGTTTATTATTTTTCCATAAGTTTGGGGGGTACAGGTGGTATTTGGTTTTTAGTGGTGAGTTTTTTAGTGGTGATTTGTGAGATCCTGGTGCACCCATTACCCGTGCAGTATACACTGCACCATACTTGTAGTATTTATCACCCCACACCCACTCTTCCCCACCAAGTCCCCAGAGTCCATTGTATCATTCTTATAACAACTTTGTGTCCTCACAACTTAGCTCCCACATATCGGTGAGAACACACAATGTTTGGTTTTCCAAACCTGAGTTACTTCACTTAGAAGAATAGCCTCCAGTCTCATTGGAGGTCACTGTGTTTGCAGCTTTTCTTAAAAGAATGTCATTCTTAAACATTTTCATTCAAAGCCAACACAGCAATTCACAGTAACTCAGAAATATAATTTACTTGTCTCAGCTATTTTTTGTATGCTATGCAAGATAAAATTTTTCCTTTGGAAAACCTTCGGGATCATTGAAAGCTAATATTATTTAGCTTTCAGTATTTATTCTTTATTTTGTTCCCTAATTTAATGTTACCAACAACTCATGGATATTAATTTCAATTAGTCTGAATGCTGTTTGATACTCCTGTCTCTGAGAGAAGGCCTGCATCAGTCAAGCCCCTCCTGCCGGCAGCCTGGCAGCTGTGTTTTACTGATGTCTTTTAGAGACAGACATTCTGTGTGTGACTAAGTGTCCAAAGGGGATCTATAGTTACTCTATTTTTAAATGTTTGTTATTTAGGTCTATTTTACTTCATCATGAAACAAGAAAAATACCTTTAGGCTCTTTTTTTTTATGTTAAATATACCTAAAAGATGGGTCCAGGTTGATTTGTTTGTTGGTTTTGTGCACACAGATATTGTACAAAGAGAACTTGAGCAAGGGGACCCCCCTACCTGTCACTCCTGAGATGGAGCGAGTCAAACTCAATCAAGAAAACATTAGCTCGGTATTTGAGAGAAAGCTCTTTAACTCCATATTTAAAAAAATAATTTCTATGAAACAGAACATCTCACTATTCATCCCTTTATAATAATCAATTTAACAAAATATTTTTTTAAGTCACATCAACTGAATCCTTCTGTTTTCCAGATCTCCTACTCACCATTTGATTCTAACACTTTATACTTCTCTAATAGTCCCTTAAAACGTTTTCTTTCCTTCTCTTTTCACCTTTATGTTACTGTTGGGACTGTTGAAGTTAACTGATTTCCAGAAAAGAAAAACCAAACACTAAAGCTCTTATTTACTGTGAATTCTTTTTATCTGATGTTTCTGGGTTAGAGATGCAAGAAAAGATACTGGACTTGAAGCCACATGTAGAAATGGTGGCTCTTGCTTGGGAACAGGAATCATCTTAACATATACCCTATTCAGATAAAGAGTAGCACCAAGAAAGAAAATTGCTCAATATTGAAACCAAAAGAAATCTTATTTTGGGCCAGGTGTGGTGGCTCACGCCTGTCATCTCAGCATTTTGGGAGGCCAAGACAGGCGGATTGCTGGAGCACAGGAGGTTGAGACCAGCCTAGGCAACATGGTGAAATTCCATCTCTCTATAAACAGAAAAAAATTAGCCAAGCATGGTGGTGCATGCCTATAGTCCCAGCTACTCGGGAGGCTGAGGTAGGAGGATCGTCTGAGCCCCACGAAGTCAAGGCTGCAGTGAGCCATGATTGTGCCACTGCACTCCAGTCTGAGTGACAGGAGTGAGACCCTGTCTCAAAAAGTAAAAATAAAAGGAAGAAAGAAATCTTATTTTGATACTTGTTCTAAACTAGCCATTTCATGGATAGAAATCCAGTCCTTCTGATTTTTTTAAATATACAAATCAGATCATAAACTTATATTTAATGTTACTTTCTCTTTTATTAATATTGTTGCTGAAAAACTCTAAGACAGGCCGGGTGCAGTGGCTCATGCCTGTAATCCCAGCACTTTGGGAGGCCGAGGTGGGTCGATCACGAGGTCAAGAGATCGAGACCATCCTGGTCAACATGGTGAAACCCTGTCTCTACTAAAAATACAAAAAATGAGCTGGGCATGGTTGCGTGTGCCTGTAATCCCAGCTACTCAGGAGGCTGAGGCAGGAGAATTGCTTGAACCCAGGAGGTGGAGGTTGCGGTGAGCCGAGATCACACCATTGCACTCCAGCCTGGGTAACAAGAGCGAAACTCCGTCTCAAAAAAAAAAAAAAAAAAAAAAAGAAAGAAAAACTCTAAGACAAAAATTATTTGTATATTATAAAATAATACAAAAATCTGAAACTTCTATATGAAGATCTTAGGTTCACTTATACCTGTGATGGAGAATCAAATGTCATTAGGAAAATTTAGTTGGATTTTTTTTGGGGGGAGTAGAAATTAATCCAAAATGTTTTTAATTGTCAGTTTAAATATATTTTAAAAGTTTGATTCTTTGACATAATTAGATCAGTAACTTTCTTTGGTCCCACTGTCTTTTTGTTCTGTTTTTAATTACTATTCACTAACAATCCTTCAATTTTGTTAAATTTTCAGTGTAAGTTAATATGTCTTTTGGAATGTTACTGTTTTCCCTGTGGGTTTGTTGTTGTTATTCCTTTTATTGAAAGGCTTGCAACAATTTCAAAATTACTTTCTAATTATTTTCTTCCGTACTAGAATTAAGTATATTATTTTTGTATCTATTTGAAACCTTAATGATCCTGATGATTCTGGACTTTTTTTTAAAGTAACCATTTGCATTTTTACACAGATTCCACCTAGGCTAAATTGTCCAGTGGTGGATAAGCCTATTAGATACTGTGGAAAGTAGACAATGCCATATAGTGACTTTTAGACTTGACCATCTCTATAATCTGAACTTAGTGACAAAGACCAAATTGCTATATTGCATAAATCTGGCCTGTTAAATATTTCTTATACTGTAAAACAAATGTCTTTTGTAAAGAAAACAAATATTTGCTAATCTAACAAACGATGTTTCTATTGTACACTGACTATTTTAATGGTCTTAGGAAATTATTTGTATTTTTTTCCTTAATTCCTGGCACAGAAAATATTTAATATTCAATTTACAGTAAAAAGGTGAATATCTAATACAGTAATATTTCACTAAGGAAATACAAAACATGTTCTCACCCAGATCTGTGCGTGAACAGAGAGGCTGACTTGTTGAATTTGTCTTTTCTGTCTGATGTCTGTAGTTTCATACTAGATTCTCCACAAGGTAGACGAAAGGGCTGTTTTGACTGCTCTTGTTTCTTCTGGATGCTTTCTTGTGTCATACAGGTGTTGTATAAAGAAAACGTTGGAAAAGGGATTCCAATCCCCATCACTCCAGAGATGGAGAGAGTCAAACACAATCAAGAAAACTTTAGTTCGGTATTTAAAAATGAAAAACCCCTTTAACTACTTTTTGAAAGTTTAAAAAATATTAATGGCTAGATTTTAAAAATCTAATCAACTCATTCCAATAAAAAATTTGACCTGTCATGTTCCCAACTTAATGCTGCCATTTCCCACGAATCAGTTTTCTCCATTTTGGTAAAACATTAATACAATCATTTAACTTAATTTTTTAAAAAGTGTTTATTATTATATTCCTGCTTTTACAAATATAACATTCTCAGTGTCTAAGCATCCACATTTATCCTGCTTTGGCAAAGTTGATCTGAACCTAAAGCTTAAAACAAATGTATTCTGCAAAGAACCGACTGTTAGGCTCATTTATTATTCTAACCTTTTCTGTCTCTACTGGTATTTGTACAGATATTTTGAAGTTTTTTTTGTTTGTTTAGCACCTTATCATTGCTCTCCATTTGCCTTAAACATTGTTCTTCCCAATATGTTTACCCAAACTAAAGGTTAAATACTTTGACTTCTTTTGAAAGTGAACAAAAGAAGGTTTGTGTGTTTATGTATCCATATATAAAATGCTTATAAAACCCAAATATCCTTACATGATTTATTAATAGCATTTTAAAGTCAAAAATAACTTCCTTGGTTTTGTTTCTGTCTCTTGTCTGTTTCTATTTTTTTCCCCTCTGTGTAACAAGCTGGGAAAGACTAATTCCTCTCTTTCATGGTTGCTCAGTGCCGCAGAGATTAATTCAAACAAGGAAAATAACAAAACTTTCTTTTCATATTTCTTAGTTTTTGCTGCTCTTTCCTGCATTCCTTTGCTTTTGAAGATGTCTTTAAAAGGCTCAAACAGGTTGAGTCTAAAAGCTTCTGGTATTTCTCCTCCTCTAATTCACTCTCTTCCTCCCTTCCCACTCCCAACTGTTCCAAAGCAGGGGGAAAGTGATTGACTGATTGCTTTTTTTGTTGTTGTTCTGGATGCTTTCTTACCATACAGGTGCTATACAAAGAAAACCTGGGGACAGGAATTCCAATCCCCATCACTCCTGAGATGCAGAGAGTCAAACACAATCAAGAAAACCTTAGCTCGGTATTTTGAAAAGAAAGGGGAAAAATGCCACTTCAGAATTAAACTGATCCTTACATTTATTTTTTGTTTTAAACTCATTTCCCTTCCTTTGCTTCTAATGTATTTTATATTACAAAAGGACATACTTTCCCATTTCTATAATACAATTAATTTCAATTTCTTACTTCATCTGATATTTTCAAAAAATTTTTTAAATAATTAGTTTTTCTGTTTGTGTGGGTAACAACATCGAGTTCTAACAGTCTCAAATCCCTGTTTGTTTAGGAGGCACCATACTCACAAAAACGAAAAAAAAAATAACATGGGTAACTCTGACAGCCTTTCCCCAGCAGCTGAGGTCCCTGCTTCTCTAGAGGGTGCAGATTCCCCATCCCAACAATGGCTTCCACTAAAGTATTCGGTGGCATTTTGTCAGCAAATAACTTCTGGCTCCTTGGACGACTGTTTTCTCCTCACATTTAAAACATCCCAAGAAATGAAATGTTACTCACGTCTGTTTTTCTGGATGCTTTCTCATCGCACAGGTGTTATACAAAGAAAACATGGGCAAGGGAACCCCTTTACCTGTCACTCCCGAGATGGAGAGAGTCAAACACAATCAAGAAAATATTAGCTCGGTACTTTCGCAAGAAAAGAAAGAAACTACTCAATGATTTTAGAAACTTTCATGATTTAAAATAATACATATTAATCCTACTTTTTAAAGAAACTTAAATTTTGTGCATTCCTTTAGCAAACTTATCCCTTTTTCCTTTGGGGTACTTCTAGCCTAACACCATTCCCGGTTCTATAATACAGTTAACTTCGATTTTTTATTTCATCTGGTATTTTTAAACATTCTTTTAAAAATAATGACTTTTTCTGTTTGTGTGGGTAACAACACCAAGTTCTAACAGTCTCAAATCCTTTTTTGTTTAGGAGGCACCGTACTCACAAAAACGAAATAATAATAATAATAATAATAACATGGGTAACTCTGATAGCCTTTCCCCAGTAGCTGAGGTCCCTGCTTCTCTAGAGGGTGCAGATTCCCCATCCCAACAATGGCTTCCACTAAAGTATTCGGTGGCATTTTGTCAGCAAATAACTTCTGGCTCCTTGGACGACTGTTTTCTCCTCACATTTAAAACATCCCAAGAAATGAAATGTTACTCACGGTTGTTTTTCTGGATGCTTTCTCATCGCACAGGTGTTATACAAAGAAAACATGGGCAAGGGAACCCCTTTACCTGTCACTCCCGAGATGGAGAGAGTCAGACACAATCAAGAAAATATTAGCTCGGTACTTTCACAAGAAAAGAAACTACTCATTTAATGATTTTAGAAACTTTCATGATTTAAAATAATACTTATTAATCCTTTTTAAAGACAACTTAAATTTTGTGTATTCCTTTAGCAAATTTATCCCTTTTTCCTTTGGGGTACTTCTAGCCTAACACTATTCCTGGTTCTATAATACAGTTAACTTCTATTTTTTATTTCACCTGATATTTTTAAACATTCTTTTAAAAATAATGACTTTTTCTGTTTGTGTGGGTAACAACACCAAGTTCTAACAGTCTCAAATCCTCATTTGATTGTTTAGGAGGCACCGTACTCACAAAAATGAAAAAAAAGATAAAAATAACAACATGGGTAACTGACAGCCTTTCCCCAGTAGCTGAGGTCCCTGCTTCTCTAGAGGGTGCAGATTCCCCATCCCAACAATGGCTTCCACTAAAGTAGTTGGTGGCATTTTTTCAGCATGTAACTTCTGGCTCCTAGGACAACTGTGTTTTTTCTTAACAAGGAAGTTCCCCTCACCCTTAAAACCTCTCAACAAATGAAATGTTACTCACGGTTGTTTTTCTGGATGCTTTCTCATCGCACAGGTGTTATACAAAGAAAACATGGGCAAGGGAACCCCTTTACCTGTCACTCCCGAGATGGAGAGAGTCAAACACAATCAAGAAAATATTAGCTCGGTACTTTCGCAAGAAAAGAAAAAAAAAAAACTATTTAATGATTTTTAAAACTACTTTCATGATTTAAAATAATACGTATTAATCCTGCTTTTTAAAAGACAACTTAAATTTTGTGAATTTCTTTAGCGAATTTATCCTTTTTTCCTTTGGGCTACTTCTAGCCTAACCCTGTAACAACAAGATTGCTTTAATCTATAATTTGAAGTTCTAATATCAACAAGTAACAGATTTTCTTATAAAACATCCTTTTGCTTCTCTCTCCTCAAACTTTCTATCCACTTCCCCCAAGGTCTCTTTGTTTTATATATGCTTAAAATTTAGGATGGAGTATATGGGGGGTGGTAGGGCAGGTCCAACGGGGAATTTAGGATGGGTATGTGCGGGGTGGTAGAGTAGGTCCGACGGGGAATTTAGAATGGATATGTGCAGGGTGGTAGAGTAGGTCCAACAGGGAATTTAGGATGGGTATGTGCGGGGTGGTAGAGTAGGTCCGACGGGGAATTTAGGATGGGTATGTGCGGGGTGGTAGAGTAGGTCCGACGGGGAATTTAGGATGGGTATGTGCGGGGTGGTAGAGTAGGTTCATTGGGACTCTTTCTTGAATATTAGTCATTTTGTTTTTCTGTCAATGACTTCAGTTTCTAATTTACCCTGTCATATTTGGACAAAGAGACCTTGGGAAAAATAATTCCTGATACCCTCCTTTAAGAATAATGATATAAATTATGATCCAGTAGTAGTTTTCGCAATTGATCGTCAACTTAAAACCGAATGTCACCAGAACGGCTTTTTGTTTTACTGATTTTCGTTTTTGTTCTTTAGTTTTAGTGTAGTCTTTAACTGCAAACTTTAGTAAACCATTTCCTGTAAACTTGTGCTCAATGACATTATATGTGGTTGTAAATTACCCAGGGATTGAGGTTTGCATGGGGACTTCAGCTTTCAGTAGCAAACAACCTTGTGGCCTCCACGTTTCCACTCTCTGTAGGTTTCTCCAGTACTTGAGTGCAGCGTTCTAAAACATAAGCACATATCAGAATAACCTGGAGGGTTTGTGAAGCCAGATTGCAGGGTCCTGCTCTAGTTTCTCATTCTGTAGGTCTGGTACAGAGGGGACCAGAGATTTGCATTTTTAACAAGTTCTCAGTACTCACCTTGCTGTTCAGGGACCCCAATTTGAGAACTATTATTTTAGCAGAATTCTTCCTCTTGAATGTCATTTCCTAAGCTTCCCATGCTTCCAAGAATGACACTGGGAGGAGATACTGAGGTTGAGGATTTATCACGATTTGTTACTATGTTTCTCATTTTCTATTTGACCATGATAGTGATATTAGAACCAAAAACATTTTTCCTTAATGATAAGCTTGATGTTGTATTAAACTAAAGAGGCAGAGCATAGAGGATAGCAAAGAAAAAGTGGGTAGGGGAAACCCTTTGGCTTATCTGAGGGCCTGCAGTTTTACTGATGCATCTATGAGAGTTTAAGTGCTGCAAAATAGTTCAGTGAAAAATCCAGCTGTTATATCAGGAGCAGCCTCAACCTTCTCAAGTGTGATTGACGCTTATGTCTATAACTCTTGTTTAAATCATCTCTCAGGCTTGACATTCAGAGACTAGCAATAAAATGACTGTGGTCTCTCATCACTTTGAGGAACACCACAGTTCTCTCTTGCAGTGTTCAAGGGTTTCAGGGCAGGGGCCTAACCCTGACACATTGTGTCTTGCTGTAACTACACTTAACTTCCTTGAAAAACATACTGCTTTCCATCTAACCTTATTGCCCAAATGGTTTGGGGCCTTGAGGATAATGAAAAGTTATCTGTACCATTTCCTTTTTTGGTAACTGTAACTCTTTTTCTTTTTGGATCCGTTGGACTCACATAGGTTTTGTACAAAGAAAATGTGGGGAAAGCCACCCCAACCCCTGTCACTCCTGAGATGCAGAGAGTCAAACGCAATCAAGAAAATATTAGCTCGGTATTGTCTTGAGAAACAAAAGTGCTTTTAATTTTGCAAAATAACTCCCGCGGTTTGGCCTGCTCCTAACCCTATCTCAGGTTAAAAACAAATAAAATGCCAGTTATATTTGCATTTGCTCTGGATATCACACTGTATTTACTGTAGCTATTAACTGTTTTTAAGCTTTCTTCTTGATAATGTTCTCACTAATAGTAATAGATTAAACATAGCGTTTCCCTCCAACTTGCAATATAATTAATAGTGATTATTACTTCATAGTGACTTTTGGGTGCAACTTTGTATCTCACAGGTGTTATACAAAGAGAACCTGGGGAAAGCAACCCCCACACCCTTTACTCCTGAGATGGAAAGAGTGAAACGCAATCAAGAAAACTTTAGCTCGGTATTTCAGAAAGGAAAAATAAATCCTTAAAATCTTAACAGGCCTGGCAAACATGGTTATACCACTAATTTATCTTAGTATTTCCAAAACGTTTGTGTACCTTAAAAAGTCTTCCCTATCCACTTAAAAACAACAAACCTACCCCACCAGGTTACAGTGATTTTACTTCATTCTTAAACTTTTGCTTCCTACTGTAACATTTTAATGGCTTTACCTTCGGTGTGATATAATTGAGCCATAACACCAGCTAAGTGATGATTTTCAGACCTGGTTTTCTGCTATCTGATGCCTGGATGCTCTTTTGGCTTCCCTAGGTATTGTACAAAGAGAACATGAGAAAAGCAACTCCGACACCTGTTACTCCAGAGATGGAGAGAGCTAAGCGCAACCAAGAAAACATTAGCTCGGTATTTTCTAAGACTAAAAAGAAATAGTGCAAAAACTTGGAAAATAACATCTTAACATCATAAAAAAACGCCTTTCTCATGCAACTGAAAAACACACTAAAATCTTAAAAGAGAAAAATGCAACATATTGGAAAGTAACATTTTAACACCATAAAAATGTGTACTCTTATTCAACTGAAAATTTACACTAAAATTGACATAAGTGTGCTTTTATATTCCAAACCATCATACTAAACAAGTTAATTGCCAATGTTTACTTTCCCCTTTCACTTTGAGGTAGTTCTATGTAACCAACTATAACAAATTTACTTCGTAACATCCTCAATCTTCTCTCCTTTAGTTTTAAGATACTTTATGACATGGATAATACACTGAAACAGATGCCTTCTTTGGCTATATTTTGGGGTTTTAGTATCTGGAGGACTTTGATTTCTATACTGGTGTACTGGTTTAGGAAATCTAAACATAACCTAAGGAAAATGATCACTTCTTTTAGGACGTTCTTTCAAATTCCCTTCAATATCAAATTTAGAGCCAAAAAACATCAAATATGTTCATGCTGTAATTCCTGGCAAATTCCAAGAGGTCATTTTCTTTTCTTTTCAAAATTATACTATGCTCCTTCTTTGAAAATGAGTTTCATTTTCAAAGTCAAAACAAGTCCTTTCTCTTCTAAGGGTCCTCCCGGTCCCCAGATTAGCCTGATCCACAGTTGGTCAAGTGTCTCACTGGGCCCCTTCAGTTGACAGGCCTCCCTCACCAGCTTCTTCCATCTCTATCTGCTGGAAAAGTTTTGAGGTTTCAGATTTAGAACAGCACCACTCATTCATGGTCTCTCCTCTATCAGGTTCTTTATTCTGATAGCTTCCGGAAACAAATACAAGGCAAAGCTGCCTATGTGTTGGATACCCCCGAGATGAGGCGGGTGAGGGAGACCCAACGGCACATTTCAACGGTGAGTCAGAATTCTTTAGGATTGGCTGGCTGCCTGTTGGAATGTGTAAAAAGGGAAATGGTCACAACATCATATTTTCATAAAGCAAATTCATGACATTTCAGGTGAAATATCATGAAGACTTTGAGAAACACAAGGGTTCCTTCACACCAGTGGTGACAGATCCTATCACTGAACGAGTAAAGAAGAACATGCAGGACTTCAGTGACATTAACTACCGAGGTATTCAGAGGAAAGTGGTAGAAATGGAACAAAAACGGAATGACCAAGATCAGGAGACACTTACAGGTAAATGAACCTGGGTTGGGGAAGGGGATTAACTTTGAGGGGTAGAACAAAAGGTAACATTATCTACATCAAGTCAAAATATAAAGGACTTCACAATCTGTTTTTATTAGGGGTGCAAGAAAGCTCCTATTATTTCAGTTTACAAAGCTGGTTATCTCTTCTACCTTTGTTCTGTGCGAAGACATCACCCAGAACTTAAGCTGGAATAAGAAGTGTGATTCAGTCCTCTGGTGGTTGTTAAAATTCATGCCTTGGTTTTCAAGTTATTGGAAAAGTCCAAGAACCCTTGTTCTGATCATTACTTTCCCTTTCAGGTCTACGTGTCTGGCGTACTAATCCTGGTTCAGTTTTTGACTATGATCCAGCAGAAGACAACATCCAGTCCCGAAGCTTACACATGATTAATGGTGTGTTATGCTCAAAAAGGCTTACAACATAAACATCACCATTTAGTATGCTAGAGTCAATGACTTTTATTTGGGCTCTGAAGTTCCTTCCCTCCAGGGTTTTCCATTTTCTGAGTTGCCCATTTGTCATAAAAATACCTTGTTGGCCAGGCACAGTGGCTCACGCCTGTAATCCCAGCACTTTTGGAGGCTGAGGCGGGTAGATCACAAGGTCAGGAGTTCAAGACCAGTGTAGCCAAAATGGTGAAACCCCGTCTCTACTAAAAAAAAGAAAACAAAAATTAGCCAAGTGTGGTGGTGGGCACCTGTAATCCCAGTTGCTCTAGATGCTGAGGCAGAGAAGTGCTCGAACCCAGGAGGTGAAGGTTGCAGTAAGCCGCAATCACGCCATTGCAGTCTATCCTGGGAGACAGAAACTCCATCTCAAACAAAACAAAACAAACAAACAAGCCATGTTAACTAGTGAGCAAAACACTTTCTAAACAAGTTCAAGTTAAGAAAAATTTTGTTTCACTCCCTCAGTGCATGTCTCCTTCAGGCCCCATAATTATTTCTATTTTTTTCCAAAGAAAAAATGATAATAACTCTATTCTATTGGAGAAATAATAAAAATAAAATACATAGGCAAAGGGAAGAGAAAGGATTTGATCTTTAGGAACTGCCTGAGCTCTATTCCATCAATGATTATTCATTCAACAAAGCAGGCTGCACAACTTTACGCCTTTTATTCATGTTAAGAAGTAGAATATCAGCCTGGAAAACAGAATGAGAGACTTTCTCTACCAAAAAAAAAAAAAAAAGCCAGGCGTGGTGGTGTGTACCTGTAGTCCCTGCTGTTCAGGGGGCTATGGTAGGAGGATGGCTTGAACCTAGGTCGAAGCTGCAGCGAAACGTGACTGCACCACTGCCCTTCAGCCTGGACAACAGAGCCCCCATCTCAAAAAAAAAAAAGAATATCATGTAGAGACAGTCCTCAAAGGATGTGTACCCTAGATTTCTGATGAAGAGACAGAAGTAAATCCATGGTTGCATCCTGACACGTGTAATTTTAAAGGTCTGCCAATGGTATTTGGGGAACACAGAGAAAGACTCTAAATTGATTTGCAGTTAGGGAGGACCTTATGGAGAAGTTAAAGACGGAGTCTGAATGTCAATATTACTATTTATTCATTCTGATGAGCCAGGAAAATTGGCAGGTTGGAGGGGAGATGTTACAAATAGACTCTTGGATCTGAAACCTGGCTGAACCAGTTAACTGTTCCATGACCTTTGGTCATTTGCTTAAGCTCTCATCTGCAAAATAAGGAAGACAAACCTATATCAGAATAATTGTGAGGGTTTGACCCATGGGAAACTACTGAAAACTCTGCTTGGCAAAAAATAACAGTAACTGATACTCACTTACTGTTAGGCATTACTACCATAGAAATGTCGTGTTTATTACATCTCTCCCAACTGCATCTCTCCCAGTCCAAGCTCAGCGCCGAAGCCGGGAGCAGTCACGATCTGCCAGTGCACTGAGCATCAGTGGGGGTGAAGAGAAGTCTGAGCATTCAGAAGCGCCAGACCACCACCTTTCGACTTACAGTGATGGGGGTGTCTTCACAGCCTCAACAGGTAAAGTGGATAGCGCTGAGGTTGGCAGTCCCACCCAGCCAGCTTACTGACAGTTACTAAAGAGATGCTGTTAGTAAAAACAAAAAAATTTTTTAATCTTGATCCTTTTAAATGAGAAAAGACTAGAGTTACGGAGGGTTGCATGAAGTTAGATGTTTCGTTTTCCTTGATTTCTCTTCTTGAAAATCATTCTAAGTTGGGGAAAAAGATATCACTCAGTTGCCAAACACAGATTAAAGGATACCTAGCCTTTTTTATTCTTGTAAACAATTTACCCCCTTCTTTTCAGCTTACAAACATGCAAAAACCACAGTGCTCCCACAACAACGATCATCTTCAGTTGCTACCCAACAGACAACAGTATCTTCCATCCCATCTCATCCATCTACTGCTGGAGTAAGTAAATAATAACTCAAATTATTCTTAATTTTTGATATGTATAAACATAACTATAGCTATTATGGTCTTTTTTAAGCAAACCTATTTTATATAATGCTCTTTTATTACACGTTTCATATTAATATCAGAAAACTTTCATTACCAAACTCAAATGAAAAGCATTTTTCAATAATTAAAAAAAAAAAACCCAAACCTAGAGCAAAGTATCAGTTTTGACTCACTGGACTCACCCACTAGCTTATTTAAACATTTGCTGCTTGGAATTATTTATAGGCTGGGTGCAGCGAATCATGTCTATAATGCCAGAACTTTGGGAGGCTGATGCGAGAGGATTGCTTTAGCTCAGGAGTTTCAGACCAGCCTAAGCAACAATGAGACTTCATCTCTACTAAAAATTTAAAAATTAGTGGGGTGTGATGGTGCACTTGTAGTCCCAGCTGCTTAGGAAGTTGAGGTGGGAGAACCGCTTGAGCCTGGAAATTGAGGTTGCAGTGGGCCTGGGTGACAGAGGGAGACCCTGCCTCAATAAAAAAATAAGTATGTACAGATGTATGCAATGTGCCTGCATATATACATGCCTTATCTTAGATCTCGCCTATTAGTATAAATTGAAAAGGTAAGCCAAATCATCTTCACAGTTCACCAGACTACTTTACAACAGTTAAGGACAACTAAAAAAGAGCAAAACATACAATAAAGCTATTAAAATTAAATATGGATTTAGCATGGTAATAGACACAAAAATAGATGAAGTCCAGAAATAGTCCCTAAATGAATTATAAATCAGCAGGAAAGGGATAAGTTATTTAATTATATTATCTGAGGTAACCAGTTATCCATTTAGTAATATAATAGATACCCATCTCAAAGCATAAATTGTACCAAAGATTTAGATGTAAAATCCAAAATTGTAAAAGTATAAAGAATAATAGAGAATACTTTCATATTTAGAGACAGGGTCTCCCTCTACCACCCAGGCTGGAGTGCAGTGGCACAATCACAGCTCATTAGTCTTGACTTCATGAACTCAAGCAATACTCCAGCCTCAGCCGCCAGAGTAGCTAGGACTACAGATGTGTGTGCTATGCCAGACTAATTTTTTTTTTTTTTTTTTTTTTTCCCCCAGTAGAGGTTCACTATGTTGCCCAGGCTGGTCTCCAAGTCCTAGGCTCAAGCCATCTGCCCAACTCGGCCTCCCAAAATGCTGAGATTACAGGCATCAGCCACTCAGCCCAGCCACAATAATTTTAAACTATAAAGGGGAAAGCCTTCCTAAGCAAATCCCAAAATTTGGAAGTATAAAAGACTGGCTAATTTGATCATAAAATTTCAAATATTTCTATAACAAACATGTCAGAATGGGAGAAAACATTTACAGCATACATATAAAAATATTAATATCGAAAAAGAATAAAGCACTCTAAAGTTAAATGATAAATTATTCCCCTCCCCCTCAAAATAAGACCTCCCAAAGACTAATAGATAATTTATGGCAAAATAAAAAAAATGGCCAAGAAAAAAGGTGTTTACCATGACTAGTAACCAGGTATATACAAATAAAAGTAATAAAGTACATAATATATCATTTTGAATCAAATACAATCATACTGTATCATATTCGAATATTTTAATAGCAAACAAAAAAAAAATTAGGTCAGACATGGTGGCTCACCTGTAATCCCAGCATTTTTGGAGGCTGAGGTGGGAAGAGTGCTTCAGTCTAGGAGCTCAAGACCAGCCAAGGCAACATGGTGAAATCTCATCTCTATTTGTAAAATTATTTTTATATATGTAAAAAAAAGTTTAAACACACATATCATTTGACCTAAGACTTTCACCTTTAAAAGCTTTTTCTTCAGAAATTATACACCCAAAGATAAATGCTAGGAGGCTTATTATAGTGTAAGAACACTATAATATGGTGACAACTAAATGTCCAGAAAAATGAGAATGACTGAATAATTCATATTACTAAAATGTGAAATTCTCTGTAGCAGTCAAAAATAATAAAACACAGCTATATTTATATGAAAAGACTTCCAAGCTATATTAAATGTAAAGAAGAAATTACGGTATTATTTATAGTAATGTTCCACTTATGCAGAGGGGAAAAGAAATCTGTGAATATGAATATATGCATGTGCATTTCAGAACGCGAGAAAAAACATAGGTTACATCCTAAACTACTAACCAGTGGCTGCTCCCAGGAAGAAATTTTTGTTATTATCACTTCTTATATACCTCCAAATTATTACAATTTTAACAGTGTGGAGGATAGCTTTAAGAAACTTTCGCTACTGGTATCCTCCCAAATTCCCAGAGTGAAAGATGACATGCAATAGTGCTATGGATTTTCAAATTCTTCTCTAAAGTACAAGACTGACCTCTTCAAAAGGGAGAAAAAAGCCACAAATCAAATTAGCACATTCTTTTCTGTCAGTACATACACACTCATGTGTACACACACACAATTTTATGGATGCGTAACTTAGTATGAAGTTCATACTTTAAAGTGTACAAGTCAGTGATTTTTTTGTTCAACCATCACCATAATCTAATTTTAGATTATTTTCACCACCATAAGAAAAACTGTATTCAAAACTCTTCTGGTGCATTAAAAACAAACAAATGCTGGTACCCACTGGCATTCCCCAACTTATCCCTTTCTGCTCCATCCAATCCTAGGTATCCATTTCCTATCACTATATATTTGGCTGAGACATTTCATATAAATAATTCATATAATTGTAAGGTTATACAATATACTGATTTTGGTGCATGGCTTCTTTTGCTTTTGAAGTTCATCCATGTTGTATCATGTATTAATACTTCATTCCTTTTACGACCCAATAATAGATTTGTATCAATATACCACATCTCGCTTATTCATTCATCAGTTGGTGGGCATTTGTTACCACTTTTTGGCTACTGAGTAATGCTGCTGTGAACATCGATGTACAAATCATTGCACAGACCTATGTCCTCATTATTCTTGGGTATACACCTAGGAGTGGAATTGCTGGGCCATAGGGTAATGCTGTATTTAACATGTGGTAATTGCCAAACTCTCTTCCAAAGCGGCTTCACTGTTTTCCATTCCCACCTGCAGTTTATGAAGGACCCAATTTCCCCACATCCTAGTATCTGTTATTGTCTTTTTTTTTTTTTTAGATAATTTACACAAATTTATTAGCCTCATGACTCAGTAAAGCAAGTTGAAAAAATATTACATAGCTATATAAGGCATAAATCTATCTATCTATCTATCTAGATATATATATTTTTACTTTTTTAAAAAAATAAAGATGGGGTTTCACCATGATGGCCAGGCTGGTCTTGAACTTCTGAACTTAGGTGATCCACCCACCTTGGCCTCCCAAAGTGCTAGGATTACAGGCGTGAGCCACCACGCTTGGCCAATTTATATGCTTTAACGAAGGTACTTTCTGGTAAACAATCTCGGCTCACTGCAATCTCCGCCTCCTAGGTTCAAGCAATTCTCTCGCCTCAGCCTCCCGAGTAGTTGGGCATGCACCACCACACCCAGTTAATTTTTTTGTCTTTTTAGTAGAGACAATTAATGACCCCACCCTTCACTGCTGTGGATACATTATCTGGGACTGGGTATGTCATCTCCACATGAAGACAGGTGTGAGCCACTGCACCCAGCAAGAAAACATTTCAAATTATAAACAGGGTTTGGTCAGTGATTGATGCTGCATCCTGTGGTGCCTGGACACTGACCTTAGGGAGTTTTAAATAAGCATTTCTGAAGAGCGGCTTCCTTGGAAGATATTTCAAATAAATTTTAGGAAATATTTTATTCTTTAGAGAAGTAAGAGAAAAACAGGTCCAGAGTCTAGTCTCCCCTCAACAGAAGGCCAAATATTTTACCACTGGAGAGACACATGTCATATACCAGACACTTGAGACATTGTTCCTAAGTGACCATGATGGATCAGGACAAAAACAAGGGCATTTTGTAACTATAATTTCTTTTTCTTTTTTTTTTTTTTTTTTTTTTTTGAGACGGAGTTTCACTCTTGTTACCCAGGCTGGAATGCAATGGCGCAATCTCGGCTCACCGCAACCTCCGCCTCCTGGGTTCATGCAATTCTCCTGCCTCAGCCTCCTGAGTAGCTGGGATTACAGGCACGCGCCACCATGCCCAGCTATATTGTCTCTTTTTTATTATCACAGTACTGGCACGTGTGAAGCGGTATCTCATTGTGGTTTTAACAATTTAAATTTTCTGGCTGGGCTCAGTGGCTCACGCCCGTAATCCCAGAACTTTGGGAGGCCGAGGCAGGCGGATTACAGGGTCAAGAGATTGAGAACATCCTAGCCAACATAGTGAAACTCGCTCTCTACTAAAAATACAAAAATTAGCTGGGTGTGGTGGCAGGTGCCTGTAGTCCCAGCTACTTAGGAGGCTGAGGCAGGAAAATTGCTTGAACCGGGGAGGCAGAGGTTGCACTGAGCCAAGATCGCACCACCGCACTTCAGCCTGGCAACGGAGCGAGACTCTGTCTCAAAAAAAAAGAAAGAAAAAAAGAATCTACATTTTCCAGATGACTAAGAATTTTGAGCATCCTTTTGTGTGCTTTTTGGCTATTTGTCTATCTTCTTTGGACAAATGTCTATTCATATCCTTTGCCTCTTTTGGTGGGGGGGGCACTGAGTTTTATTTCTTTATATATTCTGGATATTAATCACCAATCAGATATATGATTTGCAAGTATTTCCTATTTTGTGGGTTCCTTTTACTTTTGCTCAACTTAAGTTTGTGGAGTAAGTCATGAAGAGATCTTACAAATAGATGTATGTGTTAATTGTTGCAAATCCAACATATCATATTTCCCCTTTTTTCATTCCATGAACAGAAAATCTTTCGTGCCATGTATGACTACATGGCTGCGGATGCAGATGAAGTGTCCTTCAAAGATGGAGATGCTATCATAAATGTTCAAGCTATTGATGAAGGTTGGATGTATGGCACTGTGCAGAGGACTGGCAGGACCGGAATGCTCCCAGCCAACTACGTTGAAGCTATTTAGACATTTCAAAGCATCACACTTGCCTGCAGGACCTATGCAGTGAAGGTTTCAGTGTAGACTCTCCACTGTTACCTAAGTTTTCAAGCTGCCTATGGTTTTTCTGTGTCAACGTAATTTATGGTAGTACCATCCTTTTTCCTTTGGTTTTGAAAATAAGTTGCAGAATAGACATTTTAAGTTTCTGCAATATTATTTCTGTGCCTAGAGTCTTTCTCCATTATAAACATGTTTTAACATTATTTCTTTTCTAAACCAGATTTTTGAATATGCCAAACACATTAAAGGAAGAATAGCAGAGATAGTCACTTCTTCCTTGCCTACTGATTGCTAATGCTTATTCTAATTCAGTTCTGAAATTATAAAACTTAGTCAATACAAACCAGCAACTAATAAAACCTCTAAATATGCAACACTCTGTGGATGGAATGAGCATTATTTTTAATGGTTTTATTATCTACCTATAAAAATTCAATGGAGCAAATTCTACATAAAATTACCTAAATCTAAAAAATGTGTTAGCACAAGAGTAAACGGTCTCAAAACTCTATCTATACTTGCATTCAGCAAGCTTCTCCTACGGTTTTAAGAAAACCTGTGGACTCCCATCCTAACTTCAGGGGAGCTTTCCCATCTGTATCCAGTAGGATGGCAGCATATGGCAAGGGCAAAGGGAGGAGAGACAACCATATGGCTTAATGCTTAAGCTTACAGACTGTTCTTCCTAGAATGCAGCTAAGTCCCTGTAACTTTACAGCTATAGTAAAGCGGTCTACAAGCTTCTTGTGTGTCTCATGAGACTCACAGGAAGAAAATGATCTTGTGAAGAATGCACTTACTTGCGAATGACCAAAATACACCTGTACACCAAGCACTGGGTTAGACGCTGAAGCTCAACTGAAGAACAAGAGATAGCTGGTGCCCTTAGGGAATTTACAGACCCAAGAGAAGGCAGATTATGCCTAACCATCATAACAGTGTGAGAGATTGCTACTCTCCTGCTCCCAAGTCTTCCATCTTACCTTAAACTGGATAAAAATGCAAGTTAGGCAATAATCCCAGTGTGATTTCCAACTCCCAGATCTTTTGCAACACTACAGTTTTTGCTATCTCCATTACAACGAGCTGGTTTTTTCTTTGTTTTGAGATAGAGTCTCGCTCTGCCGCCCAGGCTGGAGTGTAGTTGCCCAATCTCAGTTCACTGCAACCTCTACCTCATGGGTTCAAGAGATTCTCCTGTCTCAGCCTCCTAAGTAGCTGACTACAGGTGTGCACCACCACTCCCAGCGAATGTTTGTATTTTTAGTAGAGACAGGGTTTCATCATGTTGGCCAGACTAGTCTCAAACTCCTGACTTCAGGTGATCCACCCACTTCAGCCTCCCAAAGTACTGGGATTACAGGCCTGAGCCATGGGACCTGGCCTGGCTGGTTTAGTTTTAAATTTCCTATTTACTTTATCAGTTTGCCAAGGTACACTTTGCAGTTGCTATTGCAAAGAAAAACAGAACTTTTGTCTCACAGATTTTTCCTTAAAGCTTGGAAAACGTTCAGTGTGCAGTTCTGGCTTTCCAATATCCTTGGGTTCCACATCTACAGATTCAACCAATCATGAATCCAAAATATACAGGAAAAAAAAGGTCACATTTGTACAGAACAGCTACAGACTTTGTCATTAGTCCCTAAACAATATAGTATATTTATATAACATTTATATTATATTAGGTATTATATAGAGATGATTTAAAGCACAGGTCCCCAGCCTTTTTAGCAGCAGGGACAGGTTTCATGAAGACAACTTTTCCATAGAACGAGGACAGGGTTGGAGAATGAAACCGTTCTACCACAGATCAGGCATTAGATTCTCATGAGGAGCACACAACCTAGATCCCTCACATATGCAGTTCATGAAGAATTTAATGCAGCCACTGAGCTGACAGGAGGCAGAGCTCAGGTGGTAATGCTTGGTCACCAGCCACTCAACCTCCTGCTGTACAGTCTTTCCTAACAGGCCAAGAACTGGTACCACTCAGCAGCCAGTGGGTTGGAGAACCCTGATTTGAAGTATGTGAGAGGATATGCATAGGTTATATGCAAATATCACATCATTTTACATTAGAAATTTGAACATTCACATGGTGGGGATGGTCCCGAAACCAATACCCCATGGATACTGGGAGATGACTGTATATATAAAAGTAGAGAATCCTCCTGCATGCACCAACTAGCCTCAAAAATGATCAACTCAGTTAATCTTGTTTCCTCTTCACCCCACCAATGCCCTCCTCTCAGTACCTTATAGTGAATCCTACTAATCACCTTTCAGTGTGTATCTTACAAAGGACTCTTAAAACATTAATCACAACAAAATTAACACACCTTAAAAACTGGCAATCAATATCCAATGTTCTAATCTTCCTGCCATCTGCTTGTGCTTGTTGGTCCAACGATAGCAGGGAAGTCCTTTGTATGTATCTCCACTACCACGTAGGCTGCAAAGAGCCATCTTCAAGAAACTACAAAAGGGAGAAATTACGTCTATGGGTTACATCTCAACCAAATCTTACTCAAATGTATGAGCTGTATGGTGTCCCACCCTCCCACCCCCAAATTCATGTTAAGCCCTAACCTCCAAGGCCTCAGAATGCAAGCTTGGAAATAGGATCCTTGCAGAGCTGTTAATTAAGATGAGGCCCTAATCCAACAGCTTTGGTGTTTGTTGGATTTGGGAAATTTGGACAAATAAACAGGCACACAGGGAAAAAGTCGTATGAAGATGAGAGATTGGGGAAATACCTCTATGTGCCAAAAATGGCCAGCAAATCACCCCAGAAAGCTAGCTGGGGAGAGGTATGGGACAGATGCTTCCTCACCGTGCTTAGAAGGAACAAACCCCGCTGATACTGTATCTCAGACCTCTACCATTCAAAACTGAGACAATACATTTCTGCAGTTTAGTTATTAGGTTTGTGGTACTATTACAGCAACACCAGAAAACTAATACAGTTTTTCAACATCATTATTAGTACCTCATTGTTGTGATTTTTTTTTCTTCTTACAACTATGGAGCTTTTCTTCAGCTGCCACCAAGGTGCTTAGTCCTGCAGAGGAAGCTACGGTGATGGTGGGATGAGGTATTTACTTCATCTGGTGGCTAGCCTGGCAGTGCCAGCTCTGCCCTTGCCCACACCATGTGAACTCTCTCTCCAAGCTCTCCTGCATCTACCCAGGCTTCATTTGACTAAACCTCTTGTAACATGTTCAATAAAAAACTGAACTCATAAAAAAATAAAAATCACCACTTCTGGATTTAGATGCCAGTGGAACCCATAAAACTATGAATAAAACAGAAAATCTGTGTGATTAAAAAGCAGACCATAAAAGGGGAAAAAGAAAATAAATGGTTTATGTGTGTAGAGGAATACAATGTACACTCTGTGGTATCTGAATTACGCTATTCACACTCATTTCAGATCTCACTAAAACAACAAAACAAAAAATCAAAGTGTAGACAACAAAAAACAAATACCAGGGTTTAGTTTATATAATTTTATTTCAGGTAAAAGTGCATTTCTTTAAAAATGTTTCAACATCCAGTTTCCATTGCCAAGTGGTAACAGTCAACTCTTGATGCATGAAAAGTTTCACTGTGACTCAAACAAAGATTCTGCCCCCCTCAACAGTCATAAAGAACCAGAAACAGTAACTTTAAGTGTGCCTGCTTCAAACATCGTATAAAGCAGTGGTCCCCTAACCTTTTTGGCACCAGGGAACAGTTTCGTGGAAGACAATTTCCACAGATGGAGGTGTTGGGGGAGATGGTTTCAGGGTTAAACTGTTCCACCTCAGATCACCAGGTATTAGATTCTCATAAGGTGCACACAACCTAGATCTCTTGGCATGTGCAGTTCTCAACTGGGTTCATGCTCCTGTGAGAATCTAATGCCACCTAGGGGTTTGGGACCCCTAGCATAAGCATTACAAAATTGAAAAAAAAAAAAAACCTGCACCATTATTTCCATTATTTGCAGGTAAGTGAGGAATGAACAAGTACTTCTGTTAAGTCTCAACTTAAATCATTTTTAAGACTTATCAAATATAAATATTTTGTGAATGTAAAACTAAGCTCTCTTAGAGTTTACCAATTGATGGGGACAACAATATAAAGCTAATGATTGATTTGGCTTCTATCAGTCTTTTTCTAAGTGCTATCAGGCAGATCTATCCACAGGGGGTAGTGCTGAAACAACTGACAATTCACAGACCATCAGGGTCCCTTAACTTCATGGCAAATACGTAACTATAGTTTGAGAGTTTAAGTAGAAAAAGAAGTGTATTTATAAAGTACTAGTGTTTCCTAGTATCTGTGTAATTTAAGCAATAGTAAAACACGTAAGTAAAATCAAGAGAAGCCATTTTGGAAAATACAAGGGTAATAGAAATTAAGTAATCAAGACCTCACTCTGCCAGCTAGAAGCAAGTAATTAAATGGACTAACATGCCATATCTGAACAAACCTATCAACCATAAAAGGGATCGACAAATTCTGCAAAAGGTCAGATGGTATTTTACCTGTTGCAAGCCATACAGACTCTGTTATACTATTGAACTCAGCCACTGGAGCAGGAAAGCAGCTAAAGACAATATGTAAATGAGCATAGCTGTCCCAATAAAACTTCATTTCTGGTGACTGAAATTTCAATTTGTTTTCATGTGTCACAATATATCCTCCCTCTCTTGACTTTCTTGACCCTTAAAAAAGTGTAAAAACCAGTCTCAGCTCACAGGCAGCACAAAAAACAGGTGGCAAGCTACAGTTTGCCAACCTGTGCTCTGTAAAAAACTTAGGAGTTAAGACTGCGATTTTTCAGTTTCTATACTCAAAACCAATTTTGCTCAATTATTTTCTTTTGGAAAATTCCTAACCTATAAAAATAAAAAACTCTTTAGACACTTGTTAGCTATTCAATTATGTACCAAAATATTACACTATACTCTAGTTCCAGTTCCATGACACTTTACTTTGAAGGTGATCTTCCTAGTTACATGTTGTCTATCCATTTAAGAAACAGCTTGCCTCTATACTAAAATGGACTATGCATTAAAATTCCAGCTTAATCTGCGTTTTCCATTCTTCTCAGTGCCTCAATTTCCATCAGCATATAAGCTTGCTGTCTAGTAAATTTAGCTTTATCTATAATTATAAATTGGCATAGTGTGGCCAAAATATCCCCTCTGCTATAAGTAGAGTACAAAAGTTAGACTTTTTTTTCCTCACTTGATATATCAACAAAGGAAAATAC